CACCGTCCCCCCGGGGGCCCCACTTTCTGCCCAGAAGAGAAGGAGAGAAAAGAAACCTCCCCTCAATGATCAAGTATATCCCCCTCAGTTGTAATGCTTCAATTTAATCCCCGCGATGGTCTCCTCTTGAATACCCTGGCCCTTGCCCTTGAAGACTTCGGTCTGCCCGTACGCGCTGATGCGAGCAGACCTGTACAGCTTCGACGTGGGTTCCGTGCCGGGCTCGAACTTTCTCTGCACGCCGGCGTCGCGGAGCACGCTCGACTCGTCCAGGAGGGTGTTGATCTTGACGTCGTCGTTGGGGACGACAAAGTAAAACAGGCCGCAACGGTCCTGGTTGCGCTGGTCGGCGGGCGGTTGGCACACGCGGTGGATGGTGGCCTTGTAGTAACCCCCGGTCCACCACTCCATCATCTCGCCGGCGTTGACGATGATGGCGCCCGGCACGTACGGCACCCAGCGCCACTTGCCCGTGAAGTGGTCCATGAGCTGCAGCGACGCCATGGGCTGACTGAACAGCATGGTGAGCGACCCAAAGTCGCAGTGACCCTTGAGCCACACGCCGCCCGTCTTCTGCATGTCCTCGGCCTTGTGCGCGTGGAAGTACATCATGTACCGGTACCAGGAGTCGTCGTGCACCTCGTACCGGTGCAGATTGACAAAGAAGTCCTCGGGCAGGTCGAGCGAGATGGCGAACAGCGTCAGCAGCCGGACCAAGATCTCCTTGTGGATAAAGTCGTTCAGCTCTTGGACTTCGTCGATGAAGGGCACGAACGTGGACGGGTGTTCGCGCAGCGTCAGGTCGCGGTTCCAGTTGTACTGCTCGATCTGGTCCCTGACCCCTTGGTCAATCTGCCAGTAGTTACGGGGTTTGAACCCCTGGTAGCTACCCTCCTGCTTCATCCGGCCTTGCAGGCGTTGCTTCTCCTCGACCGGCGTCTTGGTGAGCACATGGTACCCGATGTCGACTTGACGGTCGATCTGCTCGATCGAGATGCCGTGGTTGACCACGACGAAGAAGCCCTGGGTCCGCATGGCGTGGTTCAGCTCGCTGGCGAGCTTCTTGCGCGCGTCCGGGCCATTGTCGAACGTGGAGAGGTCCAACGTGACCAGCTCTGCGTACTCCAGGGGCTCGGACGTCGGCTTCACGGGGACAAAGTGTTCGAGGTCGGGCTTGGTGATGGTGGACGGCATGTTTGCGAGCTTGTTGTACAAGCTAGTGGCTTAGTGGGTATCGTAGTCAATCGGGTCAACCACGAGGTGAGAACTGATCAGGACTTTTGTTTTATTTCTTGCGACGCTTGTCTCTTTCAGAGATACTATTTGTCTGGACATATCCCTCATGGCGCTCTCTGGCCTACCTACCTACCTCTTTATGTCTGTCGAACCCCGTGTTCATGACATGATGCCAACTCCGTCCACCGCACCGAAATGTGGGGTTAGACTTTGCGGACCTCGGAAAACGCGAGATCGGCCAGGCCGCAACACGGCTCCAAGACTTTGCAACTGTGCGACGGACCGACCGACAGCAAGGGTCTGGGGGAGTCCATTGTGCGTTTTGTACTTTTGCTTATCCCCCGGTCAGTTCAGGACCACGTTGATCTGCGGCGTTTGAGATGGCCAATCTGTAAGGGGTTCTGGGGCAGGGTCCGACTATCGCCTTTCAGAGATGGACGACGCAGACGAGAAAGTCGGGCCTGGTCAAACGTGCTTAGCAGCATTTGTGCCCTTTATAGTCGCACAATCTGGCAGTCAATCATAGTAAGTGGACTCCCGTGGCCACTGTGTGAGGTATCGACTTCGTTTGCCCGCGAGCCAGCCAGAGCAGTGGGGGACACGACAAGTCAGATCTGCAAACTCATAAGATGATGAAAATGTTCAGCTACCGAGATGAAGAAAGCGTTTGCCTTTGCCGCAATTTCTGCAGAAAAGATATTCTGCTCACAACCCGCCAGATCAAGCTGAGCAGGATGATCACAGCCTCATTGAGCGCGTGTGCATCGAGAAGGCATGAATGCATTCGAGAGAACACCAGTATCGCCAGCGCACTATCCTCTTTGGCAGGCGACACAACTGACCACCCAGATACGAGGAACGAATCAGTGGCTGTCGGCTCATTAAACTCAGTGTGGCATGAAGTTGAGAAGAACAGCCACACATGGAATCATCCATTTTCCGTGGGTGCCTCAGCCCTAATTACTTATACGGGTTAGGCTTGTACGGTGGTGCTAAAGTAGTTTGAGCTAGACCCAAAGCAGAATGAGGGGCCAATGCCTCCTGGGATTATCACGTGGGGTTCGGTTAAGTGGATCAAAGTTCTTCCTTGGATTCTTCATTACTAATGTGACCTTCATTTTCCTTCCCACCCCAGTTGCAAAGTTCTTGGAAACCAGGCAATCCCAAGCTTAAGCGGCTGGATCACCGAAAATGAATCCATCATCACCAAAGTCCTTGTAAGTCCTGCGGTCCGACAGCGCAAAGTAGACAATTCCGACATTCATCATTAAAATCCCCATCACAGGTGGGTGACTACATACCCTCGGCCAATCCGTCGCGTCGACAATCTTGCGTAAGAAGCCTCGCATTGCCACCCCTCAGTGGGCCCGTTGGGATCATGCCAACTCGGTAATTGATAAGTATAGCATTGGAGCATCTCGATGATGAAAGGAGTCGAGATATTAAAAGCCTTGTAGTCTGCTTGAAACACTTCCTTCACCACACATCCCTTTTTCTACACGAGTTTCCTTCGATAGTTCCACTTCCTACCCTCAATGGCGACCCCCGGCAAATCCGTCTTCCTCATTGGCCCGGGCTTCATTGGCCGCGAAGTGCTTGATCTCCTCCTCCAAGAGAACTATGCAGTGACGACCCTGACTCGTCGTGAAGCGTACGCGACCGAGCTCCAACAGAGCGGCGCAAAGACGGTCATCGGCAGCCTGGACGATCGAGACATTATCGTTGAGCAGACCCTCGCAAGCGACATTGTTATCCATACCGCCACCGCAGACCATTTGCCCTCGGTCGAAGCCGTCATTGCAGGCGTCGAACAACGCGCAAGCCAAGGAAACCAGACCATCTTCATCCACACAAGCGGCACATCATGCCTGAGCGACGACGCCAAGGGCGAATACAAATCCGACAAGATCTACCACGACGACAAGCCTGAGGAGATTGACGCACTCCCAGATACTGCCTCGCACCGCTTGATCGACCTCGCCATTCTTCGCGCACGCAAGAAACTCGGGAACAAGGCCAAACTGGTCATCATGATCCCGCCGTTGATCTACGGCGCCAACCCCAAGTACAAGCGTCTCTCGATTCAAATGCCGACACTGACTCGGTTTGCGCTGAAACACGGTTATGCCGGCCATGTTGGGAAGGGCGACTCCGTGTGGTCCGAAATCCACGTGGTGGACCTCGCTCGGGCATACATTACTATTCTACATTGGCTCGAGCAGACCGACGCCTCCAAGGTCCTCGAGAACCCTTACTTTTTCTGCGAGAACGGCCGCGAGTTCGCCTTCAAGGATGCAGTGGCAACGATTGCCAAAGCCTTGCATGCTGCCGGGCGGATCAAGTCACCAGAACCCAAAACGATTCCTGAAAGTGACTTTGACGATCTCTTTGGCAAGTATACTGCATGGGTCGTGGGGTCGAATTCAAGGAGTAGGGCGAACCGGCTGAGGGCACTGGGGTGGGAGCCCAAGGAGAAGGATCTGATGGCGTCTTTGGTGGAGGATGAGATACCTATTCTGCTGAAAGAGGAGGCTGGCGAGTTTCGTGGGTATTCTGGAGTTGCAGCTTCTGGTGGATCGTAGATGGACTCATAAAAGGTTCGAGAAGAGGAAAGGCTATGCAATAGCTGGGATCACATGTGCTGGAGCATTTTCTTTGTCAATGGCTCATGATAGTGGTCGAAACTTGTGTCACAAAACGAGATAATTCGAAATTCTATATCGCATCTACAAGCAGGGCATTCAATTTATCCTTGAGCTCAACGCGTGGGCTGGTGCCACATTGAGGGATGTCCCAGTGTCCGAATCGGGAAATGATGCATGTTCGCTCGGCTATATTTCCGTTCTAGAAAAATGCGGAGATGGAGCTGCACACACGGTGCGTCATTCTCAACTCAATGCCACCAAATGCCACTGTCGTGTGTCTTTACACTGAGCCACAGATTCCAATAATACGGCTAAGAAACCCGTAACTGATAACGAACTACTGCCCTCCACTTCTCCTCTGGATAATGACTGCATCTCCTAGAAAACAATGCTGAGAACTGCGCTTCGGCGACGGGCACTTCCCCCCTCGTTTGTCCAGCGAAGATGGGCGACGCAGACGCCCGAAGAGCCATTCATTCCTGATATAAACGAGTGGTCACATCCGCCGTCGAATGCCAGCATTTCAGATGACGAGATACAGAGACTCGCAGCGCTCCCCCGCCGGCCTCTGACTCTGGCAGATCTCGTTAGGTGTGTTGGTGATAGTCTTGACTCACACCACTCATGCGGATGACTTGCTAACTGCTTACCACAAAAACAGACATGGCAAACCTCCCTTACGAGACTCTGCACTCCTCTCCTCCGCAAACTTCACTCTGTCCCTCCTCCCTGCCCGACTTGCACATCGTATCCAAGCCCTTCGGAACCTGCCCTTCATTGTGGTGTCCAACCCCAATGTCTCCAAGATCTACAACAACTACCTGCGTTCTCTTTCCACCCTAGAACCTTTCTACAAGAAATCCATTGAGACAATCGAGGAAGAGATGAAGTTTACAGAAGCCATGGCCGATATTGTCCGGACACATTCAAACACCATCCCCGTCCTTGCACAGGGGTTTCTCCAATGCAGGAAATACGTGGATCCGGCTGAAGTCACTCGGTTTCTCGACCAACATCTCCGCGCCAGAATTGGTACCAGACTTGTCGCAGAGCAGCATCTAGCCCTGCACATGGCCTCCACAGGAGAGGCGGCCAGACAGAAACCCGACCCGACACACGTCGGCGTGATAGACCTTGCCCTGCGGCCCGCAGATATCGTCCGCCGGTGTGAGGGCTTTGTCGGCGAGGTCTGTGAGTACAAGTACGGTGTTCGACCCTCGTTGATCATCAATGGGGACCAAGACGCAGAATTCGCACACATCCCCATGCACCTGGAATACATTATCACAGAACTATTGAAAAATGCGTTCCGTGCCACGATTGAAAGTGGAAATGAGAAGGAGCCCATTGAAGTCACCATTGCCTCGGCTCCCGACGTACAGACCACCAAGTTGGAATTGCTCAAGAAGCTTTCTGTCAGCAAGGAGAATGCATATGATTTCTCCCAGGAAGGGCTGGACGAGTACTGCGCTTCGTCTGACGAGGACGTGTTGGGTTCTCTCAACTCTGCCACCCCTTATATCACTCTGCGCATTCGTGACCGAGGGGGTGGCATTCCACCTGAAGCCTTGCCCAATATCTGGTCATACAGCTTCACCACGTTCAACAATGAAGAAGCCTCCGCGGCGTCCAGTGTCGTTAGCGACGGCTCTGAGGGACTGAATGTCATCTCAAACAGTGGAACGAACCAATCGTCCATTGCCGGTCTAGGATACGGGCTGCCCTTGGGACGAGCCTACGCAGAGTACTTTGGTGGGGGTATCGCCCTGCAGAGCATGTACGGCTGGGGTACGGATGTCTACCTGACGTTGCAGGGCATTGGGAACACAAAGGAACTGAAAGATGCGCCCAATGGTTTTGAGGAGTTGGAGAAAGAGATGAGCGATTAGGCGGCGAGTTAGCAGCTCTGACACTTTTTCGCGGCATCACTTCCTTCCGGGCATTGTGTGTCTTCTCTCACAAATTGGAGACGCAAAAGATCTACCAGTGCTACGAGATATCCTGCCATTTTGTAAGGGCTTGTATGCATGAGCGGCCCTCTTACCAGCCATTATCCGCCGCTAAGGGAGGTACCTTGCGGCAAACGACCCGTCCGTGGTGGTGTTCAAGTAAACACCACATGAATCTTGCCAGAGGCTCTATCCGCCAACCGCTCCTGCATTGGAAGACCATACATCTCCCTGGTCCAGCGGCAGCAGATCTTCCTGGTGTCCTTGGGATCCACAATCTCTTCGACGTTGAAGCACGTCGCCGTCCGCACCGGGTTCATCAACCGGATATACTCGTCTTCCAGCTCCTTGTACCGTCTCTTCCACCCCTCTTCGCCCTCCTTCTCGCGGATCGTCTTGAGTTCGTGACGATGACCCACCTCGATCCCACCGTCCAGAGGCAAAGAGCCCCAATTGCCCGACGGCCACGCGATGCGCATCCACGGTTCGCGGCTGTCGAGCATGATGCCGCCAGCGACTCCGTACACGCGACGCGTCACCACGCTGAAGATCGGGGTGGTGGTGCTGTAGTAGGCCTTGCCGAGCTCGACGCCCCATTTCATGGTGGCGGTCCGTTCGGCGACTGTGCCGATGGCGTAGCCAGCTATGTAGATACCAGAGAACGTCAGCACACGGGGTCCGGCGGCGCATGACGAATCCTGCAGAGAAGGAACTTTGTTCCACGAAAAACGAACAAGCGTGCAACATGGAGATTTTTAGACACGAGCAATATGGACAGGGAGGGATATACAGTTTGCCAAAACAAACCAAAGAGAGAGAAAAAATAAAGAAGAGACTTGTACGTAGGCCGACAAACGGAGAATAGAGAATATAAAAAGGGAACGTGAACTTACGAACGTCGACAAACTGCACAATGGGCAGATTAAACACGTCGCAGAACTTGATCATCTTCATCAACTTCTGGCTGCCCATGGCGTCGAGGGCGCCGGAATTGACCTCGCAGTTCAGGCTGAGGATGCCGACGGGCCGACCCCCCAGGCGGGCGAGGCCCGTGATGCCGGTGCGGCCCCAGAGGGCGCCGATCTCGAACCACGAGCCGCGGTCGACGACGGACAGGATGATGGTGTAGGGGTTGTACATGCGCGACTTTTTGCGGGGGATGATGGAGCGGAGGGCCAGGTCTTCGCGGTCGACGGGGTCGTCGGCGGGAACCGTGGGAGGAGCCTGGAACTGGCCGCACGCGGGGAGGTAGGCGAGCACGGTGCGGATCTGGGCGAAGCACTCGGCCTCGTTGCGGGCCAGGTTGTCGATGGTGCCGTTGGTGCAGTGCACGGCCGGCCCGCCCAGGTCGCTGAAGCTGAGGCCTTCCTCGAACGTGGCGCCCTCGACGACCTTGGGTCCCGCGTTGAACAGGCTGCCAATGTCGCCGGCCATGACGCTAAAGTGCGTGGCCACGACGCGCGCCGCGCCCAGTCCGATCGCGGGACCAACCACGGCCCCGATGTTCGGGATGCCCATGTTCAGCTGCTTGACCACCGTCGACAGCACCGTCACGTGCGGCATGTACGAGTACCCCTGCGTCATGATGGTCGACACCGACCCGCCGCCCGATGACCCGTCGACGAGCTTGACCACGGGCACCTTGAGCCGGAGCGCCAGCTTCTCCCCGTACAGCGTCTTGAGGCCCACCGACCCGTCGGCGTGGCCCGACCGGATCGAAAAGTCGTCCGACGTCAGATATATCTGCCGTTTGATCCCGGTCCGGGGACAAGTCACCCGCCCAAACCCCTGCGGGTTGTTGCTGGGTATGAAAGCACGGACGTGCTCGGACTGTGGGTTTCTCGTGTCCTTCTCCCAAGTCACTGTCCCCGTCACGGAGCCGACCTCGCGCCACGTGTCTGGGTCGAGGAGCGTGGCGATGCGTTCGCGCGACCACAGCTTCCCTGCCGTCTTTTGCCTGATGTACCCGCGGGACGAGGTGTCTGGGGTCGTGGCGATGGTGCGCATGGTCTTGAGGTGGGTCAGGATGTCGCTATAGTCGGCGGGCAGGTCGGAGGAGGGATCTGAGGATTTGGACTTGCGCGCCCGTTTCGTGTTGGCTTGTGGTTCAGATGGTGCCGGCGAGATTTGTGATGTGAGCTGGTTGAGGCGGCTTGAGGCAGTCGAGCTGGACTGGGGTTGGGAGAATACCGGATCGTCAGGTGGAGGTGTCTGCCCTGTTCCATTGCTTCGGCTGGGAGGGTTCTGCGCCGTAGACGAAATAGTCTGCGTCTGGCCGTATACAGGGTCAGTGACGGCGGTAGTTGTGGCACCTGAAGGCTGTGATTGAGAGAAGACCGGGTCGTCTGGCGTCTGGACACGACCGGCTTGTAGTCCTTGCACTGGTCGATTCGGCGATGCTAGAGCGGAGACAGGTTGTGCGTAGACAGGGTCACTGGCCGTGCCACCTCTCGCGCCCCGAGATTGAGAATAGACCGGATCATCGGCGGCTGAGATCTTGCCCTTTCCTGGGCCAGGTGCAGGAGAGTCCGACGTCGAGGGAGCTGCTTGGGGCTGGCCATATACTGGATCATTAATCTGGCCTTGACGTGCCGGTTGCCTTTCCTGGTTGCCTCCCACCACACCGACCTGCGAATAGACCGGATCGTCTTTCCTGGGCCCGGTCCCTATGCTCGTGTCCGCTGCAGTGCCACCAGTAACTGACGGTTGAGACGGTGCGCTTGTCGGCTGAGCGTAGACTGGATCATTGATGGTTGTTGACGAGACTGGACCTTTGGAGCTACCGTCAGCACCTGACGATTGAGGTGAGAGGGTGGACTTTTTCGAGCCCATAGTTCCTAGTGAGCGCTCGTGTCAAAGCCTTCCTTCCAACGTCTGTGCCGCTCGGAATGTCTTCTGCTGGCTTCGGCTGGTGTACCTGGCCACCAACTTGAAAGAAATGAAAGTAGCCCGTTTCTTGACGTTGACCAAAGAAAGTTGGGAAACGTCCCTTTGCCTCTTCAACCCCAGGTCAACGGCGTGGCTGTATGCTCTCTCTCTCTTCCACTATAGGTTGTCTGTCTTTTTCTCTTGCTTTCCCATTCCAGCAGTCCGAAAGCCGAAAGAAAGAGGCCTCTGAGAAGAAGACAGAGGGCATGCAGGAGATGTCGGCTACAGGTTTCAAGTGCCTAGGTAATGGATAATGAGCTGTGACGTTTGTCCTAGTCTGACGCCATGGCTAATCGTCGGTTTCTTCCCCCACAAACTTGATGAATCCGGAGAACAGCCTCGGCTGAGGTTTCGTGGATGTTGGAGTCTGGAGAGAGATGCTGCTTGAGGATATCCGAGTCGTAGGACCGAGTGCCCCAAGGTTCGAGGCTCTTGTCTGGTACCTCTCATCATTTCTGTTCTGTTGAAGCATGTTGTAGAACTTTTTCAGAGACTGGGTCAGCGGAGGGGAAAACACTTTTTGTCAGTTTCTTCCGCGTGAACAAGTCAATATGCCACCTCCTCAGCGGCCAATTTCACGTATCCTCATCGCCAACCGCGGCGAAATTGCAATTCGGATACTTCAATCATGTCATGAGCTGCCACAACCTCCTACAACCTTTGCAATATACACTGACAACGATACCACACACATCTCCCTGGGCCGGCCTCACCACGCGGTCAAAGCCGCTCATGGCCCAGCGTCGTACATGAATATTGACTATCTGATTGGATTGGTCAAGGAGAACAAGATTGACGCTGTGCACCCTGGGTATGGATTCCTGAGCGAGAGCGCAGAGTTTTCCAGGAGGATGTGGGTTGAGGCCGGGTGCGTGGTTGTCGGACCTGGCTGGGAGGTGCTGGAGAGGACCGGCGACAAGCTAATGGCCAAGGCATTGGCGGCCGAGTGCGATGTCCCGGTCCTCAAGGCTATGGGAAGACCAACTGGGAGCGTGGAGGATGTCAGGAGATTTGCTACCAGTGTTGGGTATCCGCTGATGATCAAGGCTGTGGATGGCGGTGGTGGACGGGGCATTCGACTCGTCAAAGACGAATCCTTGCTTGACAACGCCGTGCAGAGGTGTGTGGCCGAGTCACCGAGTCGCTTGGTCTTCGCCGAGCAAGCAGCCGTGGAAGGGTACAAGCATATTGAGGTTCAGATCGTCGGCGATGGGAGAGGCGGAGTCAAGCACCTGTGGGAGAGAGACTGCAGCGTCCAGCGCAGGTTTCAGAAGATCGTCGAGGTGGCTCCAGCACCCGTCCAGGACAGGAGGGTGATTGCACAGGTCATCGACTCGGCCGTGAGGATGGCCACAAAGCTGAAATACTTGGGCCTGGGGACCTGGGAGTACCTCGTCAACGTCCAGCAAATGAAGTTCTTCTTTCTCGAGATCAACCCGCGGCTGCAGGTCGAGCACACCATCACCGAGTGCATCACCGGAGTCGACCTGGTGAAGCAGCAACTGTTTCTTGCTCAAGGGCTACAGACCGAGGCCGACGCCAGACTAGGACAGTGGAGGGATGCCGACAAAGCACCCCCTGCAGCGTCGATCCAGTTGCGACTCTGTGCAGAGGATCCCTTGTCCAACTTCTCGTTGAGTATCGGCAAGGTTAGCGACATACAATTCCCGTCTGGCAATGGCATCCGGGTCGACAGCCACTTGTCGCGCGGAGGAGTGGTGGGATCCGACTTTGACAATATGATGGCCAAGATCATTGTCACGGCATCAACCTGGGGAGAGTGTGTCGCAAAGGCACGCCGGGCATTGGAAGAGACCAAGGTCATGGGCGTCAAGACGAATCTGAACCTCCTCAAAGCCATTCTTACAGACACGACCTTCGCGGCCGGCCACGCAGACACAAGCTGGCTGGAGCAACAGCTCGACCGGCTCGTCCCCTCTGGAGAACAGCTCGCCAGCGCCACGGAACTACTCGACACATCCCTCCCAGCTTTATCTTTGTCGAGCAACGGTGCAGGCTCAGCCATCGGAGCTGCATCGACACTGTTTAGAAAGGGCGACGCCTGGACCGTGTTGCTCGAGAATCACGCCGATAAACCCTCGTCCATCAAGCCGCCCGCTCACCACCTCTCCATCTCGCGTGTCACGCGCAACGAATTCCCCACCGCCCTCGTCGCCGACATCTCATACACCATCCCTGGATCGAGGACGCACTCCTACAAGATGACCCTGAACAGCACAACCTCCTCTGCCGGCGCCACCGCCTCAACGCACCGACGAGGCGATCCGACCAAGAAGACCCACATCGTGTTGCCCATGAGCGGGAAACTGGTCGAGGTGCTCGTCGATGTGGGTGACGAAGTGCGCGAAAACGAGGTGATCGCATTCGTGAAGCAGATGAAGATGGAATTAGAAGTCAGGTCGCCGAGGGCCGGCAAGGTGAAATGGGTGATTGAGATGGAGAACGAGGAGGAAGGCGACGACGTCGCGGAAGGGGTGTTGCTGATGGAGCTCGAGGACGAGGAGGATAGCACAAGGAAGCCCGAGGTCAGATCTAGGCTGTGATGCGAGCTCGAGGAAAAGGGGGGTTATATTCATACAAGACTTAGAAGACTAGACTGGTCGCTGCGTCTCTAGTGATGGAACCAATGCCCGAGTCACACAATGAGCAATGAAAGCATTCAACCTCTTCCTTAATCAAAAGCCATGTCTCTCTCAGAGAGCATAAGGTTTCCGTATAGCAGATTTATCTCCGCAAAAATTCTTCCACCTCGAAACCAACCCTCCTCTTTGCCTTGTCCCAATTTTCCATCTCCTTGGCCTGTTGTGCCGTCGTCATCTTGTTTGCTCCTCTAGTGCCGTCGCCAGTTGCCATGTCCGATGCCAGCGAAGCATTCAGTCCCGCTATACCAGTCTTGACAATCACAGCCCGAGAGTCTTGCAACCGAATCTCGACTCCTGCCCCTCCAGTGTGGGATTGTGATGAAGTCACACTCGAGATTCTGTCCCTTCCAATACCGGGATTCGCAGGAGCACCACCCACGACACCGCCATGGTTGCCCTGGATTGGTGTCTGTTTGGCAGCATCCGCCCCTTCAGCGGCCTCTTCATCCAACCCTCTTATAATGATGGTGATGTCTGGTCCGACGCTCCCTCGCCACAGTGTGGCAAACCACTGCCAATGAGCCGGTGGGGAGAAGCCGTCACTTATTGGCATACTGATGGAGCCTGCGTCGACAGTGGTGAGCTGGAAATGTGGAACAATAGCAATAGGTATGGGTAAGCTAGAATTGGTACCAGATGTGGACATGGAGGCTCTAGTTGGCAGTGGCTGTACAGATGTTGGACGGGGCACTGAAGATGCTGGGAGAGGAGGGGGAACTCTTGACAGCTCACGAGAGTTTGATGCGGTGGCCGGAGGCGGAGGTGTGGACGGCGGCGGTGTATCTGGTGGAGGTGGAATTCGCTTCGAGTTAAGAGGACGTGGGAAGGTGAGCAGCGGCGGCATGGCTCGCGTATCCGACCCAGCTGGAATCAACTCGTTGCCAGTCCACACACCGGGTGTGCTTTGGCTTCTCCCTTTGTGTGCGACTGAATTCACAAAAGGCGAGTTGATGGACATATCTGCAGCTTTGCTGATCGTCCTGGGTGAGATGGCCGAGTCAACGTGATCTTTCCTCCTTTCGTGTACCGTAGTGGATGATTGGGACGCAGTTCTCGCATGCAGGTCGGCCTCATGCGACATCGGTGGCTGGTGGTGATCTTCCGCTTCTGTCATGGGGTGATCCTCATCTTGGTGGTCGAGCCTAATGGGGGATGACTGTGTACCACTCCCGGGCCTTGAAGTAATATACTCGACCATGTCCTTGTTGATTTTGTGCCACTGACTCATTATATCCAGGTACATATCCGTTGTCATGGCACCCTTCTTTCCTCCGCCAGAAATGGTCTTTGCAGCGCGCATCGCGGAGTATGGATCCGGACCTCCAAATATCCTTACAGCAAACTTGCCCTCTTTCTCCAACTGCTCAGCTAGAGAATTGGTCATGCTGTCAACACTGGCTGCGTCCATACCCTCAACGGCAATGATGGCTCCTCGAACGTCTGGTTTCGGTGAGGTGAGACCTGGCGCCGGTAACGGACCGGAAATCTGAGAGAGTACTTTGATTTTGTTCAACACTGGAATGGACATTATCATGGCCTCGACTCCAGAGCTCTGAGACTGTGTAGACGGCGTCTTCACCGGAGTCTGTGTAACCATTGTCTCGATAGGAGGCAAGGCGACAGTCGATCGATTTCGCTGATGAGGAGGTGGTGGTGGTGGTCGAATAGGTTGCAGCTGTGGGGGCCGAGGGTATGTTGCTCGAGGAGGTGACACCATCTGCGGTTTGGCCATTTGGACATGTTGGACGGGGATCTGTTGGGGGTGTTGCATGACTTCTTGACGTGCGTATAAACCACTGGTGGTTGGGGAAATGGCATAAGAGTACGATGCTTCTGGATAAACTTCACGAGTAGGCACATAAACACCATTGCCATTGAATCGCCGCCTCTTTGCATCCTGGGACTCTGCAGACGGCGGAGTCGGCAGTGTTTGAGAGGGGGTTGGGACAGCATAGACCAGTCGAGGGTCGACTCGCTGGAAAGTGACATGTTCAGGCGAAAGAGCAGATTGTCCGTGTACTCTCGAGCCCGGCGGTGCAGCACTGACGACGTAGCCACGTTTTGCTGGGACCGTAACGGCCATCGTTTGTCGGGTAGTCGACGCAGGCGGTGTATACACAGGGGCTGGGTTTGAGTAATAGTTCATTGGCTTTCCACCGCACTTTGGGCAAGGCTCTTGAGGTTCGGCAGACGAAGGGCCAGATAGAGAGGACTGGTTGCTGACCCGACCGTTGCGTCGTGGATGGTAACGATAACCGGGATACTGTTGTTGATGGCGGGCTTTCTCTTCCTAAAGAACGTGAGAAGTTAGACGAACAAAGGTCTTTGTGTGTTTGATAATCAGTCATCTTTATCTCAACATACTTCCGCAAGCAGATTCCATTCCTCTTTGGCTTCGGCGGACAGACCACGCCATTGTTCGCCAATGATCTTTGATACTTCCGGATTTGGGATGCCTGGGTTCTGCGCTATGATACTGGATTGCTGATGTTGTCGGAATAAAATAAAGGCTATAGCAGTGTCAGTGGTCCTTCAACAGCAAATGTCCAACAGCAGGCAATCCTTCTCACAGTTTCGAGGTCTTGGAATCTTGGGACTCGCAGGACACAAGCAAATACTCTCTCGGGAACTGGAGCCTTTTCTCCCAGCGGTTGAATGAGGCTGAGTCTCCATTTCCAAAGAACGACCTCGTCGAGAGGGAGATCCAGACCCAGTATCACCATTGGCGGTTTCCCGGGGCTGTTCTATATACTCTTCACGGGCGGGACCAGTATAGCTTGAGTTCTCAGGCAGATGGGCCAGGGCATCATCGCGGGAAGAACCATGTCTGGTTGGAGACCGATCACGAAATAAATGATGCTGTGCGAGGGATGAAGTACGGCGCAATGCAAGGTGATGTCCCGTAGGCGGTTTGGGTAGCAAACGATACCATGCTGGAAGGTTGGGGAGGTGATGGTCACTGGTAGCTGAAGTCATAGCGCAATGAAAGGAATTCTTTGTACTCTGACCATCCAAATTCTTTTCAGGGTGGAAGTGCACGAATGGCACATGAGGACAGCCATGAGTCTTTGTAGAGCATCAAAGCGAGTGTCCGCCACCCCTACCTCACCTTCTTTCGTGGCACTTAGTCTCTTGTATTGAGTCTGTGACGGGATGCATCGTCAGTAGCCAGGGCGATGGGCGCCGAGCGAGCATACGAGGCTGGCGACAGGATAGTTTGTCTTGGTTTGCTTTGTTCCCAGGCGAACGCAAGGCGGCAAAATGCGGTACCAATCACCGTGCACCCGAAACAATAAAGCAGTGGAATGTAGAGAAGACAAAGAATGAGTTCATGACTGCCATCGTCAGGGTGGAGCGTCTGGAGGTCTGAGGAACGTAGGAAGGCTGGGATGCTCAAATGCCCGTTGCACAGGTCACGACTGATCATTTCTTGAGGAGCTAGCGTGGTGATTGAGAGATGAGGGAGAGAGAGTCTCGGTCAGCCTGAATCGCAATCAGCTGGAATGCCCACGGGTAGTGCCCTGGAGACCGCAATCAACTGCGACGCTATCAGTCAGATGAAATTGAGTGATGAGACAGCGAATACAGCCTGAACAGTGTAATAACTGTTTCTCTCCTGACTCAAAGGCAGTGGAGATGGCCATGGGCAGCACGAGGCTGCTAGATGGTGATGATAGTGACAATGATGAACGAGCCATTCAGTCGTCGACTCCAGGCCGCCAGTTGTTTTCCCCAGGCAGCACTATGCGGCAACGCCTGAAAACCGACGGAACGGAAGGCCGAGTTGTTCGGAGGTGGCCAGGGTCAATCTCAGCCAGATAATTATTGCATTAGAGTGGGAAGACCCATAAACAGGAGCTGACTGTGTTCATACAAGACAGAAATTGGGATGAGGTGGTGGAGTTTGTCTAAGGCGAAACGAAACTTCCCTGCGGTTGTTGCGGATGCGTAGTGGCTGAGTTTCGTATATTTCGTGACTCGTACTCATACACTCATTCTATTCATCAACTTTTTGGTTCAACCATCCAATGCTCGCTCTCGTCAATGCATTGCTGCTAGACGATTCCCAAGCAATCCAGAAACTCCCACTTTTCACCCGAGCGCTCATGTTCACCCAGCGAAGACCCGGACATTCCAGTCAACGCAGCCAGTGGCAATGACACAGCGAATCTTGCCTCCTCCTCCACTGTCCTCCTTCTTAACAGCAGTGCCTACGCCGTTGGTCTCCCCGTTCATGTTTGGTTGAATGGGAATATCCGGTGCCCACCGGATACTGGTGATGAAATGTTGGTGAGCATCCTCCAGGACCTTGACACATTTACACTCCTGCGACAAATCCCAACATCGAATGCTTTTGTCATCAGATATCGAGATCAGATACCGGCCACCAGGGTGAAAGACGAGGCCCCGTACCCAATTATCGTGTCCCACCAATGTCTTGTGGCATGTTCCCCGATTGTCCCAGATCTTGATGATTTTGTCCCTTCCTCCTGTTGCCAGAAACTCTCCACTACTGCTGGCCGGAGGTGGCTTTTTGTACCCAGCGATACTAGAGAGATGGGCGTAAGACGAGCTTGGGGCAAAGGCAACACATTCCACCACGTGTTCGTGGCCTAAGAAGGTGATTTTGACTTCGCCCGAGGTGGCATCCCACAATCGTGGTATCTGATCGTTTCCAGCACTGAGTAGCCATCTCCCGTCGATCGAAGGAACCACCGCTCTAACCCAGTCCGAGTGCCCCTTTAACGTTTTCAAGCAATAGCCCGTTGTGACATCCCAAATCCGGAGTGTCTTATCTCTTGAGGCGGATACCAGTGTGTTCCCTGATAGAGGAGCACCAGCAGCACCCGAAGGAATAAACCGAATAGACGAGATGGAATGGTCATGGCCCGGTAGCGTCCGGATGTTCTTGTATTCATCGCTTGGGTCCCAAAGCCGGATGGTGAGATCACTACTGCAACTGGCCAACAGAGTGCCTCCTCTTGGACCACCAAAGTCGACATCCAGCACGGCCTTTGTATGACCTTTTAGTGTCCTTTCGAGCTCCCCTAGCTCCCAATCCCAGATTTTGATGGTGGAATCATCTGAAGCAGAGGCCAGTGAGGAGAAGATTGGATGGAATGCAACAGCGGTGACAGGATCCCGGTGGCCTTGTAGGGTGTGCCGGGCAGGGGCTCGGGGCAACCATGTCTGGGGGTCGATTTTTCGATTCGAGGAGAGAGGTGTAGCAGACTCTATCTCTTGTTGAAGAGCGGCGTTCTTTGCTTCAAGGTCCATAATTTTCTTTTGTAGGCGGACAACTGAGGTCCATTTCTTTTCCAACAGGGTCTCATACTTTTTAGCGGTAACGTCGTCAAATGTGTCGGCCAAGTTCGCTTCTCGACGCAGGTTATTTGCACTTTCAGTCATGCCAACCGAGAGCAAGTAGGCGACCATGGACTTGTGTCTGGGAGGAGCAGCGTCAGCCTCAAAAGTGTGGGTGGAAGGAACGTCGCGAGACCCTACAGTTCCTCTGCTTGACGGGAGGTCAGGAGCTGGCTCATGGCTGAAGTATTTTGGGCTCGCAGCCCCTTCTCAAATTGTCTCCCAAAGTCTAGATGTTCATGTGACGATAAGACCAGCACCTTCAACTGAATAAATTCTTGGTCGGTAGATTTTTGGCAAGAATCGGCTGCGTTGATCTCGTTGCTGTTGAAAAGGATCGACCGTTTACCGCAGCCACAATAAAAATCTTCTCCGGTAATGCAGCTCGGTGTGAAGTAAAGTAGTGAAGCATTCGAGGGCGAAGACGTGGTGGTAGGATTCAGATAGATGCAGTGAAGAATGATGGGAGGGAAGAGGTGCAGGGAAACCAACCTGGTCGTGGTGTTGTCATAGGCACAAGCCAATGTTTACTCCGTGTGTCGCCAACTTCACCCCATCTGCATCGGCATCTCCAACACCAACGCCAACGCCATGGTTTTTCCCGCATGACACTTTTCCGCGCGCCTGCGACCACTCGCATATAACTGACTTCTCAGTGTCACTCTCGACAAACGCCTCTCAAAACAGGCCATCGACGCGCCGCATATCTTGGATTTTCCTGACAGGCAGTTGCGCAATCCCCCAGGCCGCAGTCGCGACTGCACCGCACCGTCGTTTGTGAAGACCACCGACCGCATGCCGCCAAAACAACAATAACAACTTTGGTGAGTGTCTGTCGTCCGAGTCACCTGGATCTGAATAACTTGTTCCTACGCTGCCTTTGCATGGATCCGTGTGACTGATGTTCTTAGATAGCCCGCTTGCACGTCCCAAGAGAAAGAAACATTCCTCCAACTTCTTCTCAAGGTTACGGATCTTCTCCCCTACAACCATGGCTGAGCAAGAGGAAGATTTCTCGCAACTGCCCTTGGTCGACAGATTCGTGCACAAGAATTGGAAAGCCCGCAAGGGGGGATATGAGGCTGCCGTAAAAGTGTTTGAAATCACACCTGACGAGTCGGACCCCGCCTTTCGACCATTTTTACAAGATCCGAGTCTCTGGAAGTCTGCTGCGGGCGATTCCAACGTCGCCGCTCAACAAGATGGACTGGCTGCACTGTGCGCATTCCTCAAGTATGGTGGTCAACAAGCTGCCGTCCGGTCACGAAACTTCACCCTACAGGCGCTATACGAGAAGGGATTGTCATCCACGAGGCCTCAGGCCAAAGCGAATGCGCTGGAGGCTATCCTGCTGTACGTCGAGCTGGACAAGTCCGACCCTGTGATTGAAGAACTATTGCCCGCCCTATCCCATAAGCAACCAAAGATCATAGCAGCAACTCTCAACGCACTCACCTCCATCTTCCACAACTACGGCGTTAAGATCGTCGAACCCAAACCTGTGTTGAAGGTGTTACCCAAGGTGTTTGGTCATGCGGATAAGAATGTCAGAGCAGAAGCACAAAACCTGGCTGTCGAGTTGTACCGCTGGCTCAAGGAGGCGATCAAGGTCACATTCTGGGGCGAATTGAAGCCGGTTCAGCAACAAGACCTGGAAAAGCTGTTTGAGAAAGTCAAAGAAGAGCCACCACCGAAGCAGGAACGCCTCACAAGGTCACAGCAAGCCGCTTTGGCGACAGCAGCTCCAGCAGCCAGCGGTGGCGACGATGAGTATGGTGAAGTGGCCGAAGAAGAAGAGGAACCTGAAGTGAATGCTTTCGACTTTGCAGAACCGGTCGACGTCTATTCGAAGATCCCCTCCGATTTCCACGAAATGGTAGGCTCGACCAAGTGGAAGGAACGCAAAGATGCCCTTGATGCGCTCTTTGCTATTCTGAACACTACAAAAATAAAAGAGGCGCCCTTTGATGATCTGGTCCGTGTGTTCGCAAAGTGTATGAAGGATGCCAACATTGCTGTCGTGACGGTGGCCGCCAACTGCGTCGAGAAGTTGGCCTTGGGTCTTAGGAAGTCCTTTGCCAGATACAGATCGACAATAATGTCCCCAATGATGGAGAGATTCAAAGAAAAGAAGCAGACCGTGGCGGATGCTCTGGGAGCTGCGCTGGACGCCGTCTTTGCTGCAACTTCTCTCACCGACTGCCTTGAGGATATTCTGGGATTTTTACCTAACAAAAACCCCAACGTCAAAGGCGAAACAATCAAGTTTCTCGTCAGATGCCTGCGGACTACCCGAGATGTGCCTTCCAAAGAGGAGCAAAAACGCATTGCCGACGCAGCCACGAAGCTCCTCACAGAGTCAACCGAAAGCATCAGATCCGGTGGTGCTGAAATTCTCGGAACACTCATGAAGATCATCGGTGAGCGTGCGATGAATCCTTATCTAGAGGGACTAGACGACATCCGAAAATCCAAGATCAAGGAGTACTTTGAGACTGCCGAAGTCAAAGCGAAAGAAAAGCCGAAGCCTGCTCCCGCGCCCGCTAAGGCGACCTCCGCCGTGGGTAAGAAAGTTGTGGGAGGTTCGAAGAAACCTGCACCTGGTGGGAGAAAGCCAGCGCCAGTAGCCGCACCTGCTCTGGTCGAGGATGCCACACCTCTACAACCCAAACCTACGGCCAAAGCGCTTCCCAAACCAGGCGGACTTGCTCGACCAGGTCTAGCACAGCCTGCTGGTCTCAAACTTGGTGGGCTCAAGAAACCTGCTCCTGGTGGTCTTTCGGTTGGTGCCGGAAGTCCGCAGCGACGAGTCATCTCACCACCAGTGAGCACAGATGGCGACGAGGAGACAGCAGCGGCAGCAGTGCCATCCCCTTCCAAGTTTGGCATGGGCCGAGGTGGACTCGCTGGGCGCTCGTTGGCCAGACCGACTGCCGCTCCACTTTCGCCTCCGTCGACAACATCAGCCTCAAACGCCCTTTCAGTAGTGGAGCGGGCAGAACTAGAAGAACTACGCGCTGAGAAAGAACGACTTGCAGGCTTGAATGACAGTCTTCGAAGCAGCAATGCCAAACTCACGGCCGAAATATCAGAACTTCAAAATCAGAATGCACAGCTGATTGAGGATCATACACGCGACGTTTTGCAGATAAAAGCCAAAGAGACACAGCTGGTCCGGGCGCGAGGCGAATGTGATGTTCTGAAAGCAGAGATTGAAAGTATCCGGAAAGAAAGCGAGCGGTATAAGCGAGAGGTGTCCCGACTTGGGCGTGAGAGTATTGGTCGAGAACGAGAGGACATGATTCGTGGACGTGCACTTGACGAAGCCTCCAATTTTGGCGGCGACAGTGGAGCTGGGGCCATATACGAAGACTCTTCGTTGAACAATCGATACCAGGCGAACGGAAATGTTCATGCAGCGCGACCTACCAGCACGGCTTTACATCGGACCGGAAGCTCAGCCAGCACACAGAGTGGTCGTGCACAGTCGCAAGCCAGCAGCGCGAAACCCAGACCGCAGAGTGGATACACATCTCATGGTAACCGTCTCGATCTCAGTCCCAGCGAAGAAAAAGAGAACAATGGGCTTGGAATCGACACATTGGGCGGAACAAGAAGAAAAATCAGCCCTCCCATGGTGTCAAATGGAGCTAGCGGAAGAATGAGTCCACAGCGATCCGGGTATACACCTGCATACTCTATGAGCAGAGAAGCTAGTGACTCTGGACTTTCGACAGGGGCTGGACCTAGGGAGTCTGGAAATAGGCCGGAGGAGAATTGGAAGCGAGCAGCGGAAGTGACGAGCCAGTTGAAGGCGAGGATTGAAGCTATGAAGGTAAGTTTCCCCCAATTTGACGAATGAGATGTGCCTGTGACTGACATGTACCTCCCCAGGCACGACAGGGCTTGTCACGGCATTGAGTGGAGCTAGCTATAAGGCGCAATGGAATGTGGACCGACTTTGCTGATATGGAGCACTGTACCGACGATGACGAAGCAAGCGAGCGCTTCCATCATTGTTTTCCTTGGGGCTTTTGGGTGTTACTCCTATGTTGATGGCGGGTCATGACGCGGCCACGGCGGAGTTGACATTGGAAATTCGATTCATGTAATGTACAGAGTCTGCATTTATTGCCATGCTCTGGACGGCCGAGGAGTTATTGTGGGCCTCTCCCAGGTGTTGACGAGCGGCGTCTTCATTTCAGAGGGTTGTACTGCAGCTTGCCAACCTGGAGGTCTCTCGGTGGAGGCAGGATTAATTGGCATTGTATGTAGCCATGCGGATCTCTCTCAGAGGAAAGATCGAGCTGAACCAGAAATCAGATTGATACCCCATCCACGACGCGTGCATCCTGTGCCCTCGATTTGGACAATGCGTGGTACCTAACCTACTTACCTAGTACAAGTACGTTGGTCATGGAACTGGGAAGGTACCAGACCAGGCACGCCAGGTAAGGTACGCCAGGTAAGGTAAGGTACTCACCGACCTTGGTAGAGGGTACCAGGACCAGGCAGCAGGACAAGGGCAGGGACGGGGGGGACACTAAGGAAGGGTACTTGGGTACTTCTGGGATTAATGGGTGGAGGATAAGACAGGACAGGACAGGACGGGACGGGACAGGGCAGGATTTGCAGTTTTTCAAGGTTTCTTCATTTTATGAGACTTTTTGTTTGATCGTGGTCATGATCGTGATGGTGTGTGTTCCTGACTACCCGTGACCATGACCATGACCATCAACTGTCGGACTGGGTGATGCAGCGAACACCTGATTAGAGGGTAGATACGTAAATCGCTGGCATGGACGCACAGTTTGGCCGGCAGGAGAATCCATGAGCGCTGCGCTTGAAAACCCCTGGCTCCTTTTCATCATCGTTTTGAGCAGTGACAGACCAGACCGTAAAATATGATCCGTGCATTGCCAATGGCATCCATCTCCTCCCAACATGTAATTCGTCACCTCGAGTGGCCAGTGTCAAGCTTGGCCCACCATCGTACTGATTGACATGATCATGACAATCACTTGAACCGTCAACAGGCCTTCATTTCTTGAGAAGCTTCCCCTCAGTTCTCCCAGAGGTGAGTCACCGGGAGGAAAGAGTCGGGGAAAAGGAGATGTCTGGAGCGGCTTAGATCTTGATGGCGCTCTCAACAGCCTTCCTCTTCTTGTCCATCCGTGCAACAGCCTTGACACCCATGATTCCACCACCCCAGTGTCTTCTGTTCTCCTCGTACTTGTTGGTGTAGCCCTCGTTGATGGCGTTGACCAACTTGGACAACTCCGACTTGTCCTCGCCCTTGACCTCGGTCAGAGCTAGCACGGCGGCAGTCTTCTTGTGTACGACGGTGCCAAGGCGAGCCTTGCCCTTGATGATGGCGTATGGGATGCCCATCTTCCGGCAGAGGGCAGGGAGGAAGACGACAAGTTCGATAGGGTCCACGTCGTTGGGGATCAGGACGAGGGATGCCTTCTTGGCTTCAATAAGACCGACAACGTGGTTGAGGCCGTATTTGACTGTGTAGGGTTTCTGCTGTGATATGAGTATGCTGTTGGTCTTGGAGGGTGTTGTAAACGCTGCTCACCTTGCTCACGTCCTCCTTCTTCTTGCCCTCCTGGACAGCGGTCGCCTCCTGGTGCAGTCTCTCTTTCTTCTGTGCCTTGGTTTCAGGGCGGTACTTGTTGAGTAGCTTGAAGGTCTGTGCTGCGGTATTTCGATCGAGGGTGTGCTGGAACTGGGCGATCGCAGGTGGCACCTTGAGGCGCATGTTCAAGATCTTCTTCTGGCGTTGGAGGCGGATGTACTCTGGCCATCTACAAACATGTCAGGCACCTCTACAATTGTAGCCGGAGCGCTTGGAAAATTCGTACTTGACCATGCGCGACAGGTTGCGCTTGGGCTGCACATCTTGACCGATGCCAAAGTTTCGTGGACGTCTCTCGAGGAGAGGGTTCTACAGAGGCGCAGGTCAGCAAGTCAGCTCACTCCGCTCTTCCCGAAGAGCACATCCAATGTCGTGAAAGACACAAGATCCGAAGACAACACTGGAGATCTGCAACGTACCTTGGCAGCCTTCTTGCTAGCACCAGCTTTCCCTTGAGGGAAAGGTGCAGGCGCGGGTTTCTTCCCCTTTGGTGGCTATCATTGAGCAAAGAAAACCGTCAGCAAATGTCCTCCGACTGACACAAAAGTTTTCTTTCAACTCTAAGGAGAAGGGAACCTCAGACCAGTGGCTAACTGCGTCTGAGATTCTCCTTCTCCAGCCGGAGTCATCACCGAGAATGTAGCAAAGGGACAGGCGAGACGCGTGTGTCCATTGTCCGCACCGTCAGTTAAGAGGTCAGGACGCTGGGCTGCTTCACACGCTCACAATGTCCCCGCGCAAATTCTGGCGGAAATTTTTACACATCGAGCAGCACCCGATCCACGAGGGTGGAACTTGATGTGCAGGTTGTGGTATAGCGGCGGAGGGCAGAGACGATGGTTCAGCTTACCATTTTGTCGTTCGAGGAAGAGGTGCTTGAATTGAAAGAAGTACAAGGTAGAGAGTGATGTGAAGGAGAAAGCGTAGGGCACGGGAAAGTGTCAATCAATCTGCAACTCGAAAATGTGGAAGTTCGAAGTGTGGGCTTGCCAAAAGTGGAAAGGTCATATCTTGGCAAAATATATCTGAGGGGCACAAGATGATTGGTGAATAGGACAGCCTCGGATATTCAGCCTCGTGGGAGTTCCAGATCCAATCAAGTGCGGAAGCCATTCTGGACTCTCCATTACAGACTCTCGTGTGGATCAAAAGAAACAATAAAGGGTGAACTTTAAGCCTTTCGCAGTTCGCAATCGAAACAACAGGCACTAATGTAGCTAAAAAAGAAACCGAGATCTGACTCCATCCGGGGCAAATGTACGAATGGATCGATTCGGCACATCCAAGGAGCAGCTATTGAATGATGCTTTTTATCAGCCAAACTAATACCTATCTATGCATTGGTTCTCTAGAGATGATCTGGACCGGGCATCTGAGATCTGCACATCTCAGACCAAGCCCAGATCACTACTGAGTTGCTGTTCAAACTCCTTGTTAATCCAGCCGTTGTGGTCGCCACAGTTCTCCGTCCATTTTGTCCGCACCTCCACAGCAGCCAGAACGACACGATGTCTTTATGATGGTGCCCTGTAGACATCATAGCTCACTCTAAGAAAAGAAAGAAGCCGCAGAAATTCCTTGCGTATCACTGCCCCAACCTGTCTCCATTACAATGCGTTACAGGCATGTCTTTGCCTTGTGCATCTCACACCGAGCATGTCCGACCGATCATGCGAAACCGAAATAATCAGCGCCGAGATTAATTGCCGTCATCAAGTTGTTCTTGAGAGTATCATAGTCATCGTAAGCAGGCAAGTCCAGCTGGTTGAAACAAGTGTGACTCGTCGGTAAGCGAGATTGACTTGGATCCCTATAGTGGTAGTATCGTTAGCATCTGTGCAAAAGCCTGACACGGTATTTGACAAACTTACTTGTGAATACTGAACAACGTATTCCCTTGCATGCCTTCAAGGTCCTTGAAGCCGTTGAGAGGAACTTTGCTGGTGCCAGTGACGAATTGTAACAATTTCGCCCGTTCTTCGTTGCTCATACCGCGGACAATGCGCCAGAACCATGTAACTTGAGGACTGTTGGCATTGTAGTTGTGGTATTCGGTATGGGCTCTCCAATCGTCCACGTCGATCTCCGGCAGTCCAGAGATGAGCAATTCGAGTTCCTGTTCGTCGAAGATGGCGATGAGCTCTGCTGGGATGATATCATGGAAACCTTTGACGAAATTCTCAAGCTGCTCCTTGACTGATGTGGTGAGGCGATAGCGAACTTGGGCATTGACGTATTCTCTCTTGTTCTCCTCCGTCACGGGGATATTGCGGCCGTTCGGAACAAGGTCCACGATCTTTTCCTCGCCAAATTGCTCTTCGACCACAGAGAAGTCTTCGGTGATGACGTCGGTGATGTCGTTCTCCAGAATCCACACCAAACTCTTGTAGTAGTCAAGATCCATGGACTCGAGATCTTTCAAATTAGGTTCCTTCCCAAGAAGACGCTTATAAACAGCCCGGCTGAAGTGACAATCAAGAACACGGCCCTCGTGCAAGGCCTTTCCAATGATGCGTCCGATGAATTTGAAGTACAGAAGGTGTTCGCCATTGATCCAACTGAGCGGGTTAGGGTGGAATGTGGTACGATCGGCTGCCACAGGTTGCCACAAGGCCCAATCTGGATTGAACATGCCTCGAGCAAGAACTTGAAACCATTCTCGAGTGACACCACCTGCATCAACGCCTTCTTCGCCGTTGAAACGAATGTTGAGTTTACCATATTTCATCTCCTCGGCGGATTTGTAGTACAAGGCCTTGTAAGAATCGAGGAACACTTGGCTGCGGCGGACGTTGAGCTGTAGAGGGGGTTGAATATGACGTTGCTGGTGCAATCTAGAGTGAATCTGCTTGGTAAAGTAGGCTCGCTTGTTGTCAAAGTCGAGGACTTTGGGGTTCTTAACCAAGAGGCTGAAGCTTCCGTTTCCTTGCATCAACTTGGGAGATTGGCGGATGATATCGTTGAGAATCTTCCGATGCTCGGTTGTGAAGTTGAAAAACAGTTCTTGGAGGTCATCCATAGCCTCCGGCGCAGGGCTTCCAGGTACCTGTTCTCGGATCTGGCGAGCCAGAACCGAGTCTTTGAGAGAGGTATTCTTACAGACCACCATCAACGACTCGATGAGTGGAAGCAGTATTGTAGCAAAAGTAGTAATGTTGTCCTTTTCGCGGACCGTTGTTAAACATTCACTCAGTTTGCTCCACAGCGGTCGCAGTGCAAGGCTTTCGTACGAAGAAGTAAGGATGCTCTTTGCCACCGCATTTCCCTCGGGTTCTTCATTCTCCGCCTTGGGCGCGGATAGATAGTCCAATGCCTGGAGAACTCGCAATAGCTTGACTTGGTCGGAACCACCATGGGAGAATTTGGTCGACGAGAGCACATGGAGGTCAGTGATCGACTGCGCTTCTTTGAGCTGTGGAATCAGCTCCTCTAGGTCTTTGCAGATGGATTCCGAAAGTTCTCTGATGTGATGAATCAACTCCTTGCTAAAGACGGCCGAGGTACCGGGAATGCATGACAGGCTCGACAGCGTCTCCAAGGTAGAGTGGAATGTGTCGCTATTGCATTCCGGAGCAACAAAGATGCTCACAACGAGTTGTAAATTGTGTTCTGAAACCTCGGGCGGTTCGAAAGCCTTCTTTGATTTGGCGCCTTCGGTCGTCAAGTCGTCATTGCTAGTTTCTGCATTGTCATTCGTGCCAGTCTCAGCAGTCTCGGGTTGTTCAGCCACACTTGCAGAAGCTTCAGTCGCTTCGTTGGTAGCAACAGGAGCCGGAGCATCTTGGATCTCAACATCGGCATCTATTCGAGCTGGTTGAGCTGCTTCAGCAGATGCACTGGCGGAAATTGCTTCCTCTGTGGTCCTGCCCTCAGGCTCAGTCGGCTTCTCCTCGTCGGCGACCTTCTCCTTGTCCTTCTTCAAAAGATTCGGCAAAGGCTGAGTCACGGCCGATAAAAGCTCAGCAAGTGATTGAAGGCACGACGAACTTTCCACGATCAGTTTGCGGTCGAGGAGGCTGATTAGATCGTTGATCGGATATCTGGCTGCCTTGACCTCCTTGGCTTTTCCTTTACCCTTCTTGGAAGCCAGACTGGCATCACTTTCCCGGATAAAAATAGTCCGGGTGTGGTAATTGCTCTGGCAAAGCTGTCTCAGGGCAGAAAGACACTGCTGCACGACCACAAGAGGGGTAACCTCATTGCTAATGCCACCTGCAGGCTGCAGTGAGAGCGTGCGTTTGAGTGGCTGAGGCGTCTTCTGGCCAACAGTTGCTTTTGCTCTCAAGGATAAATTGGCTAGACTGCGCTCAACAGCCGACACATCCGTTGAACCTTCTTTGAGAATGAGGAGTAAGAGATTGACGACTTCGGATCGAGTTTGTCGGTTGCCGCAGATATTGCGTAGGACATGCCATAGATTTGTGCGAAGCGAGCCTTGTTGTGGTAAGAACATGAGGCGCAACAAAGTTGCCACTCCAGACTTCTCAACCATCTGAATAATCTGCCGCTTGCCGTCGCGTTGACCTGCGTCTTCGCCGTGTCGGTCGTCACGCCCGTCTCCATCAGTTCGGACATATTGATACAGACGTCTGGCATGTGCCCGACCTTCTGCAGCGTGACGAGGATCAAGCTGACGCAAGACCTCGGGGGGCTGTTCTGCTAATATCACACGACGGAATGCAGGGTCAAGGGTGGCCAAGAAGTTATCGTTGTCCATGTCTTCCGCCTGCGCGTGTCCTCCGTTGGCTGCAGCTTGTCTGCGAGCTTCTTCACGCTCCCGTCGGCGTTGTGCGTGGGCTTCCTGTTGCCGTATCTCTTCTCGGATCTCTTCTGGGAGAGCGTTGAGGAAGTCTGGATCAATGCCAGACGTACTAGCCCCTTCTTGACGAGCTTCTTCACGGCGAGTAGCATACTGCTGCATGATGACCTCTTCGCGGAGTTCTTCTGGTAGGGCTTCCAAATACTCAATATCAATCGCAAGCCCTGTGATGTCGATTTGCCGGCCTCGAATGGTAGTGAAAACACGCGGCTGCGCTTCAGTCGTTGTCGACGTCGAAGCCGCGTTGTCAGGGGCTTCTTGCGCATTTGATACTTCTGTATCTTGTACGACCTCCATGGGAACAGTGTCACCGTCTTCATGCTCAACATCCTCTTCTTGGGCATCAGCTTCGACAGCTGCAGCGATTTCGGCCTCAACCCGTAAACGCTCTTCTTCACGTTCCTCAGCCTCTTTCTTGCGACGTTCTGCTTCCACCTTCAATCTTTCCATTTCTTCCCGTTCTGCCTTCTGCTCCTGTTCTCGCTTCCGTTTGAGTTCTTTTTCCTCTTGCTGAGCAAAGGGAACCATGACCGACATGAGCCACAATTGAACCCTCTGGATCTTCTCTATATAGGTAGTGCCATAGAGAAGTCGTACTTCCTCTTGCCAACGTGCCATAGTCGGTGAGGGCACAAAGTTGTTACCGCGCTGGGAGTCTTCGCGGGAAACATGACGGTGATGGCGGGGATCCCACCCAGATGATCGCCAGGGATCGCGGAAATCTGTAAGAGGAGCGGGAATGCGAAGCCGAACCTGTCCTTCGCCTATCTCGCCACGCTGAAGAGCCGAGAAAATGGCGTCAAGTACAGCTCCATGTCCGCCTATTCCGCGTGGATCAACCGCGTGGAGAGTTGCTTGAATAGGTTGATGGAAGGGAGGGATCCCTGGTATCTGCATCGCAGACGGAAAGAAAATGCCAGCACCAAGGTGCTCTGTTCTCTGTCGAGACTCTGGTTGAGGCCTTCGTAACAGCGGGTTTGTGCCATCATCGCCAGACCTCACGTGTCCCGATATGCGGCCCGAGCGGCCTGGTGGATTCAGATCCTCACGGCCTTCAATCCGCCTAGTAAGGGAATTCCAGACCGAGCCAGCAAGTGGACGATGCCGCCGCATAAGAGGCGGATGGTCCCATGTCAAATGGGTGTGCTCGATGATCTCGCGGGCACCACCAAGTAAGTGATCGAAGTCACCGTACTCCAATCCGTCATTCTCGTCCATATCGTCGCCATCTTCATCATCTTCGTCCTCGTCGTCCTCGTCCTCATCATCATCGTCCTCTTCCTCTGGAAAAGTGATTCCTGGAGGTGGAACGACGCCGGGATCGATTTGAGGACGACTACGACGTGCGGCCGTCATGACTGGCGAAGACCCATCTTCTGACAGATCGCCCATCGAGCCATCAAGGTCGTGGTCACCTAAAACCCGAAGCAAGTTGCTGAGGACACCTGCCGACGCGGGCGGGCCATTGTCGTGACCCTGTACTACAGCAACGGGCATCATACCTCCAGGGAAGGAAAACCCATCGTGATCAAACCCAGCGATGCGATGTCGTTCCCCAGCATTTTCTGCCTCATCGCCGTCATCGTCGTCGTCTTCGTCTTCGTCTTCCCATTCGCCTTCCTCGTCCCCGGGTCCTTCATTGAGACTGTTGTTTTCGTCGTCAGCGTTGATTTCACCGGCATCGTCGTCTTCACCAATTTCAAAGTCTTCGCCGTCGTCGTCATCGTCCTCGTCGTCCTCGTCGTCTTCGTCGGACTCGTCGTCGTCCTCATCATCTTCATCTTCATCTGAGTCGACATCCATGTGAGGATCGTTCACAACAAATTCGATGTCCATTGGTACATCACCTGGAAGGCCCTCTATTTCACCGTCTGGCCCCATTTCACCTTCTTCTTCATCGCTGACTGCTTCGTCGTCGTTCGGACCGGCGACCATGCCGTCATCGTACTCCATTTCGTCCTCATACGCATCGTCATACATCTCCTCGTCTTCATCTTCTTCATCCGTCGCAGAGTCCGAGCCAGGATCCCGATTGGGATCCAGCAAACCGAGCGCAGAATTTCGGAAAAGATCAGGTGTTTCTTCCCGCTCTTCATCAACATCCGATACCGACGAGGCAGACGAAATGACGTCTTCAGGCATGTTCCCCACCACGGAGTTCAAAAGGTCCGGCGACGTGACGCTTAGTTGAGTTGCTAATGTGGTGAGCTCCTGTAATGGGCGCAGGATGAACTTGATCACTCTCTTGGAGCCAGGGTATGCAAGATCGATTTCTGTGAGCGAGCTGGTCAAGACTGAGATAAGATTCTTCTCAAACATCATCCTGGAAAGGACTTTGTAGGAAGTATTCTGGGAGCCAGCAGAGCCTTCTGGGACGGCAGGCTTTGTCAAGAGACGATTGAACATGTCAGCTAGACACAGCAATCGACTGTACTTCATCTGAAGTGGTTCGTTCGAAGAAATGGCATCCTTGTACGCCTTGATGGCGTGCTCGAGGACAAAGCGGCGCACGAATGTCAGGTCTGGTTCGTCGTCAACGTCCTCGATTTGTGGCTGTGTGGAGTATCGTTGCGCAGTAACAGTCATACCCGCTTCCCCTGTCTTAGAACACAGGGCAACAATCACTCGAATAGCCCAATCACTTGTGAGCAATTTCTTCTTGAATTGGAGAGAATCTTCCTTGTCCACATAACAGGATGGAATCAGTCCGGTGAGGAAGTAGTTGAGAATCCCAGAACGTGGCTTCGATGGCGTGACCGCCATTGGGTCAGCCTTGCGAGAGAAATTGATGAACTCAATCTTTGCGCGGTTATAAGAGTGCAGAAGTTCGGTCAGATTGTACATCAAGAAGCAGCGGTAGGAAAAGATTGGGTGCTCCTCAGGCTTGAACTTTGCCTTTTCAGATTTCGGCTGCGAACCGTCAATGGCAGGGCCTTCGGACGAACTTGCTGTAGCGGTGTGTTGGTTAGGATTTGACGTTCCATTCACAGTTGGAGTGCCCGAGACCTGGGCAGGGGGATCTTTATCCTCAACGTCCTTGTAATTCAACAACTCGGATAGAATGAAGTGAATGACTCCATCCGGATGCTCGACAGTCGGAGGCTTCAATTCGGGCACCTTGCCTTTGCTACCCTCTTCGTTGGAATCTGGCGCGTTTTCAACGCTGGCTGCTGGCTGCGTGGCATCCACTGTGCTGTCTTCGTTTGGTTGACTTTGGGCACCTTCGTCTTGGTCGGTTGCCTTGGACTCACTGGTCTTCTTCAACACTAGAGTATCCTTCAATACCAGAGCGGCCACACCTGTAGCATGCGGCTGCCACGAAGACAATTTGACAAGCTCATTTGTCGTCTCGACGAAGACAGATGGCGATCGCAGGACAAGATGGTATAGCTCACGAATGTAACTGTTTGTGTCTGGTTGCCTTGCCGTGCTGCGAGAGTGGAATAGAAGCTTTATCTCACTGCGCATGATTTGTTTCAGGGTTGCGTCGTCCTCGACAATGTGTCGCAGAATGAGCATGAAGCAACTTTGTAGGCGATGTCCCACCCCATTGGTAAGTTGCTTGACCATGAGGAAGAGTCTCTGAAGGTTCCGTTTCTCAGCCAACCTGCTGGCAACTTCTCGAGTTCGTGTAAGAGGAACTAGAACTCTAGTGATGGCCAAAGCCATGCCTTTGTCTTTGCCAACGCGAGGGAGCAGGTTCACGAGTGCTTCGAAGAGCTTCAGTTTATCATCCATGTCGAACACAGCAACCGGTGTCAGCACAGCCTTTGTGACAGAATCAAGGTCCGCCGGATTATCCCACTTGACTACTGCCGGCTCACAGTCCTTGGACAGCATCTTCTCAATAATCAACAAGATAGGCGCAACCCATGGAAAGGAGCCTTCATCAGCCCGTCCATCTGCTGCCGGAAGTTGTAAAAACGAAAGGATGCCTTCAAACGAGTCCTGGAATATATTGAGTGTCTCTTTGAACACTTCTCCATCCTGGATAAGGAGAGCTACCAGGTGCGCTGCGGCAGCGATTTTCTTTCCGCGGGATTCGTTAATATCATCTTCGTCTTGCATCGATAGTAGTGAACTAGTCAGAAGATCCAAGGTAGTTCTCCAAAACTCATTGGCTTGATCTTCACCCAATTTCTTTGTTGCACTAATGATCAAGTCAGACAGCTCGAAGGTCAAGTTCGGGTGATTGTCGAGAATATTATTGCACCGCTCAGCCAGGTCCTCTCTGATGAGTGCCCTCTGTTCGTTGATCGACTGGACGGAGTAATTCCGTGGCAGATCTGCCTCGGAAGGTTGTGGTACCACGCGTTCAGGCTCAGTGTCACTGTTGAGAAGGTTACTGATGTCCATTGCGGAAGAGACGCTCGTCGTGGCATTATCCGCCGGTCTCGATGCGGAAGTGTTTTGACTAGAGGTAGTGACGTCTTCCATCTCGTTGTCGTCTGGCGCTTCATGCGCATTCGGAAATATAGTGTGAAACGTGTCCAGCGAGACCCAACCAGAAGATGAATTTGAGTTTGCCGGCGGATTCACAACGCCAGAAATATGGCTAGGAGCAGTCGTAGTGTCGCTATCTCTCTCAGGGACTGGCAGTCGCCTCCGGCGAGGATTGGCTGAAAGTGCTCGGCAGTACTCTTCAGCTGGCGTGTAGATATTTGGCGCTTGCGAATTGGAGCGGTAAAGAGCCTCGCGTACGAGATCCTCACTGTAGCCTTTGTCTTTCAAAGTGTTGACCTTTGAAGGGTCAAACTCCGGTCGCTTTGGCGCAAAGGGTGCAAGAGTAGGGTGGTCACCATCAGACTGCACTGCTTCCATCTCATGGTCACCAGTGAATACATGCTTCAAGATCGAGATCAGCTTCTGCACAACGTCTTTGGATGCTTGGTCCGCGTATTCACTCGCCCATATCAATCGCGCGAGCGGAAGTGCTTCCATCCGTAAGTTGAGTAACACTTGAGCAGGAACAAAGTAGTATTGTCTCGAAGGGTCTATAGTCTTCATGTTGTTCGACTGTGCTGATTCCATGATGCATTTTGAGTCGGTGAATACCTCCAGGATATCGAGACAGATTTTGAGACCCGTATTGGCAGAGAAAATGGCATGCTCCACTTTGCATGACTTCAATTTGTCGAAAAACTCTGTGCCGATCTCCGTCAGAGTTTTGATACCGCCAGCCTTGCGAAACGCCTCGACGACAAAACCTTGACGGGCTGGATGTGTCGCGATGGGTCCTGACGACGAACTGCTGTCGTCGTAGAAGCTTCCCCGGACGTTATCTAGAGCGATCACAAGATAAGTAAAGCGGGGTTCGGTATCCTCGGCGCCACCGTTTTGCGGAGGTTTCGGGTTGAGGAAGTATGGTCGAAGTTGTGTTAAATAGGCGGAGGCGAGAGCATTTGCCACTAAGGACGTCTTCTGTTTGGAGAAGGTGTCTGGGCGACGCCGGCCAGCGATGTTGCGGCCAAGTCGACACAGGAAATCGGTGATGGCGGCAGGAGTTTCGATCAAGAGAAAGCGTAGAGTCTGGACGTTCTTGAAGAATGGTGTTTGTCGATCCTGACTCAGTGTAGCGGAGTCTGACCCAGAGATTGTTTTATTCTCGCCAGTTTCAGGTGTCGAAGGCCCTGTATGGCGAGACGTGATGTCGCGAACACTCAAAAGTTTATCAACCTCATCGTCACCAGTCGAGAAGTGTTCTGGGCGTGTTGCCGAGATCCAGGATTCGGGGATTGAGCGCTGGAGCGCAACATCCTCGCGACAACAGGCAGCTGATATCGCTCCCATCATTTGAGCAATGTCGGCTAAAACATCCTCTAGGTTCACTGACCCGAACAGGAAGTTATGCATGTGTCTCTGGTTATAAATCGGAATGTTGAAGATCTCGCTTAGCACCTGGGCCAGACAAAAGACCGCCATCATGCTTCTGACTAGGCGAGTTCCATTTAACTCCACGTCTGACAGCTGCGGAGCAGCGCCCTTGCCTGTCCCGGTGGTACCTGGCGCGGCTTTCACGAGAGGGCCAAAATAACAAGACCAGTCGGTTGGCTGACATTGGCTGAAGTGCTTTAGCTCTGAACAAGCAAAACGCGCGCGGTCGACAAGTGCAGGAAGGACAATGTGCGGTTTGGTCTCGGCCATCATGTGAACTGCTGCGGCCAGCTCTTGGAACATTCCACCGTGTCGGTCAAAGGGTTGAGTTGCAACCGGCAGGCTGGGCAATGTGATGAAGTCCAAGACAAGGTCGCAGCCACCATGGTCCAAAAAGCTAGTGCAATGAGCCTGGTGCTCGAAGAAAGCCATCAAGAACGCAATCGCAGGTCTAACGTAATCACTAGCTTTCAGCCCATTGCCATCTTGATCGCTCGGTCTTCCGGTAACAGTGCTCGGGGGAAGCATCTCATCCTCCAGAATCAATTTGTCACCATTCGGCAGGTCAATCTTTCTGGCAGGAATGGGTTCATCAGCATTGCTTGAAACTGGTGGTAGAATCTCCAACGACAGGGCCTCGCGTCCACCGCAGGGAACAAGTTCATCCTCCGTACCAAGCCACAGCTTTGCTCCTGCACCAAAGTTGACGGAGAGCGACCTGCCAATATGACGCACGCGACCAAGCATTATCATCACCGCACTCAAAACGGAAGTCCGCAAGTTTGGATGATGTCTGATGAGCTCATCGAATGTCGAACCAAGCATAGCCAGCATGCTTGCATCGTTGAGGACCTTCACATGGGCAGGTGACTCGAAGATCTCGAAGAACTTCTCCAGAGCACCGGAGGATTTGAACAGGTCGAAACCAGCACTCGTAAGACAAATAGCGCCGAACACCTGAGAGACGTTGACAATTGCATCAACCACGGGTGGAATACCTTGTGGTCGATTTTCAGGGATCGACGATATTGAATTTGACCGCTTCTGATTCGCTGGAGTTTCTGACGGGTTCGGTGACGGATTGACTGTGTTTAGAATGCTCTGAATAATACCTGCTTCGGATATCACTGCATAGCTTGTGGGCTCGTTGTGGAGAAATCCCCAGATGGCCTTGATGACTTCGCTCCATGTGTGCGCACCGAAAGCGGTCAGATGGTCGACAATGAGCCGAAAGGCACGGAGCAAAGCCTGAGAGTCGACCAGGCTTCGCAGCACTCGATCAGCCTGCTGACCCTGATGACCGCTGATGTCGTTGATCATGTCAATGATGGATCGGATTATTTGCTGATGCATATAAGGGATTTCGTAGTCCGTAGCCCGCGTCTTATGCTGAGCCGGTATCCCTTGACCTGCCTGGAGAAGATCCCAAGCACTTGTCACAAGAGTGCTCAAGAGATTGCAGATAGCCTCAAAAGCATTGTTACTTAACAAAGTTGCGAGACCATCTTTGAAGTGATGGAAGAACGTCTTGATAAAGTCAAGCATCCGCAGGTGGACCCTCATGGCTTTGGCGGTTGTAATACTGAAGCCGGTAAGGTATGAGGTGATAAAGCTCGAAGCTATCACCGCCTCGCTAGAGCGTCCGTGGTGACCGGTAACCTCAATGAGCGTCCTCGGCAACGAAAAGATCGCGTCTCTCCAATCGTCCCCAAACACGTCATCGGTATGGTCATGCTCTTGAGCAATATCACTCAGGCCCTTTTGTATCAGTTGAGAAAGGAGCCCCTGACTTGATCCTGCACCCAATGCAGCATGAATCTCGGAAGCGAAAGATTTTGAGTGTGCCAGGAACGACATCGTCTCCATGGCCAGAGTTTGAAGATAGATGGGCACACTAGGGTGGGACTTTTTTGTGTCGTGAAGAAGACCCACAACTTGCTGGATGAATTCCTGAGGTTTCTCCTCCGAGAACAGTTTCTGAGTGAGGTCCGGTTCGCTAAAGACATTGGCCAGACTAGCGATGGACAAGAGCCGCACTGCTAACAGCCCCTTGCGACTACTCGACGAGGTGATCAAAGCATAGGCAACACGAAGCTGGTGCAGCAGCTCGTATCGAACCTTGGGCGGCATATCGTCAGCCAGGTGGTTGTGCAAGATCGTCTCGATAGTGGTGGCTGACAGATCCGAGGGAGAGAATTCGAGTATCTTCACGCTCTTCTCTTTTTCACCTTGTGCATGGACAATTCTACTACTGCCAATGTCATTGGAAGAGCCGTTGGTACTCGCTGTGCCGGGGCCCGTCGACAATGGTCGGCTGCGTGTCGGGGTGGGTGAGGTTTCTAACGATTGCGAGGCTTCAACAGAGGCAGCCTCGGGTTCGGAGCCTGAGGTTTCCCACCAGACTCTGACGTGGTGAGCCCATGCAGACCAATCTCGATCAAGTCCGGCTGATGAAGATTTCCCGCGGTCGCCATGCTGTGGGGATTCCTTGCAGAGGGCACGAAAGTCGTTTGGATTGAATGCAGTGGAGCCACGCCTCGGTTTGCCGCCGTTGTGCTGAACTTTCTCTTTGGACTTGGTCTTGACTGGAGATGGTGGTCCACGTTTAGCATTCGCTGGAAGTGGCCCGAAAGGCGAAGCCAGTCTCTCGATACGCTCATAATCAAAATCATAAAATTTTGGCCCATGAGAAGAGGGGCGAATGCCTCCGTACCGCTGCGCTAGGAAGAAGGTGATTTGCAGAGTGCTGTGCAGTAGGGAGAGCGATGTGGTATGTAACAAGTCATTCAAGCGGTCTGTGCTATTGTAGACTGCGCGGTTTGCACATTTTTCAACCAGAAGTTTCGAAAAGGCCAGAACCGATTCGACCAGTTCTCTATCACCCTCTGGACCAAATCCTCTCTCTTTCAAACCCTGCTCATCGACCCCAGGGCTCCCCTCGAGTAACAGTGATGAGTTAAAGGGTATTGTCTGAGGGCCTTTGTCCAAGCCATATCTCGAGTTGAAGGACTGGAGGATGCTGTCAAACCGGTCGAGAGGTTCGATCCAGTTGTTGAGATCGCCACGGGGATAAGGCCATCTCGGCGACCAGGCAGCCAAGACACCTGGAAGGTCGACCAAGGGCACTGTTGAAACCTGCTTGACCAGATCTGTTACCGCAGGGGACTGTCGCAGTCACATCAGCCTTGTCCACCCAACATATGGAGCAGCAGGAACAAACTCACCAACGACGCCTTGTGCTTCTCCTGCGGCTTCCTCGTAACCTTCCCCATCTTCACTAAGCCCCGTGAATCGGCACCATAGGTTGCATCAGAGAGTGAGGTTGTGTTCAGCCTTGCGAGAGCCGATCTCCAGATGGGAGGCCAAGATCACGATATGGGGGAGGCAGGATTGCTGGCACAGCAATACAGGCAGGAAGAGCGGGTTGGTTGAATTCCGGTGAGGAAGAGAAGAAGAGGCGATTGTTCTGAATCGGCAGGAGAATTTGGGTGCGAAAGAGTGCTTGAAGTTTCGCTGAAAGTTCAAGGGTGTTGCGAATTATGAAGCCGCAATCACCTATGCCCTGACGCAGGCCAGTAGCTGGCCTCTCCAAGGATGAAATCAAGGACGAAATTAATAGGTAGAAGTAGTGTACAGAGAGCAAGGACGCAAGACGTTGAAACAAAAGAATGAGGATTTGTTGTAAAGCAGGCCTCAACTGGGGGTGATGGAGAGATGAAAACCGAAACTTGTCTGTCTTGTGGCGTCGATTCTTTTGTGCTGCGCTTCACTGCCTGCTTGGGTGCTGCCGCACTTTCTGGCAAGTGAAGATGGTTCGGGCGACTACTTGACTTTTGACGCGCTTGGGCCTGGAGTCTCTAGTGGGAAATGACGTGCCGCTTCCCCTCAAGGTACTAGCCGCATCTGCCAATGGCTGGGTCTTCCGGGGGGTTGAGGAGGGGCCAGTAGACGCCCAGAGCGCCCAGTCAGGCTACAAAACCTTCAGCACCACAGGCAGCCGTTTGGCTTTACTCATTCCAAAGTATTCGGTATTTCTAGCTATCCAACCACGCACTGGCTCAAGCTCTATTCTCTTCATCCTTGCCATTTGATCGTCAAGGTAGCCGGGTATGACTGTACCATGCTCTCCTCAATATTCAGATAGTTTACCACGTCACCCTCGTTCAGTTGCCGAAGCTGGCCTGTTGGTCCTACGGCTCTGGTCAACCCTTCAAGCCCGCAAAGAACAGACATGGTCGATCCCAAAGATGCAAGGCTCAGTCGAGCTCCAAGAGAAACCTCGTCTCCAGATGAGGCCTGCGGATCCTGGGACTGGCCTGGTCCAGCATCAGATAACTTGGTGCTGTCACAATCCACCGCAGCCTGTCATTTGCAGTTAGCACCATCATTCTTACTGAAGCAAAGCCTAACTTACCTTGTCTGTGTCACAGAGAATACGCTGCCCTGCAGACACCTGAAGCTGTGTCCCTCCGTCAATCACAATTTGCGAAGACGTCGCCTCTCTGAAGATGGGGGTAGCTGGTCGACCCCTACAGATCTCGCGAAAGTAGGTCTCAGCCTTCCTCGATAATGGGCCCTCTTGGTCTAGCATCTGCTTCAGCTCTTCGATGCTTGGTTTCCTGTCTCTTGCGCCGAGAATGTGATCGAGCACCTCGGCAAAGACTCGCGACTGATTGACGAAAACCCAAGCTGCCAACGGGAGCAGTTGAGTCCACACGATATCTGCCGGGGATAATCCAGTCTTCGAGGCTTCCTGAATCGCTTGCGCTGCAAGGCTTCGAAGCTGTACCGGCGAGTGCGAGTGTAGGCTGAAATTACCCTTGATGCCGTTGCTCACTTCCGCTTGCAAGCGCCCTGCGAGCTGCAGAATCGCCTTTCGTTTCTTCTTGATCAGAGCAAAACGCCTATCAGGTTGCTTCACATTTGCACAGCCATAGATGGAGGAAAGAAGGGCAATAAGATCTTGTTCATCGTATTTGTCGTGAGATTTCCCCTTACCTCCTAAGGGCAGAAGGAAGAGGTTTGCGGCGAACTGCGCATGAGCAACATTGAAAACATCCCGAACGACGTCAACCTGCTGACAGCCTGCGAGCTGATACGCACTCTTCCGGACCAGAGCAGTGATGACGTCCTTGTAGAAGGCGTCTGCCGCAGCCTGCAATCCTTCCGTCTGGAGCAGCTTGTGGGCGACAATCAGACCCTTTTCGCGATGATGCTGAAGTCCCTGCCCAGAGGAGAAGAGCTGCATATCCCAAGATGAACGGAAACCAGACGTACTCGCCACGACAGTCCTGCAAGCTGAGGAAGAGCTAACGGCAACGGCAGCAGGAAGGTTATCTGGCTTGTCGAAACTGTACAAATCTGCCTTCTTCAGCTTGGTCATGATCGCCTTATTTTCCTCCGGAATCACCAGCGGGTAGTGCGCGTACACTGAGTCCTGTCGATAGCTGTTGGGTAAGGCAGTCAACACCAACTTATAAAACACACATCCGTTGTTTATGGCCAAGTCATAGTCTGCCTGTTTGAATCCCCAGTTCGTCAGATTGGCAGGGGTATAGTCAATGGTATAGAAACGGTCTCCTCGAACCAACGCAACAGCGTCAGAAAGAATTGCTCGCGAGGTGGTGAAATTTGTACACAAGCCGCTGCCAGGGAGTTTGGGCTCCTTGGCCGCCTCGATGACTACGCCGGGGTATATTTCGACATTGTCCGGGTGGCCGTAAAGTCGACGCAGCTGCTCGACGACGAAAGGGTCGGGATTGATATCTTCGAACGTCTTATGGGGCTCGAGCTTGAAATATTCTCGAAACTCGTTCAAGCTTGCCAGATTCCAAGAACGACTTTGAATGATACCCAACACTTCCACATTCTTCAGGATCTCGGGCACGTGGAGGGCACCATAACTACCCGCTACGTCCGAGACAGATGCAGTCCAGATAGCTGCCAGCTCTTCGTCGGGGTACTTGTTGCCAGGTCGGCGCTGAAGACCTGCAAACTCTCGCCGGGCCGGATCCGGGCTCAGCTTCTTAGCCCAATCATTGAGTGCACCGAGGAACTGACCCATGGACAGCGATGATTGATGCCCGAATAGCTTGGTGTAAGCTTCCTTGGTCCACTGTTCGTCCCTCTCAGAGACACAGGAGTGCCATCGGTAGACCAGATTAAATTCCGCCGATACAGAATTCCCAGTGGCTTCCGGAATCTTATGGCCAAAGATAGCATTGCCTTCCTCAGATCTCGGGTCGAGGTTCCACAACGAGTCTACTCGATTCAGATTCAAAATTGTTCTGACGTAGTCTTTCAAGATGATGTTGATGTAGAGGCCAGTGGTGATCAACCGTGCCGTCTGGAACAATGCTTCATCATATAACTTGTCGGCGTTGGGCGGCTTCGGCTTGCCTTGTGGATTGAGAATCCTCGAGAAGCGGCCATTTTCGTCGATGCGAGCAAGATTCTCTGCTGTGTGATTGTGAAAGCGATTGAACATGATGAGAAGGACGCCGACGCCAGGAGGAAAGCCGAGAATCCGCACATCTGAGAAGCAGTCAGGTTTCAGCTTTCCACCCTGCATGGTCCGAACAGCCTCCTGGTCCTTTACAGAATTGCCATAAAGAGGAGCCAAATCGAGGTAGGAAGAAGTATCAGAAATGCTATAGTCATCGTGATTTGTGTGGAAGATGTCGTGGATGATGATCGAGGCCACATAGAAGAGTACGCTCGATATCTTGTTGGGATGAGGCCTGAACTTCTTGCGAGCCAGAAGACTGTCGAAGATGACTCCGGGATCCGGCCTGGCAACAGGCTGCATCAATCTAGGACGCACTGTTCGCGCATACGGCTGCCCTGCAGCCCCAAGATGCGGCCAAAGAATATTGTTGTTGGTCCCATCCGCCTTGCGATAGATGTAATCTGCTCCCAGATATGATTGAGCCGGGTGTTTCAGGTCTGTCCATAGCTGGTTTAGGAACGCATTGGTCAGAGTAGCGCTGGTTCTGCTGGAAATAGGAAGATCCGCGACTAGTTGAATGATTCGTTCCATAAGGTATGTCTTGTCGTCGATAGGCTCGCCGTCAATTTGCTGTAAGGCGACATCTTTGACGGTCCTGAGATTCTTCAAGTTGAAGGTCTTGAGCACATCCAAGATCTGGTCTGACCTCTTGGTTTCACTGGTCGATGCAGAGCTGCTAGAGTCGCTCGTACGAGGTCGCTCTTCCACAACCGGCGTCTTATCAGGCTGAGACCCCTTGGCGGGCTTGAATCCTACATCCTTTGAGTATTCGTCAGAGCTTTCAGGGATGCATAGCATACCCTTCAGTTTTGACAAGCTCAATGGCATGTTGAAAGCCTCTAGGTCCCAGACGACAAGTTACGACCAGCCGTAGAGCAATTATACCCAAAAGGACCAAGCAAGGAACAGTGTCGGAAATGAGGCTGAGGACAATTGTGATATACCCCTAGGTGATATACTGGCTGACCATTGATCTGCTTACTCGGTTCCATCAGCAGAAGAGGAGGCGGATCAGCGCAGAAGGAAGAGCAGCGCTTATAATAATACTTTTCTCTGGTCCATACTCCATACTCGTACTCATGTTCACATTCCCAGCCAGCCCCTTGTACGGCTGAACGGGCTGTAGGAAACCAAGGAACCAAAGGGTCCAGGAAGCCGCCACAACAAGAATAGCGCCGCTTGAGAAGCAAACCCGTCAAAAGGAGAAAGCGGGGCCGTAAAAGGGGGATTCGTCCAATGGACGGCTGCTGTTGGAAATCAGAGCTCCAGATGCCAGAGTCGCATTAGTTTGTTGAACGCGCAGCCTCTATTTTTCGAATGCCACAATATCTGCCACCAGCAAGCCGCAACCCGCAACAGCATTTCCCTTGCGACTGTGATTCGATGGCCATCAGCTTGTCTCCTTGAAGTCGCTTCTCCTTCACATCCGTCGTCCTCCCCCGTCGTCTTTGGTGCCCTTCTCGTGTTCCCTCAGCCGCAGGAACTCAGCCGCCCAACATGGCGTCGAAACCCATCACACTTCAAATACGCCCTCGAGGTAAGCAAATTTGGTTGAGACCAAGACATGAACAGAAGCCTCCGGCCCTTCCCCCCGACAGCATCCCTGCTCACAATCTTGTAGGGAAACCCATCAAATCCCTGCCGGAGTTCCTCGATCTGAAACCCGACGCCTCCGCAGCCGACTTGTATTATGAACTTGCACGCAGAACCAAATACTCGATACACCAGCTGCGCGTGACCAAGGGCTCCGATGGCAGCGTTGTGGCCAACTCAAAGGACACCTCGATATACCAGACCGGGCTACGTGACCAGAGCACAATTCATGTAAAAGACCTCGGGACACAGATAGCATGGCGCACGGTCTTCCTGGTGGAGTATGCTGGGCCGATCCTGATACATCCGGTGATACTCTTCCTACGACCGTACATCTACCCATCTGCCAGCAAGGAGTCGTCGCAGTTACAACAAGTACTCTGTGTGCTGATATGCTTGCACTTCGTCAAGCGGGAGCTGGAGACGTTGTTTGTTCACCGCTTCTCGGCTGCTACTATGCCTCTCCGCAATATCTTCAAGAACAGTTTTCATTACTGGATCATCTCCGGCCTCATGATCGCATTGTTCATCTATTCCCCATACTCGGCCGCAGCACAAGAGCCGAACCCACTACTATTTTATCCCGGGTTGATTATCTTCCTCCTTGGGGAACTGGGCAACCTTCAAACACATCTCATCTTAAAAGGGCTCCGAAGCTCCGGCGGGACTGAACGAGGCATCCCCCAAGGGTTCTTGTTTGATCTCGTAACCTGCCCCAACTATATGACGGAGACTGCCTCTTGGCTTGGGGTTTATCTTCTAAGTGGTCTCAGTTGGGGAGTACTCATCTTTCTTATCGTCTCCGTTGTCCAGATGGGGCAATGGGCAGCAAAGAAGGAGCGAAGGTACCGCAAGGAGTTCGGTGACAAATACAAGAAGAAGAAGTTCACCATGCTTCCAGGTATTTGGTAAAGCATGAGAAATCGAGTTAATGTTTCTTGAAGCAAGAAGAGAGACTGAGTGACAGAAGCTGTAATGGACAGAGCTACGATTGAGGTTGAAAAATGGCTGCGTCTAATAGTGAATCTCTTGAGATTCGCAATGTCTCATCAGGCAGACTGAGTTTCCGTCGAGTGAAGTGAAAACGCTTCACTTCAATGTGCAATCTGTGAGTACAGATTTCTCGTGGCCCATGCAACATCTTCCTCCTCTCGACCAAACCCAACAATACGGACTCGATCTTCGCCCTTCATCTTAGTCCCGCGTTGGACTCGAAGCCAAAATGGTTGTCAACATGAAGCTCATTCTTGGGATGATTACTTCCTTCCTGCTCATGGCCCACGCGATCCCTGCTCACCTCGAAACTGCCCTTGTCGCCCGTAACGAAACAATCTTGGATCTCCCACTCGATGACGATCTTCTCACCTTCAACATCGACCCTGACATGGCCGGCCCGGAGTGCGGTTTGACGTATGAGGCGAACATCAATGTGAAGAACCGCGGAGACGAGGCCAAGACCAGTAACTCTTGCAATCTTGTCTACAAGTACATCACGAACACGGCCAACGATGGCAAGACATCGAAGGACGTCAATATTGTCTACACCTGTCCTGGGACTCCCGAGCCAACAGACCCTGAGGGCTATGGTTCTCTTGACATCAAGTTCATTCTCAATGCACCTTCGGATTTCGCACGCGATCAGACCCAAGAACCGGCCACCTTACATCTTCTCAACATCCACGATGGTGCCGATCTCACGGTGCCAGTCACAATCAGTTACAAAGTCACGTCAAATTCGGAGATTATCTGGCAATTCATGAATTGTCCATAACCTGAAGCTACATCCATGATACCGATCAAGCGCGCCTACGCAGTTTGCAAAACGACATTATCAAATGCAGGCTGCCATCCGGATTTGAGAAGGAAGCAGGGAGATTTCAGGCCCTGCACGCATTCTGCAATGCCAGATGGACTGAGGCAACTTTATGACAGTCACGGGTGTGGCGCTGAAGGGAATTAGCTGAGGGCTGGCGTCAGAGAAGGAGATGTGATCAGAGTAATTTCACTTTAACTGGGACTCTCGAGAGCAAGATTAGTGCACCCCAGAGATGAACCAAACTCGGCTCGTCCTTCTGGTCAGCTACCCAAGGAAACAATCGGTCTTGTGTTTGTTCAATCTAGATTATTCGTAGTTCTCTTTCAAGGGGCGCATGTAGATAGTTGTGGCGTCGTAAGGCTGCGAGGCTACGAGGCTACGAGGCTACGAGGCTACGAGGCTGAGGTGACGAGGCTGGCATCGGAGAATGTGGAGCGAGTACCTCGAACCAACTCCTTGAGCACTGGAATTATCTTCTACCTACCACTTCTTCCCCGCAGCCACCTCATTTCAATTATGTGAGCACGAACAATGGCCTGCCGAGTAACTTCTTGAGACTTCACCTCTTGATTTGGCCCAAGGCACCTCAACATGCACTTCGCGCTGCCCCCGCGCAAAACATCCCATCCTCCTCCCTACGTTCGAAACAGTAATTTGACTGCGGCAGCTCAGAGACGGCGCAAGCAATTCCAAGTGGGCGCCTACATCGTGCTAGGGATATTGACAGTGTACCTTGTCGTCCGGTTCATTCTATCACTCGATTTAACAGGAGGACATAACGATGGTGCAACGTCGATTGAAGGGCCCCAAGACATTGTTATCGTCACGGTGTTCGACAATGCGACAATGAGCGAAGATTATGTGCGGATAGTCAAGGCAAATCGAGATGATTACGCCAGGAGACATGGTAAATCTTGTGTGAATGGAAGCACTGGAACATGGTAAACTGATTGCGATCCAGGATACAAGAACTTCTATACCAACACGACGACCTACTACAACCTCGTTGACCCTTCCCCCTTATCCTGGTCGATGATACCTGCAATGCGACATGCATTAACTGAGCATGCCACGAGCACCTTTTTCTGGTCCTTGTCCGCCGACGCCTTCATCACGAATCCTTCAGTCTCCTTAGAATCCCACGTCCTTCAACCGCTCGAGTCGTTGATGCTCAAGGACATTCCTGTCGTGCCGCCAGACTCAGTTATCCATACCTTCTCTCACCTCAAGCCTTCTCGCACACATCTAATTCTGTCTCAAGATATGGACAACCTCGCCCATACTTCGTTCATCCTCCGCAATACCCCCTTCAGCACAAAAACGCCAGACAATTGGGCTCATTACTTCTTGGATGCCTGGTTTGACCCTTTATACCGTGCTTATGCATTCCAAAAGGCTGAGAACCACGCCCTCGAGCACCTGGTCCAATGGCATCCCACAGTCTTGGCCAAGCTGGTGCTCATCGAGCAACGCTGGATCAACTCCTACAACTACGCCACACCACCCTCGAAAGACCCATCGACGGGACTCACACGCACTCACGACAGCATGTGGCAGGAGGGGGATTTGGTGGTGAATCTCAAGGGATGCAGAGAAAGCGACAGGCGTGACTGCGAAGACGAAATGAGATCCTACTTTGCCAAATGGGAGAAAGAGGTGGAAAAGCTGGATGGGAAGAAGCCAGAGCATAAAGTCGGACGTCCGACACTGAGGCGCCTTAAGGATGAGAAGAAGGCTGACAAGGTCAAGCCTCCGAGACGATGAGGCTGAGTTACCGGACTCCCTTCCGCATTCACGGTAGTCTGGAATTACCTGTTGCGATTTAATGGCGGAAGCTGTATTCAGCAGGGCACGGCAGTGATAGAGGACACTGTATAACAGATTTTCCTTGATACAACAGGCGCACAACTAGGACACTACGAGCGAGGCTATGGGCAATTTCGGGACAACAAGATCGGCCAACAGAACCAGTAGAGCAATATCTTTTCAAGAATGTTACAACTCGGCACGATCCCCACTTCGAGCTTATCTTTTGACAGTCTCCTTTTCTGTGTCCGGCTTCAGGCGAGATCTCCTCTGTCCGCTCGCAATTTGTCATACCTCAGCACCGCACCGAGCAGTACTTGGGCACCAATGGCGCTGGCGGATTGTCAGCAAGTGACGAGGTGAAGCAAAGACAACGGACTTACCAGTCTTCTGGGCTGCAGTATTCCTTTGGATTGTGACTGATTCCGTCCTTGGTGACGGTGAAGATCATGCTTGTGGGACACCGACGGTTGGTGTAACAGCTGTCATGACCAGCACCACTGATCATATATTTCCACAATTGTCCATCGTCAGCGGTCATGGGAAGGTCTTGACAGACCTCTTTGGCGCTTGCTTCGACGGCAGCAATACAGTCGGTGTGGAAGTTGACTGCTGGACTATCCACCAATTCCTTCCATTCCACTTTGCAGCCTTTCTCGCTCTCTTTCTCTGCGATCCTCGCAAACGCAGATCGACATGTCTCCTCGATCTCGGCGAGTTTGGCGTCCTCGGTGTGTCGAATATCCAACGTGAAGGTCACTGTGTGAGCCATGGTGTTGATTGACCCAGGCTGTTGGTTCAGAATGCCAGTTGTCGCAAGACCCCCGAGTTTCTTTGCAACGGCGTTGGACTCGACAATCAGCTTCGCAGCGCATAGCATGGAGTCCATCCTCGCAGTGAAAGGGGTGGTTCCGGCGTGGGTATCTCGGCCCTTGACCGTGATTTCAAACCATTTGAACGCTTGCACACCTGTCACAGTCAGGCTGGGAATCTGCTAACTTGTTCAGCAGTTACTGACCTTGGACCACTCCGACTCTCCTTTTCTCTGCCTCCAATATGGGACCTTGCTCGATGTGGACTTCGAAGTGCGCTGCTATGGGAAATGCCTTGTATGATGCGGGTTGCGATCCAAGATATCCGATTCTTTCGAGTTCTTGCTTCATTGTCTTGCGGTGTCCATCCTCTCCAGGCGACACCTCGGGCAGATTCCACGCTGTTTCCAGAGGGACAGCCTCAGCCCAGACGCCAGACGATACGGCCATCATGGGAAAGCGCGCTCCCTCTTCGTTGGTCCAGTTCACCACTCCAATACTTCCTTCGGTCTCAACATTGTTTTCGTGCAAGACCCTGAGGACTTCGAGGCCAGAGGTGACGCCCAAGATACCGTCATATCTCCCGCCGGTTGGTTGAGTATCGAGATGTGAGCCCATCATGATCGGAGGGGCTTTTGAGTTCTTCCCTGGCCTCACAGCGAACATGTTTCCCATTTGGTCAATGCTTATCTTGCAATTCAAGGACTGGGCAACACCCATGAACCAGTCTCGAACCTCCTTATCCGCATCGTTGAGACTGAGCCTTGCCATTCCAGTCTCGACCGGGTCACTGGTAGAGCACTAGATCAGGACCACTCCTCTGTCGGGCGGTTGGGGACTTGTACACTTACTCGCCATATCGATGAGCAGCGCCATACTTGCAGCCACTATGGATGGCGTCCATCAATCGCGATTGATTGACTTTCAAGCTTGATATGTCATGCTTTGATCGAGTGCCATTGATGCCGTTCACCGCGTGAGTTCCATTTACAGCCATTTTTCTGATCGTCCGACCCTTCACCCACCTGCTAGACCTTCCCGGGTTGAAAGAAGTAAAGGATCTTGAAATAGGAGATGAAGAGTATGTGCACGCCTGAGATGATCTTGTGATCAATCGCAGTCCTAGACTCCGACCAAGGTCAAAACAGGACGTGACAGGGGACATGGGCAGTTTAGTTGATCATTTACAACACACAAGACACATGGAGATGATTATTTCTTTTCTTTTTGTTTCGTCGGACGCTCCTCTCCTCTCGCCGGCTGTTGATTGGGGTTCATCTCCTCCGAATGATACGAGGGCAAGAGGCGAAGAAGAGATCTAAGGACTTGTCCGCTCATGCATCGGCTGTGGTTCTCTTCCACTCTTCCTACAAATTGGAGAAAGGCGACCTTATAGATGGAGATTCCCGACGACAACATAGCACGCATGGTTCAGTCAGTCTGCATGTGGCGAAACAGTGTTCTCTCAACCTCTCTGGGTCGTGGGTAGAGGGAGAGACGTTCAAGGCTGTCTTGTCTCGTTGACATTCCCCGGACACAGTCTATAAATGTTACACAGATCACTTCCACAATACTTTGTTGAGAATTGAGAATAAGATAGCAGTATTAATGCCTTGAGCTCTTGTTCTTTCATTCCTCACTCCCATTGCCATTGCCACTGATTGCCATCGCCGCCTTGCTTGCACACACCATCCCCCATTCAGCCTGTGCCTTGTATACCACAGATATAAAAACTTCCATTCCCCGGTGTCTTCAATATCGACTACACATATCCCTGTCATCCTATCACCTCGTCGAATCCTCCAGGTGGATCACAGACTTTGACGAATAGATAGGAACAAGGTTGTGTCACTTGTTGTTCCTCTTGTCGCTCATTGTAGCCACCGCACAACCATTGCGCGCAGTTTTGCCTCACCTCTATTCTATTTGCTCACCGTCAATCAGACATTCCATTATGACCTCTGGCATTTTTCAGCTGTTACACAAACACCTGTCACTTCTTCTATTAGCGTGTTTGCCTGTTTAAATACGCACAGTTATATTAATATTTCTTGTTTATTTAATTTTTTTGACTTTTTTGCTGTCTCATGATTTGACAAGATTTTTCTCTTTTTGGCTGGAAAGTTGCACACCGTGACAATTTTATATCGCCTTCATTGAACGACAAGACAAACACACTGTGGACACAACATGGAGCCTGATGAGACTACCTTGAATCAGGATGTCATCGACAAGATCCCCCAGAGTTCTACACCTCCGCTGCGCATGAACGACGAGGACACGGCACAAACAGACATTTTTCACAACCATCAACGCCTTGTTGATTGGGTGCTCGAGAACGATGGATACTTGCACCCGCACGCTCAGATCGCCTTCAGCTCGCGCAAAGGATACCATGCTGTCGTCGCTGAGGGGCATTCCCTAGTGAGTGGAACGCGTGTTGCGAGTTGCCCGATGCCCATCACGTTGTCAGTGCTCAATGCCTTTGACATCCACCCCTTTTCAAATCATGGCACGAGCTTTCCGGGACCTTTCCTAGACACCCAGTCGAGGAGACCCGAGTCTCTTCAGGCCTTTTTTCTGATGGAGCAACTGATCCTTGGGGCGCAGTCCTGGTGGGCTCCCTACATTGCGACATTGCCCACGGTGGAGGACATCACCGCCATGCAATTCGAGGACGAGGCCGATATTGCGTGGCTGGAGGGGACCAACCTCAAAGGCGGATTCTCCACGCAAGCTGCTAAATGGGAAGACATGTATCTGAAGGGGTTGGCCCATTTGAAGGAACTAGGATGGCCCAATGCGCTGAATGAATCATACACATGGTACGTGGGCGCGAACTGCTTCTCCCTCCTCCGCTGTCACTTACACAAGACCTAGGCCTCGCTTCCGTTGGGCGGCTACCATTTTTGGAAGCCGTTCCTTCACCTCACAGGTGCTCGATGCTACTCGTCCCGCGGACCTCGCCACCATCCATCGCCGAACAACGCCTTACGACCTCGTCAAGCTCTTTGGAGACCGCTTCGCAGTGCTACTCCCACTCCTCGACCTCCTCAATCACAAACCCGCCGCGCAGGTCGAATGGCAAGCCCAGTACCATTTTGTCGGGCTGCAGATCCTCGAGACCTACGAGTCTGGGAAGGAGCTTTGCAACAACTACGGTCCCCGAGACAACGAGGGCCTTCTTCTTGCGTATGGCTTCACGATCCAAAACAACCCGTTCGATCATCTTGTCGTCAGCATCAAAGCGCCGTCTGGATCGCCGTTGGATGTCGCCCGCCGGACATGGAAACAGGACATCAGATCAGATCCTGAGAGGAGATGTTTCTTATTCAACCACCAACATCCTGAGTCGACGTCAGCCCACGCGCTAGAATCGTCACTCTTCTCGTTTGACTTGTTGGACAGTATTTCCATTCTGTGCGCCAACGACCGCGAAATGCAGAGCATGGTGACGAGAAATCAGTCGTTGATGAGCTACTGTCTCGCAGACAAGCCTCGCTTTCCGGACCGCCGCATCATATTGGAGACCTTGAGCCAACTTCTGAGAGAATGTAATGCTCGTGCTGAAAGGTTGAGAACCACTGATCCCCGTCGAACTATTGCGGGTCTGGAGCCCGCCAATGCAATGCAACAGAACGCCCGGGTTTATCGGGAGAGTCAACTGGAAATCGTCGAAACAGCCGTGGCGCTCTGCAATTTTGTGCTGAAAAGCGCCATCAAAGGGACCGATGAAGCGGAACAAATGTTGACCAGGATGCAAGGCCAGGTTTCATGTTCTGCCCTGGCGAATATGAGACACCTGACCAAAAGACACGCCCGGCTCACTCGCCCCTTTGAGCTTCTTAGTCTGGATGGCCTGATCGAGATGATTCCTAATTCTGAATGTGTCCGGAAATGCTTGGCTACGTTGAGTCAACAACTTCAGAGCAACGCCGATGGTAAGGGGTCATCTGATGGTTCGAACCCGACGAGCTTCACTAGAAGCGGACTTGCAGTCACTCTCTCGGCGCTATACAGCGAATATGCCCACGGCGTCAAATTCCCACACAGAATCACCGAATGGGTCAAACAGCTGACCACATGGTATCCTCCGGACAGTGACTCTTGGGCGTATGTACCGAGTCCTGGACCTTGGGCACCCGGAGAGGAACCTCCGTCAGAGCTGATGGACCTACTCGCGGCACGAGCTGCATTGTCTCCAACCATAGCGGTCGAGTCGAGCGTCAAACGATGGCTGAAACCAGAGGGGATATGTTGGGGGTGGAATGTCATGGAAGAAGAGAAAGTCATTGTTCCCTCGTATCTCGCAGAGGAAGATTCCAAGGGAGTCGGAGACGGCATATCGCTTTTGATTTACTGGCAGCAGTTCTAGGGTCCTCTGGTATGGTACTGGGGGAACTGGATTCGGGGCAGGTCGGCGACAATGCACTTGCGTCGTCACTTTGGGAGCCACTTGTATGGCGCAGAGGCAGCTCGGGTAAGACTTTGGCATTTTTGATGATTACGACCTTTTCATGAACGAGACATTCCATAGTTTAGATACTCCTACGTACTTGCAGTTGGGTGGGAGGACGAGGCTGCGGCGAGGCTGCGCAAGGCTGTGCTTATATAAAGCCGAAGTATGGCCGTCCCAAAGGCATCTATGACGAGGAAAGCTTCCGACCAATCAGCGGAGCTCAATATCGAAGACTTCAACATTGATTTCGTAGTTGACGCACTCTAACTCTCCACCTCCGACGTCCTCGCCTCCTCCCTTCCCCCTTCCCGCCGCACACTCGTTGGAGTGTATCGTCGTCCTCACATCCTCCCCAAAATGATCGTCCGGTCGTCAGCCGCCCGAAACGTGGCCCGCGCGGCGTCCAACACCGCTTCACGGTCAGCCAACTCGTCAATCGCCGCCGCCAGCTCCTCCACCCTCCATTCCCGCCGAACCTACGCCACCGTTCAAGAAGGACAACCCCAGCAGAGACGCTACGGCGGTCTGAAGGACCAAGACAGGATATTTCAGAACCTCTACGGCCACCATGGCACGGACTTGAAGAGCGCCATGAAATATGGCGACTGGTACAAGACCAAGGAGATCCTGCTCAAGGGCCATGATTGGTTGATCAATGAGATCAAAGCTTCAGGTCTGAGGGGAAGAGGCGGTGCGGGATTTCCCAGCGGGCTGAAATTTGTAAGCCTCTTCGGCCCTGAAACCGTGATATGCGCAGATGGATTGCTAACCGAGGGGTGTGAATGATAGTCGTTCATGAACTTCAAGGGCTGGGAAAACGACAAGAAACCCCGGTACCTGGTCGTCAACGCCGATGAGGGTGAGCCGGGGACATGCAAAGATCGAGAAATCATGCGCAAAGATCCGCACAAACTCGTCGAGGGGTGCTTGGTGGTTGGTCGCGCCATGAACGCTACCGCAGCGTACATTTACATCCGAGGTGAATTTTATCACGAGGCCACTGTTCTCCAGCGCGCTATTCAAGAGGCATACAAAGAAGGGTTGATTGGCAAGAATGCCTGCGGGTCAGGGTACGACTTTGACGTCTACTTGCACCGAGGCATGGGAGCATATGTGTGCGGAGAGGAGACTTCGCTCATCGAATCTCTTGAAGGAAAAGCCGGAAAGCCTCGTCTCAAGCCGCCCTTCCCTGCAGCCGTCGGTCTTTTCGGATGTCCTTCCACCGTTACAAACGTCGAAACAGTGTCAGTTTGCCCCACCATCGCTCGACGGGGTGCGAAATGGTTCGCCGGCTTTGGCCGCGAACGCAACCAGGGCACCAAGCTGTTTTGTATATCTGGACACGTCAATAACCCTTGCACCGTTGAGGAAGAGATGTCTATTCCTCTCCGGGAATTGATTGAGAAGCACTGCGGTGGTGTCCGCGGCGGCTGGGACAATTTGCAAGCTATTATCCCTGGTGGCTCGTCGACACCCATCCTACCCAAGCACGTCTGTGACGACCAATTGATGGACTTTGATGCGTTGAAGGACAGCCAATCCGGTCTGGGCACTGCGGCGGTGATTGTCATGGATAAATCTGCCGACGTGGTAAGGATGATTGCCAGACTAAGCGCTTTTTACAAGCACGAGAGTTGCGGTCAGTGCACCCCCTGTCGAGAGGGCAGCGCGTGGACCGCGAAGATTATGGAAAGATTCGAAAAGGGTCAGGCCAGAGCGAGAGAGATTGACATGATCCAAGAACTCACCAAGCAAGTCGAGGGACACAGTATCTGCGGTAAGCCTTTTCCTCGTCATTACTCCTCTAATGGACACGGTCTTGGACCTGGATAAGAACATGGATGCTAATCTAATCACTGGTTCACAGCCCTGGGCGAAGCCTTCGCGTGGCCTATCCAAGGTCTCATCCGCCATTTCCGACCCCAGCTCGAAGCTCGCATTAAAGAATACTCGCAGGTCGCTGGTGGCGAGTCGCTAGCTGGTGGATGGGAGCCCGACTCGTCCAAGAAGGGTCTGCTCATCGCTCCGGGACAGTAAATTCTTTTAAAATGATGTGTTGGAGGTTAGAGGTGGTCAATCAGTCAGTCAGTCAATCAATCAATCAGACTTGAGTGAGATAAGTCTTGAAAGAAGGAAAGAGGAAGGGTTGTGAAATTGGACAAGGTTCCGATCGTATCGTGATGGCAGGGGGTGTCGAGGTTAATCTTGATCTCGAGATTGATCCCCTGGGCAGTAGGAACAGCAGTGGCATAACAGCAACCAAGAAGAAGAGGAATAGGAAGAAGGCTATGTGACTCGTTCATCTTTCAAGCGTATGCGGCGTCTCTTTTTCCAAATCACGCCAGAAGTCTCGATGGAGGGAGAGGCGAGAGAGAGAAAGACAGAAAATATGAGACGTGGAATAAAACATTTGTATATATATTTCATATCTTATGCCATCTTTCTTTCCTTTGCCGTTGCCATTGCCGATGGCTTGTCTCCTCTTCCTGTCCTGTCCTGCTGATATGAATCTCGAGGCGGATGCTGATGCTGATGTCGAGTATCTCGTGTCGACATATATATGTATGTATGTATGTACTCGGTAGAGTAAATGCCAATTTGCCACTTCCACTTCTTCTTATAGTTGCGGTTCCTGCTCGTCCTCGTCCCCGTCCCCCTCCTCCTCACCATACCGATATGTCGCTGTATTATTCCGAATGGCGGCTCGCGCAGCCTCCGCCATGCACCGCTTGGGCGCTTTCCGCCCGGTCATCAATTCGAATTGGCCGACAGCCTGCTCGATCAGGGCTTCGATGCCGTCAACCAGCACCCAGGGTCTCTGGGTCGAATCTCGGAACCGCTTGATTTGCTTCGTCAGTGGCGTCTCCCTTGTCATGTAAGCCATTTCGACGACGACTCCGCCACTGGGCGACGCCAGCCACTGCTCTGGCATCTCAAAGTTGGCGCCTGGCTTCCCGTCCAGGACCTCCTGAGTGACACACGACACCACGATCGTCGGAGGCGCAAATCCTGTCGGCCAAGGATCGGTGATGTGTTCAACGACTTGTACTGGCTCTGGGGCAGTTGGTGAGGTAATCCTGTCTGTCTGAGACCGGGTCCAGTCGTTAAAGTGGCGAGCTAAAGCTTGTGTGTTGGAGACAGTCCTGTTGTATACAAATATGTGCTTGCAGCCCAATTGCAGCATAGCATAAACGGCAGCTCTCGCCATGCCTCCAGCGCCAATGATCAAGCAGGTGGTCTTTGGCTGGATGGCATTGCGTGGAGACAGGCTTCTGCTGACACAGATCATTATGCTGATAAAATCAGTGTTATCCCCAAACCAACCCACGATTCTGCCCGCCCGATTTCTCAGCTGGGCCTGTATATCTAGCGATGGTACGACCCCTTGAGGCCCTTCGGGTTGTTGCCGGAGAGGAATTAGGGTGTTGAGCGCCCCTATGGCTTTGGCGTGCCCGCTCAATGCATGCATGTGAGGAAGTAGCTTGACTTTGTATGGCTGCACCACACTCAGACCACCCAAAGCGTCATCCTTCGCAAGCAAATCAATATCCGCCCGAGTCATGATTGTTTTGGTGCTATACCGATGTTTCAGGCCAAGTAAGCTGTAGCCTGCATTGTGCATTGCTGGCGACAAAGATCCCAAGACGTTGGCTCCAACCACATAGAATTGAAGAGGGTCGAAGACAAAGCTGTCAAACAGAGCACTGATGATCTGTTTGGAGGACAGTTGAGGCCAGAAGGGTTGCTTTTCGGCATTGGGAAGACTCGGGTGAGTAACGGCTGTCAACACAGGGTTCAGGATTTGTGAAGTTCGACCCAGAAATCCGACGTTGTAGATTATTGTAACAAGTCGAGGCCCGGGAAGTTGCTTCAAATGTTCAGCAAACCAAATCGCCGCGTCATTCTCCTGGCGTGACGTCGGAACTTCGAGAATTCGAACCATATCAAACTTGAAGTCGAGCGCCCTAGTGTACACATTTTGCAAATTTGGATCCATCCAGTTCTTGTCCTTGGAGGAGTAGTAGCTATAGTTGCCGATCAGCTTGGTATGGCCCTTGACGAGTCCGAGATGGTCTATGTGGCTGGGGTCCAGGTCAAGGTCCACAGAGATGTACTGAACTCCGAGTCGAAGTCCCTGCAATAGAACTGCCACATAGTTCTCCGTCGTGTGGGATGCGGAAAGTCCACGACTGGCAGACAGAAGAATAGGTATGGTCAAGACTCTCCTAGCGGCTGCCACCATCTTGCTTAGCATCCTCGTGGTATCTGACTGCCACTGGTCAACAAAGATCTCCAATACATCGCCAGCAGCTTCCAGAGCGCCAAAGTCCACCCGTCCCTCAGTGAAGTCGGAGGATTTTATGAGCAGTGCATGGGTATAAGTCCGCGATTCCACCGGTCCGTCTAGTGAGAACGGGGATAGCACAGTCGGATCTGGCAAGGAACAACCGGTGATGAATCGAACAAACGATGAAAAATCGGCTTGAGCATTTCTGAGTTTAAAGGAGTAGTTTGGCGACGCGCGGTCTGCTGCCATGTCCACATCCGCAGAGCCACTCATAGAATCATCTTCGAGGTTGTAGAACTCGAAATTGGAGCATTTTCGATGGGTCGAGTTGCCCTGATCGAGCAGCTTAGTAGCTCGATCGTCAAGGTTGAGGGTTGCCTTGATCTGCTCCATGTCCCTCAACACGAATACAACCGGGTTGGTCTGGCTGAACCGTCTCAGATATTCTTGGAGCCCACTTGTGAGGCTTCCGAGGCCGCAGTCGATGACACATCGAGATTTATTATCCTCCAGCATGCGCTTAGAAGTCTCGATATCTTGTCGATGGAACTGCTCACTGCCATGGATTTTGAGATAGTCTTGTCTCGACATACCATTGACGGTCTGGAAATAGTGGTCTTCAGTCACGAATCGTCGCCCGAGGGCGGTGGCTGCAATTAAACCCAGAGATCGCTTTCCAGATGCCCTGATCCCAACCAAGACGACAGAAGCTTCGGGGTGGAAGAGGCGGCTAGCTGTTGAGCCATCTGGAACCGGCGTCTTCAAAGAATGATTTGGAGTTTGTTGTAAGGTAGGTTCGCCCTGAGCGGCCTCTGACGGATGATGGGCTGCTGCCGTCTGATCGATGGGTAGAAGTGGTGAAGCTATGCCAGACGCTGGAGGCTGGAACGGACTGTGGTGTGAAGGTTCGTTGAGTCGATCCACTGCAAGCTCGCCAGCTCTGCTTTGGGATTCCATGATGACCGTTCATCCGTGCTCGATCTCATTTGGAGATTGTCTCTTTGAAGAGTGCATTCTGGTACACCATTGGCCATTTTGGAGCTCGTTTTCGAAGATGTAGAGGATGCTGGACCAAATAGTGGTTTAGAAAGACGAGGCTACCAGTGGAGATTTGGGTTGCCCTGGTGGTGAGTTTGGTGAGTCGGTGAGTGGTGGAAGAGGGATAGTGGGCGCAGGCTTCCTTCCCACCCCGCCGGTAACTGAGATGTTTAGTTTTCTTTAGTGGGTGCACTATCCGATCAACGTCAATCGCTAACCTGCTCTACATATCAGGTACAGTATTGTGATGACCTCTGCCACGATAACCTTATGAGACGGTCTGTTCTTGATGCTGATGTGTCTCGACCCTACCCTTCCGACAGGCCACTCATCCCCTTGAACATGGCTGTCGCACCCCTTCCTCCTTGTGATGGCCTCACGTAGCACGGAGGCGGAGAGACGGACTCGAACGAGCGACGAAGAAGGCACTTCAAAGCCGATACGAGCCCGCGTTTCACGCGCCTGCACCCGCTGTCGAGCCCGCAAAGATAAGTGCGATGCGAAGCAGCCCAATTGCACAAACTGTGCAAATGCCGGACAATCGTGCGTATACGTGGCAGGGACCAAGAGGAGAGGACTTCAGGAGGGGTATGTGCGCGGCCTGGAGAAGTTGTGGGCTGTCATGCTACAAAAGGTGCACGGACTAGACGATACGGTTCAGCAGGTAGTGCGCCGGAACGAACAGGAGTTGTTGCGCATATGGAACCATCAGAAACTTGGTGATGGCCTTCACACAACATGGAAAGAGTCAAATGTGCTTACAGAGCTGGAGGAGCTCTTGTCCCATCTCGAGCATGGCTCTTCAATCCACCCAAAGCGCAAGCGCGACATCGAAGACGACGGCGAAGACGAAGCAGCAGAGCCTCTTCACCATCCTCGAGGCCGAGGCGATAAATATGTGCTCACATCAGATTTCAAGGTCGTTGAGATGGCACAAATCCCGAACGAACAAGAGATTGGACCTGGCTTCGGAGCTCCTATGACTGAGGGCAAACTCGGCATCACACGTCCGGAAGAAGTCCCTCTGCCATCTTCGGCCTCACGTCTTTTGGATCAATATTTCACTTTCACCCACTGTTGGTTTCCAATCCTGGACAGGCCTGCAACGTTGCGGAAATTCTTCGAGCACACGATGCCTCACAAACGACGCCCTCTCGACCATGCTGATCTTTCTTGCATATGGGCTATCTTGGCCTACTCTCAACAACAGACGGGGCATCTTCTGCCGACGCCTGCTGCGACACCTGGAACCAGCGTTGCCGAGCTGCGTTCTTTAGCAAGAAATCTGATACCGTCCGAGCGTGGACCTTTCTCACTTGGCCATGTTCAGGCTTTGTTGTTATTGGTCCTCCTTGATATCGGCATGGGCGACTGGACGTCTGCGTGGATGCTAGTCGGCTCTGCTATACGAGCTTTACTGATCTCCATGGGACCGCTTCCGGTCCAGTTCGAGAATCCGCTGGGCTTTCATTCTGACTCTAGAATTGACAGAGATGACGGCACGACGACTTCGAGACGTATGCCCGATTCAAAACATAGGAGCTGGCAGGCCCTTCTGCAAGGCTGTTTTGTCTTGGATACCATCATCGCAATCTGTCTAAAGAGGCCGCCACATCTTCAGAGTGGTCATTTGAGTTCTACCCAGTTCCTCGAAGAAGACGGACACGAAGAATGGGAACCTTGGAAGGCAGTTGCTGGTGATGACGGCCCCGAGTCGAGAGAGCCAGCGTTCGTGACAAGCTGCTTTAACCGACTGACTGAGCTCTGTATGATTGCCAATGATGCGTTCTGCATAAAGGTCTCCCACATAACGACGATAACACCAACACCACACGTTGTAGCACGGCTGCATTCGCTGGGCGAGAAGTATCCCTTCACTCTCTCGGATGTTATACGACGCCCACCACATCAGATGCTTTTACACGCGTGTCATTTTGCCTTTCAAGCGGCCAACCCTCAATGGAACGGGGACCAGCCAGAGCTTAAGTCGAAACTCGCAGAAATTCTGAGGTTATTTGACCATTCGTGGAATCTTCCCAACAAATGTGGCATCCCATCCATGTTGATCCCACTTTACTGCCTAGCCAACCTGGAAACTGATACCTCTTCATCGCCAATTAATGGTCTTGACTTGGTTCCGGAAAGGTCTAACCAGGTACGGCCGAGGTTGGCCTTGATCTGGCCAGGAGCAGAATTCTTCAATCATGGTGGTATACCCATGAGATCAACCGGACTTTTAAGCACAGCTCCAGTGTCGCCGTTCAACAATGTCTTACAAACACAACCACCACCCGCCAACCTTGCGCCTGCTTCAAGCAGCCACAGAGATCTGGGTGGCATGCATGATTTGGGGAACGAGCCGACCCTCCTCCAATATCATGACATGCCTCAGTATGGAAACGCAATCAAGGTGCCACAGCCTAATGGGTCAACTGCCGCGGATTATGTGGACTACGGTGCTATGAGTGTTGACATACCCGAAGAGAATAATGAGGCACGCGTTGGCCTAAATTCAATGACGAAAACCCCCAATGTTTCTGGGTTGTCGACGTCTCCAAGCTTCAATGGTGACGAGATTGATGCCCTGTTCCACGAAATGGCTCAACTCGATACAACTCGATGGACTGATGACAGGACTCAGGGACTTAAAGACTTTGGCTTTGCGGATGACACCACCTTCGAGGCTTTTTGCAATGATCCGGATCGCTTGATGGTATCGGATGGGTTCTTGGGTGTTATCAATAATCAGAGCAATCTTCTCTCCGAAGGTCAAGCTGGAACATCGGGCAATGACAATCTCCGAATTGGAAAGATGACCTTTGACGATATTTTCCGATGATGGAGGTACGCGAGGAGCTTAACTTGCCAGTGTCACGATTGCTTTGAAGGCCAACTCCGCCTTCTGGGGCAGCATGTATTTCAGATAGAGTGTGCATAAAATGTGTGAACTCGCTTCAGTCCATCTTTGACATTGAAAGTCATATCCTTTTCGTCTCGACTTGTTGATGCGTCAACCCAAAACATTGAGCAGCAGTATCGTGAGTTTCCGTGGTGTTCGTCGTGCACAATCCTTGTATCATAGACGAGGCTGCAGCCTCGTTTCCCGAAGTTTAGCCGCAGCTTCCACTTTTACTCAACACATCAATGCAGTTTTCTTTCGTCGTCGACTTGCGGTCTCGACAGGTTTGAGCAGCTGTTCATAGGTCACGATCCTTGTACTTCAGCGTATTCTCTCAACAAGCGCGCATTGTCCAACTGACGAAAACTGCTTTGAATTCCACTTACCGGTCTCAGCATCGCAGAACCGTACAGCTTTGCTACCTCCGTCGACCTTTCACTCTTACGTCCCGTTCTCAGCAGAGACTTGCGAACCCTCCAACAGGATGCCTCCCCGCGGCTCCTCGACAGCAATCAACCCAGTCCGCCTCCAGACCGTGTCACGGTTAAAGATCAGACACCCAGACAAGCAAGAGCCGAATCCGTGTCTAGGGCCCATGACTGCTATGCTGAGTATGTCTCTGCCAATTGCCTTTCCCTTAGGTGGACTGGAGGGTGGTTGAGATATTTTGTGCGACGTGGGAGATCTACCACCGTAAGAGCTAGGATGATATTGTCGGGTGGACGCAGAAAATATGGCTCGCCACCAATCCAGTGCAAAGAGCAAGAAGGAACCCTATAATACTTGCAAAGCTTGCTGACATGATTCTTTCTAGATTGCTGGGCCGCAGGCGCCGCTTCAGGAGGCTGCGGACACCTTGAGAAAGCTCTGAGAGACTGCATGGACTCACCTGTACGTTGCACATCCGCACTTCTGAAGTGGTCTTGCGACCATTACCTTACAGACGACTGACTTGTTCGCTGCCAGAAACCCCCGCCAAAGGGCAAATCCACGATAAACCACCATCTGGGCCGCTTATATCCACTGATCTCGGGACCGAAGAAAAAGACGTGAAAGGACTGTCTAGTGTGACGGGACAATTCTGTGATGGGCCACTATCAACCCATCCGAGCATCGCTTTCCTGGGATCTACAGGAGCGGTCTACACGCTGTGTGGCTAAAGCATGCTCAAGATTAGAGGAGGATTCATACTTCGCCAGGCTGTATAAATACAGGTTATCAAGAATGTGGACGCAAAATGACCGCTCGTGCTGGTCGAGGTGTGGGAATCTGCCCAATTTGGCTACAGATTAGTGGAAAGACGGAGCACATGAGCATAGCGTGGAATGGGCGGCGCCAGGAACTGACAACTGCTTCGCGCACATCATATATCTGGGCTAGAAAGGAGTCTGGCATCGTCAATGCGAACACCGAGCAGTTTTAGCATGACTTGATTGAAGTCCTTGGCCAATTCGTCGAGAAGACATCTTTAGGGTTGTACAATACGAAGGATGAGTTGATCTATACGATATGTAACAATGCACCGCCGAGTTTCTCCCTCTCCACTCGAATCGCCAATCGAGCAGTATTCGGCCGTATGGTTGCCTGCTACATTGAACTTGAACAGAATGGCAGTGAGCAAGTCGCGAAACCTTCCCTGTATGATCAAAGTAACGACCTGCGAAGGGCTAGCCCTCTGACGTCATTGCGATCTCTAATGAGGCTCTGTGGTTCAGCAAGGGCCGTGGTCGCCTTTCACGAGTCTGCAAGGGATGCACCAGGTCAGGCTTCCCGCTGATGTATCTCTACTCGGTACAGCACAGACCCATGTCGCCAGCAGAGACTGACTCCAGTGCCTTCTCCCTCCTCAACCCTCTAGGTGTGCAAGTCGAAGTCCTTCCTCGACTTTCCCATCTACCGAGGTATTTCACTTGCCTTGCGTCGGTCTAAACCCCTTTAAAATGGTCATGTCGAGAGCCAGCCTTTCCAAACACTTCATCGTCTCATTTATCATTGGCCGTCCATAAGCGACCAAAATATCCTTAGATCTTGGTGGGAGATGGCCGCCTGGGGCTGCGCCACTGTGCATTGGAATGGATCGAAGGGGGAATGAACAGCACGACCTCACCTGGATATCGCCATTACGGTTCGATATATTCAGATAGTCTGAGAAACACACACTCTCTGTAATATCTTGTCCGACTATATCTCCTTCGTCCTGGGTATCATGGCGGATGCAAGTCATATCACCACCCATCCTCAGCCTTACCGCAAACGGGGAGACTCTCAGGCCTTTTGCAGAAAATGTGCATCATTGGACTTGGAGAGGGTGTTTGCCCTTTCTCAGAGTGATTCCACACCCGTGACAGTGATCAAGCTCGACAAGGGGTACGAGCCCTCGTGTCCGCTTTGCAGATTCCTAGGGCATATCGCCCACAACAGCCCGCGATCACCTAAACCGATCCTAACCTTTCTGAAGATATATCATCTGTGTACTCGCTGCGGTGTGTCGCTTCTTGACTGCCTACACCCTGACGTGGTCTTTGGGGTTGTCGGCACAGATCGAGAACTGCCGTTGGCAAAGGTTCTCAACCGGTATGAGAACCTCGAAAAGCGTCAACTCATCTCTGATTCCACCTGTCTCCTGCGGGATGCTGGTCTTATACTACCCATTGATCAGGATTCCACCCCTGTCCGTTTACAGGGGCACCAGATAGACGCCGATTCCATCAATTCTGAGGCTGTAAGCAGTTGGATAGCGACTTGCAAGAGACTTCACCCTCAATGCTCCAAGGCCTGCGCCAACGCTACCGCCTATCCCAGGTGGCTGTTTGACTGTCATGATAGAAGGCTTGTTCGCAATTATGGTAGTGTCGAGTACACAGCTCTGAGCTATGTCTGGGGTTCGGGGTCGACAGCTTCCTGTCCGAGCGGGATCCATGGAACTAACGATGACCTGGCTTCGCTGCCACAGGTAGTAGAGGATGCCATTTCGGTCACCAAAGCTCTCCACTTTCGATATCTTTGGGTTGACCGGCTCTGCATTCGGCGTAACAACAAGCACGAGTTTCATCGTGACCTAAAGGATATGGCCTCATTCTACCGTGCGGCTCAGTTGACCATCATTGCGCTCCACGGGGAGAGTGCAGACGATGGTCTTCCAGGCGTCAGCACCGTCCGGTGCGAAGAACAGCCTTGTGTCGAGATCGGGAGTTGTCGCCTGATATCCACCATGGGCACGCTCGAGTCGGCGAGGTATCGCTCGAAATACATAACTCGAGCGTGGACACACCAGGAGGAAGTCTCATCGAGGCGTCGATTGTACTTTACGCGTCAGCAATTGTACTTCAAGTGCATGACATCGTCGACATGCGAGACGGTCGCCACCCACAGCTCGCTCGAGGAGCTCTTGGTTGAGCCAACCGTAATTTCGAGTGGCAGTCCTAAGCACGAGCTGGAGGAGTTTGACACCGCCTGGGAGCACATCTCCCAAGTTTCGAGACGGAGTCTAACATACGAGTCAGACCGGCTGAATGCAGTGCTTGGTCTTCTCGAAGAACCGTCGCTGCTCAAAGAGTCGTCTCACCTGCGCCAAATTTACGGCATGCCCATCCCGCCCGGCAGGAGGTGGAGGGACGACATGCTTTCGCCCGACGCACTGTTTGCCCTCTCACTTCTCTGGACCAGACGTCACACCGAGAGCCGGCAAGATTGCTTTCCGAGTTGGTCCTGGGTAGGCTGGAGCGGCGGCAAGGTGGTCCCGATCTCTCTGGGCCAACACGCCGCGGAAGGCTCGTGGTCCAACGACGTGGAGGTCGGCCTACAAGCATGCGACACGTACGACGCGGTGACCCTGAAGGACGTGTCGCGCTTCACCGAGGCCGCCGTGGACGAGATGCCCCGGGTTCTGCGCGTGAGGAGTCGAGGCTGTCGCCTACGCAACCTGGTCCGCAACCCATCACCCACGCAGCGCGTCCGGGCGAACTTTGTGTGCGGCTTGACCGAGAGATCCGTGCCCATCGACACGGAACTGTGCTCGGACGCCGCGCTCTCCCGCCTCGAGACGTGCGGCACGGTTCTCGCCCTCGACTTTGTGGACCGGTCCAGGGGCCACGACCTGGATCGCTCGGCGCCCTTGCTGGTGGTGGCGGCCGTGAATGGGACAGATCGGCCCTTTGAGCGTGTCGGGACCATCCGCCTGTCGGCGATCCTGTCGCTCACGTACCTGGAGCGTCTGAGGCCTGCCGACTTTTTGTCCAAGTGGGAGAACGTGACGGTGCGGATAGGATGAGGGGGGAAGTCGACCAGTGTCCTGAATGGAAGAAAACGGCCATATTTGATATGAATAAGAAATACAAATCGAAAAAGATATGATCAATGCATTGATATGATATGATGTTGTATTACACTATGAACCACCCCCTTAGCAACCAAGATAGAGAAGGAGAAAAAGATTCATCCATGTCCAAGGAGACGCCGTCGCTTGATATCAATGGCAGTCTCCTTGCTGTGCTGTGCTGTGCTGTTCCTTGTTGCGCCATGCTAAGAAAGATATGCCATGCTGAAATGTGAATGATTTGTTGTTCGTATCAGGTCGTAGTCTCATGGTGGTGATGATGATGATGATGATGATGATGATGAACAACCGTAATAACAGAAAAATATCAAAAATATCAAAACGCCCCGTTTTTTGGGAACCCTTTCGTCCAACCCATCCATCCATCCATGAGTCTCGTACATGCATGTATGCATGTAGACCACACCATAACATACCATATCAGACCATGCTATGCTATGCTATGCCATGCCATGCCGTGCCGTGCTATGCTATGCTGCTGCTGCAAGACCATCATCATGAGATGTAATGAGATGCTATGCCATGTCATGTCATATCCTGACCTGACCTGACCTGTCCTGTCCCGTCCCGCTACCAAGTACCAACAAAAAACCAAAATAAACCCCAAAGAATAACCTGAATGTCAATGATCGCTTCCTGGAAGAGATGGAAAAAAACAAGTCGCTAGTTATGCTATGCCATGCCATGCCACGCCACGCCATGCCAAGTTCGAGATGAAACGTCAAAAAACGGGGGGTAAAAAAATCAGGATCAGAGTCGAGAGGTAGGGCTAGGGGGCTTCATGACCGCTTGAACATGAAATACCCGTACATGCCACCGACGTCCTGCTCGACCATGGGGATCTTGCGCATGCCCCACCAGCGCGCGCCCATCTTCCAGGCCCGGGCGCCGTTGTCGACGCTGGACCCGGGGACGGGCTGCCGCACGAACCAGCCGCGTCGGCCGAGCTCCTTGACGACCCACTCGAGTTTGCTGCGGTCGCGGACGTGCGCGGTGCGTCGCTTGATCTCCTGCAACACGTCACTGCCGAGCTCGATGACCTCGAGGGGCAGGGTGTCCTTGTTCGTGAGGGCCGAGGGGGAGTAGGACAGGGAGAGCTGCGTGACGGAGCGGATGGACGTGAGGTCGAGGTAGCGCAGCGTGCTGGGCTGGTGCTGGTGCTGGTGGTGTGACGCCGCGGCGGCGGGCGATGAGTCATCAGATGATGCTGCTGCGGTGGCGACAGAGGTCTTGTCCATGACGTGATCCTCACCTTCGGAGGGCGCGGATGGAGAAGAAGGCTTGAACAGGCGCACGATGTCGCTGCCCAGGCTGAGATCCGCGCCACGTAGCCCGAGTTCCTCCAGGTGCGTGGAGAGAACTCTCAGCGCTGGGATGTGTGAGGCATTGACCTTGGCACCGCCCAGGTTGAGGGACCGTAGACTCGGAGGCAAAGATCGCAGCAACCGGGTGACGTTGTCTTCGGAGAGCAGTCTATGCCGCGATGCGTCGGCGGCCAGGTTCAGATAGACGACATTGCCCCTGACCGCGGGATGGGTAGTCAAAAACTTGACGACGCCAGAGCCCGTGAGTCGCGTGCAGCGCTCGATGTTCAGGTGTGTGATTCTGGCGGTGTGCGGGATCGACATGAGAGCCTTGTCGTTGATGAGGGTATGTGCGACGTCCAGATGGGTGAGGTTCTCAAGCAGCGGGAGGAGAGATTCGAAAACAGGTTCTTGCAGTGTGGTGCATTCATGCAATGACAGCCGTTTCAGGCTCTTGAGGGGAGTGGAGAGTTGCGTGGTGACGGAGGTAAAGGCCTCTGCAAAAGGACGAGAGGAGCAGGCACAAAAGTCCATGGCCTGCATAAGAGGCATGTTGAATAGTTTGGAGAGGATGTTGGCGTCGAGTTCTTCGTCGACGTGCTCGTGGACCAAGAATGCTTGCAAGTTCGGCATGACATCCAAGCATGCGTTGAGCGTCTCGGGCTTCAAGAAGGGCGTCTGGTTGCGAGTGTTGCGGGCGCTGCCAAAGCCCATGTTGGAGTAATGAGAAAAGTCCAACCACTGTACCAATTCTCCGAGCTGGGGTGTGGTCTTGAGACTTCGCATGAGTTTGGCAAAGGCTCTTGATTGTGGGATCGAGACATGTCGATACAACACCCGCACGGCCGCCGCCTGAATCTTCTTGGACACGAGTGAACAGCTCGCCAGGTCAACATGCGGCCGAGCGTAGGGGTCTGCCGTGTGGTCAACCGTCACATAAGAGAGAATGAGCTCGAGAATCTCCTCCGGCATAGCCTCCAAGAAAGGATAGCCCTCGCGCGATGTGGTCGAAATCACAGACTGGGTGTCGTCGGAGTCGTCGATAATTGCTGACTCGGCCCCCAGTCGGATAGAATCCCTAACCTTCTCTCTCCATACCTCGAGACTGAAGTCGGCCGGACGAGGATGAACTCGAGTAATCTCTTTGGCGAAGGGGAGGTTGAACAACTTCTGTGCCGCTCGCCGCTTCTCCAACTCGTCTAGGATCTTTTCCAACTTCCTCGGGTTGTTGCGAGCATATCCCTCTAGTCTTGTCCGGACATGATCCTCGTGTGAGCCATTGAAGTGATACGAGCACAGACCCTTGGTCTTGCACCACTGACTGCAGGGCCACGCTATCCACTCAACTTCCTCGAGGTCCTGAGATGACAGGGACGACCCAAATGACTGGGGGAGACCATCATCTGCGGGCAACGGTGGTCAGCTTCTATGACTCTAATACGGTGTGGTGATCATCACGTACCTGTTTCTTCTTTGACCGACGCATATGAGAACTTTCTAGAAGCGGTCATGTCTTCGGGGGGTTCAATGAGATGGTGATAATGAGCTTTGAATAACAGTAATTCCTCAGGCTTTTCGTGAATCTGGGGAATAGTGGTACTGGAAGTGTTGTTGTGGTTTGAGCATGGGCCACGGTCTGGAAGGTCGGGGGACATCATGATGGCTTATTTTCAACCGTGCTCCCTCTTAAGAAAAATTGCTCTAGATCGTTCCCCGATGACCAAAGAATGCCAAAAAGGTAGTCTGAGCGAACTCCACCAGTGACCCCGGGGAAAAGATGCAGGGTAAACAAAACAAGGTGATCAAAGAGCACAGGTTAGGAAAAAATTATGAAAAATGGGGGTAATAGAAACATGGGAAAGGGGACGAGAGTGCAAGGAAGTTCTGTGTCATTCCTTTTCAGTTTCGGATGGACGACGGACATTGGCAGGAGAGGCCAAAACTGTGAGTAATACGTACCACCAGTTTGCAGAGCCTTGACTTGTCCACTAAGCAGTTAACGGCAGGCTATGAATCACTCTGGCCCCGGATTTGTGGGCTGCCACGGCTACCTTTTGTTTGTTGGCCCTCTCTGCCCAAGGTGAAAAGAGGACGGCGGCCAGACTTCCGAAAGCATCATCGAGTGCAAAGGAGGGATATTCACCAGTGGCCACCCAAAGAAAGACGTAGGCGGCAAAAGGGAAGGTCGGCTGCTCTAGGTGGTCAGGTGGCTGGAATAATCCGTGGCGTTCAAACAATGGAATGCTTACAAGGAGACCGGGGAGCAACACGTAACGAAACCTAACATGACGCCACGAGGGAGCCGGCCCAAGGAGAAGAGACTCACCAGCGAGAGGCGCGACTTGAATAACGTGTTGTCAACAAGAGGTTGAGATTACGTAGGAGGAAAAGTTTTCGCTGTGAAAAATGACCGGAGAGCGGGACTCGGCGGTCTGGGCGGACAAGGGCGAACCAAAATCTGGGGTAATAGCGCCCTATAGCGCCTTGGCAATTGGCCAGGAGCCACTCACGTGCGGCATCAAAGTTTTCAAAGGTGGCACTAGAGTGGCGCTAGAGACGCACTAGCAGCTCCGCCCCTCGACGGAGCATTTCTCCGGGTTTCCCAGGACCGAGTCTGCCAGGTTCCTCAGACTTCAAATGGCGGAATTGCCTCGATCCTTGACGCCATGCGACCACACAAACTCATCCAAACCTGCCCTGTGGCCCGGTGGGATTCAATGGAAACAGTACAAGTAATGGTACCCAGGCATTTCTCATGACAAACGTGTACAACCTCACCACATCAATCGTCCATTGCTCTTCTCCGCCACTATGCCTTCATTGGTGACAACTCGCACCTGATTGTTTGCGACCTCCTTGCATCTCCTCGGTCTTGCCCCAGACGCCAAATGATTAAAAGATAAAAGACGGTGAAACGACCAAAGTGTCGTGGTCGCAATTGACCGGCTGCAACTCCTCATCATTCATGCATTGACCCATCCCCCCTGGGTGACATCGAACCGCTTCATCACCTCACCGGTGTTTTGTCTCGAGGCGAAAGGCGTCTTCAGGCTCAGGGCCTCGAACTCCGCCTTTTCAATTCCCGGAGTCCTTGCTCTTCCCCGCAAAGACTCCCCGCTTCGGACTCGTTCACACAGCGTTTTGAGCACTCCTCCAAGCCATTCAAAGTCTTTGAGCTCCAGGTAGATTTGGCCAGAGATTCGGGTCCAGAGTTTGCCGTCGTATTCGTAGATGGCGACAAACGTGTTGAACTCATCCACCAGGGTCTTTTCCATCCAAGCAATATGGGTGGCTACGTCTGCTTCCTGGATCACGATCGGACCTGCTGAATGTAGACTCGGGGAATTGAGAGGTGAATTGGAACGTCTGGGTTCGCCGAGATTTCCTGAGCTGACAGAAGACGATCGAAGCTGCGAAGCGACACTGGCACTAGGGAACCCGTACGATGACTGTCGAAAAGCGGGAGATAGACCGCCCGCACTTCCGGCTCCACCAGGTCCCATGCTGATGCTGCCCCTAGAATAGGCGCCGATGATGGTGATTGGCAGGAGCACATTGGCCATGGCACAGTCCCTGATGCCACCAGCCCAGCCTATTCGTCCCCCGTCGCGTTTATCACTGGCCTCGTAGCTTCCCATTGTCCGCAATCCGTATCCCGCATCCAAATCGTCCATGACTTCGGTTCCGAGAAGCATGGCTAGGAGGTCGGCTCCTCTTTGGGCGATGTCCCTGATATAGTTATAGATGGCCTCCTCGCCGCCGCATAAATTCTGCCTAAAGTTGAGGGCTGCGGGGACACAATAGTAAGGGGTGTTGTCTGCAGTCGCGACGAACTGAAATAGATTGACAAAAGCCGATTTGTCACTTGGTGGAAGAGGGTTTCGGATTGGCGAGTTTTCCAGGGGCACAAAGCCATGTGAGGTCGGAAAGGTGGTTCGAATGAGGTGTTGGTTACGCTTGGGCACGTGGAATACAGCACAGCCTCGTGGGGTATAAAGCCATCTGTGTCATGTCAGATACCGCAAACAGGGCCCGTCATCGGGAGACAGGCTTCTGTCGGACGCCGATTCCACTTACTTGTGGCAGTTGCTGACAAAAAAATCGGCATCGAGCTGGGACAGATTTAGGGGTATCTGACCGACGCCGTGTGCTCCGTCAATCAAACTAAGAATCCCATATTCTTTGCACATTTTCGTGATCCTTTCAAAAGGAAACCGTACACCCGGTAAAGACACTATCGTCTCAAAAAGACAAACCTTGGGATTTAATCCATCGTACAAGACTCGCGATATCGTTTGTGACAGAGCATTGAGGATCTCGGAATGCGTGCAAGGGAGTGAATAGGCAAAGTCTTGTCCGTGCCCGACCTTGCGAAGTTGGAGTTGCGGGTTTGTCTCGACGATGGAAGCCAGTGTCTTCTCAACGGCCCCATAGACGGTATCGAAATAAATGATACAGTCCTTCTCCTTGTACTGGAGATTGCGCAAGACGGTATTGACACCTGCAGAATTAGACACATCGATGGGAGATCAAATGTAATGATGCACCTACCGGACGTAGCATTCTGGACGAAAACACACTCGTCCGTCGGGACGTTGAGGAGTTTTGCTATCCGCTCCCTCGACTTGTCCAAGAGATCAATATACTGGTATCGCAGGAATTTATCCGGGGCAGCCTCGGCCAATTTCTGATATCCTCGCAGCGCATTGCGGACAGGTAGTGAGTAACTACCAAATGAACCTACAGATTGCCAATTAGGTTCAGTTCATCTCATTCGAGATCTTGGGATATATCATGTCTGAACAATCGCAATACTGGCCAGCCTGATGAAGTAGTCGCGCTTGGCGTCTAGGAGAAGACCTTCTGAGGGGCAGCGGTGTGGAGGAGCATACCATGATTCAAGTTGTTATATTTGGGATCAAACAAGAATTGAGCCTTGAAGCCATGGCCGAACTCCGTGACCTCGCCAAAAGAGCCCATATTGGCGGTGTAATCGAGAATTGGACAACAGTGGATGTAGGGTCAGAGGTGCATACAGAGGCAACGAGGCCAAAATAGGGGGGGAAAGTTGAAGCTTCGGGAAATCAGTCCGTCCGCGTCTCAGGTTTTTGAATCCACCACGATCCCGTTATTTGGGTTGCTTGCGACAAGGTATCTGCGGTCCGAGAGAAGATAACTGACAGTGGGATTCAGTCTTGGTCGGTGCCAAAGTGGCTGTCCTTGCTGCGTGACTCAGGCTAGGTCAAGCTGAAACTGAATTTTGAACGGTTACGAGATTTCATGGGGGGCTAAAGGGCGAGTCTGGGGCGGAAATAGCAATCAAGCCGCAGTCTCTGCAGAGCCAAGGGCATTGATCCGGCCTTGTTCGACTGGGGCACCTGTTCATTCCGCGACATGCTGGCCACTGAACAAACGTCCTTGAACGCTTGGTAGCGCACACCAGAGTTTCCGTGAGGAGGAGGGGCTCCATCTCAAACCCTCTCAAGCCCCTTTCGTCGTGGCTGGGTGCTGTTCGGGGTGCGATGGACCAATCATGGGGGCATCTTTCTGGCGTCAGGCCTCTGGATAATCCTTCGTTGATGGAGCCTCGGCCGTGCTAAGCCAAAGTAACGAGAAAAGCAACGACGATCACAGACCCGGGCGAGAGTCCACTATTCCTTTCTCAGGCGTGCCTTTTGGCTGAACCCCAAATTCGAGGAGCTGGGGACAGCTGAGAGATGAGGGGATATAGACAATCTGGGAATCAACAACATCAAATTGAGAATGAACGTCGGTATAATCGCAGCAGGATGACCTTTGCTCAATTGCAGAAATATAATTGGATATCTTCAAGGTCAAGGGAGTCGGATATAATCCATCTCCTTTGTTCCTTGTGGGCGACTCCCTCTCTGCTTGTTCTGGGAAACCACGTGCAGCTCCTACCAGATCACCGGAGAAATTATATTCCATGCCCGCTATCACTAACCACGTGCCCTCTTATCTAACCGACGTCTGATTGGCCTGTACAAAGTACCGAATCGGACCCCGGCTTTACAACGGCGATAATGACTTCATACCTCGGCCAAGTAACGGCTCAGGAAATTCCCCCATCATCCCTCCGTCATTCCCCCTACCCCCATCATCCCCCATCGTCAACAAAGGTTTAAGTGAGGCTGTCGGTGACAGCTCGGTGTGTTGTGCATCAGATCTCTACCGAATTGTTCGAGAGGCTGATTAGATATCGCGAGTAGAACTCCGACTGCCACCCTTTGCGAGATATCGCCGAATCTGGATTTCTAAGCTGTGACTGCTCCGGGGAAGGAGAGAAAAATCCTTTATAAAAGGTTATTCAGCGGTATCGTGGTTGTTGAACACATTTGAAGACTAGTGAGAAGTTGTGCCGGGACCATTCTATATCGCCACAATCCCCACCACAAACATGCCAAAGGCAATCTCCATTTCCAAGGTCGACGGGAAACCGGGACAGGTCTACTATCCCCTTTCGCTGGATGAGGTTCCAAAGCCTTCACCAAAGGGAAAGGAGGTCCTTATCAAGATCCATGCCGCTGCATTGAACCACCGCGATCTTTTTATCCGCCAACACTTGTATCCGGGAACAGCATTCGGTGTCCCTCTCCTAGCCGATGGGTGCGGGACAGTTGTGGCTGTTGGCAATGAAGCCAATCCGAGCTGGAAAGGCAAGCGTGTTGTCGTGAATCCCGGGACTGGCTGGAAGGACAGCCTGGATGGACCAGAGGACAAAGGGGGGTACAAGATCCTTGGAGGGACCAAGACGAACGCGAATGGCACTCTCCAAGAGTACATGTGCATTGACGAAGGAGAACTCGAAGAGGCACCAGAACACCTCTCCTCCGCCGAAGCGGCTGCTTTTGTCCTTACCGGACTGACCGCATGGAGAGCAGTCATGGTCAAATGCGGCGAAAAGAATCTCAAACCGGGCAAGAACATATTGATTACAGGTATTGGCGGTGGAGTAGCCTTGATGGCCCTGGAGTATGCCACAGCGGCAGGTGCCAATGTCTATGTCTCGAGCGGCAGCGAAGAAAAGATCAGGAAGGCCGTCGCCCTGGGAGCAAAGGGCGGCATCAACTACAAGGAGCAGGGTTGGGAAAAGAAACTACAGGGCATGTTGCCGGCAGAGAACAAACAGTTGGACGCCATCGTTGACGGTGCTGGTGGAGACATCGTTTCCGTCGGTGCCAAGCTGCTCAAGGTATGGTCGCTTGCCTTCTCTTTTCTTTTGCATACTGACATCTCCTTCAGCCAGGTGGTGTGATCTCCATCTATGGAATGACCATAGGGCCGAAGATGCCTTTCCTTATGCAAGCAGTCTTGAAAAATATCGAGGTCAAAGGGTCGACCATGGGATCGCGAAAGGAATTCAAAGAAATGGTAGACTTCATCAAAGCCAACAAGGTCAAGCCGGTAGTGTCGCGGGTCGCCCAAGGCTTTGATCTGGATGCCATCAACGGCTTGTTCGAGGAAATGAAGAAAGGAAGCCAGTTCGGCAAGTTGGTCGTCGAGATTTCCAGAGAAGGCGCTGAAAGTAAACTGTGAATATAATTAGCAGTCGATTCTGACACAAAAATAAGGCTTCAATCCACAGTTTCCAGATGCTGATTTATTCCCTCTTGGACGGTCATGCCTTTCTGTCCTTCGAGCAATCACCAGGGATTGACTGTCCGATCTGCGTGGATCGTCTCGTGTTGATCGCACTCTAAAGATTGCTATTTTTATCATTCATGCAGCGAGGCTTGCGCAAGCGGCCATGTTGAAGCCAGACAATCGTCGTCGCGCCGAGGAAGGGGGAATCAAGTTGGTTGGTTCCTCGGGGCAAGGGATCAACAATGTCTTTTGTTCATAGGGTGATAGGCAACATGCATATCCTGCAGGTCCCGTGCGACCTGCAGCCATCGACCCAACAATGAGGCCCAATGCACAGGCGATCCAGTCAAGTGGTTTGACGTTTCTTCTCTCACAAATCACTGATCTCCCGCGTAACAGGAGAGGCGGTCAAGAGAGAGGACGAGAAAGGGAGTACAAGAAAAGGCACAACCGTCCTATTGGGAACACAGATTTCGTCATTTAGCCCGCTTGTAGACCTCTGTGCTGCATCGAGGTACCGCTTGGTGCAACGACTGGATTAGAGCTGGCCAACAAGTTTGTGTGTCCTGGTTTCCCAGAATCCGGGAAAGGACACGGACAGAACCTGCAGCAACTTGACAAGGCCGATGTCCCGGGAGGTAGGCGGCATCAGTGTGAAGGTGACCCTGCCTGAAGATCATGTAACGGCCTGGCCGATCAGATCGGCGCACTCTGCGCCTCAACATGGTTGCGAACGGTGTGAGCCGATCCTTTTGGACGCTGCCCAGAGGTCCAAGAGAGTTTGGATGTTTGTGATTGCAAAGAAGCAAACAGTCCGGTGTGGTGATGAGCGAGTCCTTCAGTTGGGTGGCACACATCATGTCAACGGCCTGTGTCTGGACAAGGCTTGGTTCCTGGATGTGGCTGTTGTGCATCTTGAAAACCCTGGCTACCCTGGCGCTACAAGTACCATGATAGGTCAGGGTGAAGATGTTTGATTCGCTCGCATCAGCACGGCCACTTTGCCCATCGCACGTTCTGGCAAAACAACTCACTCTGCGACGCTGCCCCTGCAAGGGTAGAAGGGCTTGAATTAAGCGAGCCACCCAGCAGGTCTTGACAAAAATAGAATCGGGAGATCTGTGCCAATCTTTACGTGCCTCACACGGGACGCTATTGGAAAAATTCACAGCCTCACAAACATTTTCTCTCTTTCTCGCTGTTTTGATTTGACGCGTCCCCAATAATCACGCGCCTTGTGATGGTGGATCGTCCTGGATAAGTGGTTGGTCAGCAATGCGTCCAAAGGGTTGTCAGTTGCAAGGTCACGTAAATGTCAGCCCATGCGAGGTTAGGCGGAGCGATATCATGATGGGTAACAAGTACAGTACAAGGGCCGCGGAGGCCAGCGGAAATGGAGATGGCGAGACAGACCCCGGTGCTTCGTAGAGAGACTGGTCAAGTCTGATCAGACCTTTTGTAGAATGGGTCCACGTCGCGATTGACAATCTCAACGGGCTGTTCAGTATTCACCAAGACGAGGTGACAAAGTCAGTGGGGACCTTGCCTCTTTGGACAACCCACAACGGAGCAAGAACGTTCTCTCGTAGCTTCGCGAGCAGTTGGTGGAGTCTCGATCCGGCATGGACCGGAATGGGAATGACCAAGTGTCAGAAATTTGGTACTGTACGAGTTTAGGCTGGCGGAGCAAACAATGGCAGCATGATACCTATTTCCTGGCTCCTTTGATTGTGATTCTCCAGGCCTCAACACTTCTCGTACCAGTACCAATCAAGTACTGTGACCCAGTCATGTAACGGAGGCATGTTTTGTGCAGTAGTTGTCCCGGGTTTAGACTGCGCCACATCCGCCCCCTGGTCGCGGCACGAGCTTTTGGCGGGCTTGGGAGACGACACCGGCGATGAACGGCCGAAGTTCCCCAGACTCAAGTCAGTGTCATAGTGAGCACTGGCTTGAGAAGTTGCTGGGCATGTTGGCCAAGTAGTTCCAGGGCCGTTACTGGTGTTTCCAACCTCGCTTAAGCTGCAGTTGAGGGTCGGAGAAACAAGGGATAGTCCAGCTGAAGGGACGTGGCCCGTGCGACCGCGGTATGCAATATGGAGGTACGGTATGCAAGGATAGCGAACTGCCTTTTTTCACCCCCTAACAATTCGAGATTCAGATTTTGGAGGGGCCAGTTGGGAGACGGTTCTTGCATGAGCCGGCACGATCCTTTCCAGGGCGTTTAGCCGGCAGGAACCGGCCAAACCGAAGACCACAAGGGAACAAAAGAGCCACAGAGCGACAAATGAGTTCAAGGATAAATTGTTCGGGACAGGTGGGTGGTGTAGCCCCAGTGGGTTGTGGCAGTGTCTTCTCCCACTCGTACTTCGTAGGAGTGGCGAACCCTTTGAGCCGTATTGGACGAGTCGACGAAGACCAGGTAACAAGGACAATCACCGAGGATCAATTCTTTGCAAACCTCAAGCAGACACGTCGAACAAGGAAATGGTCTCCGTCCAGCAAACCACCAGCGCAGTTTGTGGACGCGATCCGGTCGGAGCACCTTTCTTGTCCAGATGTGTTTGCCGTAACGTGAAACGCTGGACACATATGCCAGAGCAGAAGCGATATCTTACTCATAGGCCGAGAAAATCCACCAGCCAATAGCTAAGGGTCGCTTTTGGTGACGTTGAGAAAGACTCCGCAAACGGCCAATGCGGCGACGGACGAGCGAGCTGGAAGAGGGCGTGTCGCTGGAGGCGAATAGGGCCAGCAGAAGCGAGCAGCGACAGTAGAGGCACCAGAGGGTAACAGAAAGCCAGTCGTCAAAGGCCAGGACTAGAACTTCGTCGACTCGTTGGTTTTGGGCGGTTGTTGGTCACTGGTTGTCTATCTTTAGAAGACGGGGGCCACCAGCTAGCAAGGGGGAAAGTCATGCGGAGATGCGGGTCTTCAGGGGCAGGGATAGGCCTGTACGGGTACCAGTACGCCTAGGGGCTACACCTAAAGGGCTTGTTAAGGCCTACAAGTCCTTACCTACAAACACATAGGGGGCTACAGACTCGAGGCTAGGGCTAGGGGAACAAGGGCCACTGGGGGGAGACCAGCAGCCCAGCGCACCAGTGGTATCAAAGTGTCCCCTCTCTAACCACCCAGGGTTTAGGCTGGGCGATAGGGAAGTGATAGGACAGGCGGGTTCAGTAAGGTGGGCAACGGGTGACCTCATCCCTTGAACCTTTTGCTGCAGCCTTCAGGGAGCCATTCTCCATTTCTGGTGCGTTTTCGGTGCCCCTCTCCTCCTCTTTCTCTCCTCTCTTTCCAGCTTCGGCTTCCTCTTACCCATCCATTGCGGCTGTGCAAGCCTCTCATCCCATCCTCCCCCTGCAATGCTTGTTCTTTGGCTGCCACGCTTTTTTCGCTCACTAAAACTACTATTCCCCCTTTGACCTTGGTGCCCTTGAGGTTGGTGATCCCTCTGGGTGGCCACTGACCATGGTGGATCTCTTTTTTGGCCCGGTGTGGTTGTTTTCTCTTCCATCATGATCCCTGACTCCAGCTTGTCATGGAATCATGGCCGTCCGCTCGTACACACACGCACACGTATCAATACACGGAAAAGAAAAGCAAAAACCTGCAAGAGGCCAATGTCCACTACTACAATGCCGCCAGCTGCCGGCCACACACGGCTCACACAGGCTACTCCTTGCCTGCTGCGCATCTGCACCTCGCAACCATCCGACCAACCACTCTAGCCTGCAGTGCCCGCCTCTGCTTTCCCCATTCTTCTCTCATTTCGTTGGACAAATCTGGGTCTGGTAAAATGACAGAAAAGAGAGGTTTAGCGGTAAGGGAGTATCTAGTGGTATACTTGTACAAAGTATGTACAAGTACTGTCTGAGCTGAAAGTCAATGACCATGGCCGCACCCGTGGCCGTGAAGCCGATAGCGCTGGTGACGACAACGTGACGGCCTCCTCAACCCTCCCTATTGTCGGAGAAAAGTCGTGTTGAGATCAAGGGCATGAGACTTTGTGGTGAGGGAAAAAAAGGATGAACAAGACGCTACTGAGCACATCACTCCACGCTTCCACTGGCTCTTGTACGAGGGAGAAGCGACTTGATGGGTGTGTTCCGTCTTTGACTTGCTGCCACCAGCTTGTTCTTCGATCCGTGATCGAAACCTTGGGTCGTGTCAGCCACTCACCATTCGCTCTTCCGGCTGGTCTCCGCTTTTGGTGCTAATCCTGTCTTTTTCGTTCTTCTCTTTCCCTTTCCCTTCATCCCCCCTCGCATCCCTCGCAAAAAAAAGAGGGCGAGTAGCAGCAAAGTCGACAAAAAGCCGTGCCGTCGTGTCCATCCTCCAATGCTCCATCTATCCTCACCTGGCAAGCCCTGGGCTCCATATCCACCTTGCTAACCTGCCCATCACTGACACCCCGGTAAGCCCCTCCGCCCACCTCCACCACACACTCCCTGCAGCAAGTCTTTTCCACACTGACCTCTTGCGCTTCTCCATCAGCCCACTAGTCGCTCACTGCCACCGAACCTGCCTCACACTCGCCGCACAGAAACGTCTCCCCCGTTCCCTCGCCGAGCACTTCTGCGTGACCTGATTGATCCGTCTTTTTGCCATCCTCGCCTTTCGCGGCTTTTCACAGCCTCTACCTGCTAGGGCTTGTTCTCCCTGCTGAGTCGAGGCCGATATAGCCTTTTGATTCCCCCCTCCTGGCCCTCGGCTCCTCTTCTTCCATTTCCGCTCCACTTGCTTCATCATCCTTTCATCCCTCACCACCTTCGCTCAACCCAAGTTTTCTGGTTCTGTTCGCAGACCATACTTTCGTTTACTTCGACTTTGAAGACAATAACACACTCGCTTTTCACGACTTCGAATATCCCCTCGTTGGACATCAATCGCTCAAGTCCTTCGCTTTTCGAATTGGTTCGCTGAAAAGCCTCGCCCCCCTCAAAATCAGACCGTTCCCAGAATCCTTCCAATCCACCTACCTCTCAATTTCGCAGTCTGGAAAACCACATTTGATTGTGGAACAAGAGAGCTATTGATATTTACTCGACTCCTGTCCGGTGTTCGAGTGAGATTTGGAACATTCGTAGTTCCTCTGTGTTTCCATTGCACGAAATAAAGGCTGGAAACTCGTGGACAACTTCACATCCCACAACTCTTTCGCTGCGCAACCACCCGTTTGGTGACGACTTACCTTGGGAAACTCGACGGATAGACCCGTCCGAAAAGGGTACAAGGGTTTGAACCGCCTTTGGGGTCCTGACCTCTGGTTCAAGTCGGAAAATCGGCCTCCTGGGTAAGTGTATCAGTTGGTTCTCAAAATTATTCGTTGCCACCCTTTGGAGTCCTCTGGGTACGTCAAAAAAGACAGGCCCACGACAACTCCTTGCTTGCACATCATGTCCTTGCCTGGGCATTGAAATTGTCTTTCATTTTCCCCTCGTTGAATTCTTGAATGTCTCACTGACGCCCTCGACAACAGTTGGTTTCGTGCCAGTGGTAGAAGAGGGATTTACTTCTCAAGTCGACCCGCTCTCGGAACCCGTTACAGATATTTGCCACAATCTCTTCTCGATCTACTCTTCTCGATCTATCTTGACAGAGGTGAGCATCCCTTACACAGGAAGATCCTGGTATCCTGGATTTCCATCTGGCCTGGCGATAGTTTGGCTGATCAGTGTTGATAGTTCGTTCCACCCGGTTGGAATTCTTTGTTCTCAAGATTAAATCTGCCTCACCTTCCCGACTCCCAAACCTCTTCGGGATTGACGAGCTCTCGGCTTCATCACACATCGCTCAAACTGGCGACGTCGGCCTAAATCGCATCTCGTCTCAATCGGTGCTCTCAGCCAGCCGCCAACTCCTGCTCTTCAGGAGTCCTCAGTCAGCCTTTGAAATTCTTCGCCCCGTCTTCGAATGTACCCCTGGCGAAAGTCGATATTGACATCCCAGACATTCGAATCTCGATAGCATTTTGCAACCGTCACTCGCTTTGATTCGAGGCACCATTTAGCCTCCCACCACACTCGTTTAGCACAGTCGCTCGCTTAGTGATTTTTTTGTTCCAAGAAATTTACCAAAATACCGTCAAGCTGGCGTCCATAACTTTCAACCACTTTCATGTGAGTCCAATCTTGCGTTCCCCCCTGCCCTTGTCTTGGCCTCTACCATCATGGTGTCGTGTCACTCCTCCCAGACTGATTCAAATACTGACACGTTTCTCAGTCGTTCCCCGACCTCCGCACTCCATTCATAGTCGACGATTCATACGATCCTGCAGTCTTTGCTGGAGAGCATTTTGCAAGTCAGTTCCAGGACGGCCTCGAGGCCAAACCTGGTCAGCTCTTCTCCATGTCTGGCTATGATGGACCGGGTCAAGCAGGGCTCATGAGTAGGTCAGCCCTTCATTGATGTGCAAGTATTTGTCACTGACTCATGTCATAGAGTTTGAACCTCCTGCCATCGACAATCAGGTGTTCTACGGCAGTTTTCCTCCCACTCCGTACGATCATCACCCTCTTCTTCAACCTGGAAACCCCCAGGAAGCCGACTTCCAGTACATAGCTGGAAACGACTATATCTCCGAGAAGAGCTTCCCTGGCAGTGGCCCTTGTGCGGATTCTAGAGATGTGAAAGATGGGGACGTGAGAGTGGCCAATGCGCATCACCAGCGCATCCCCTCATCTCAGAGTATTCAAATTCTCCCCCGCAAACGCAAGGCTTCGACTGAGGACGAGTACGATCTACCAGCCCAGAAGAAAGCAGTCCTTGCCCAAGTTCACGTCCAGGACCCCAACGGTGACTACTACGACATTAGCGGTCAAACATCCCCTTATTCTCCATTCGTGCCAACCCCTACTGGCAGCGCCGGCATTCCTAGCTGCGTTAGCCATGGCACGTCTCCCAGACCCTCTGGTCACCACTATTCAACTTCAACTGCGTCTCAGGTGTCGTTGGCTGCTCCTTCTCCAAACACGCCTGCTTTCAGTCCATCCTTCACCACCGTCAAGAGTGAGCAGAGCCCTGCTGCGCCCATGACTCCTATTCCCCGTCCAACCACAAGTTCTCCTTTGAAGTCGTCAGTGCCCAAGCTGGTGCGGACCTCGACCATGCAGCCCTCACCAACAGCTTCTTGCTCCACGATAGCTATTGGACAAACGCAGACCTTCAATCCATATACGTTGTCCAACCTCAAGGCTAATCTCAAGCTCAAAGGAGACTTGGACAGTATGAAAGAAGACTGGACTGCAGAGGAGAAGGACGCTCGTCGGCGTCTCGTCGTGTTCGAACGAGAACAATCTGGCAGCACTATCACGGCGAGCTTCAAGCCAGTCACTCCCCAGGATCGCCAGGCCAGCAGCATTTGCATCAGCTGCATCTGGTGGAAAGAGAAGAACGAGTTCTATGTCACCTCGGTTGACACCATCTATCTTCTCGAAGCCCTGGTCGGGGTTCGTTTCACTGTTGAGGAGAAGAACCGGATTCGTCGCAACCTCGAAGGTTTCCGCCCTTTGACTGTTTCCAAGGCTCGACAGGACAGCGAGGAATTCTTCAAAGTTATTATGGGCTTCCCTCACCCAAAGCCACGCAACATCGAGAAAGATGTCAAAGTGTTTCCGTGGAAGATTCTGGCCACCGCGTTGAAGAAGATCATTTCCAAGTACTCTGCCAGCTATTCTTCCACTGCGGCACCACTCCTCACACCTGCTTCGTCCATGTACAGCGGAGAGGGTTTGACCGAATATCAATATCCATCTTCGCCCCATCCAGAATACATAGCACATGCCGGGTATCCGATGAATGCTGAGATGGGATATCTCCCCCAAGCTGTCCAGATGCGCGTCCCTGGACCAGTTGTGACTGGACCACCCGAGCTGCAGTTGCAGGTACCTGAGTACGTCCCTGCCTACGACGTCAATGGTCAGTACATCTATCACAACGGAGTTCCCGTCACCCAAGCTATGATGAGCATGCCTGCCCATCCGATGACTGCTCCAGCCTCACGAATGCCTACCTGGGAATATGCCAATTTTGTCAATGACAGCCCAGTCACCATGGCACCGCAAAGTGCACCGCCCACCGCCTACCCACGTGGACCCATGATTGAAGCGGCCGAATTCATCCCTCATATGCACTATCAACAGCACTAAATGAGCGCGACTAATCTTTCGAAACATTTCCTTTCTTGACTGTCTTTAGCATCGATGTTCTGCGTGGCACAAGACCCACAACACGCATACTGGCACGACATTTCCTTTTTTATGTCATTGGCGTCCTGGGATATCACGGAAACCTTGGAATGGGAGGTCGAATGAGTCATGTATACACAAAACCTCCTTGTACACCAGCACGAGCATGTTTTGCATAGCGATTGACACTTTGTGGAGGTTGGGTCGGGGACGTTGCCTATGCTTACAGGCTCTGAAAGTCGGACAGTTATGGCTGTTGACTTTGGTGATAATAACAGAAGATTGGGAGGGGAGGTTTCAAAAACGGGAGGGTCAGGACAAGGTCCGAGGGTTACGTTCGTGTAAATGATTTGATGAAAGCATAGACTTAGTCATGGCAAACGGCCTAACGCGAGCTGCCCACGCGCAGAAAACACATGATTAATTGCTCTTGAACTGTTCGTGTTAAATTTTGTGCTCTACCAGGAGTTGGTGGATGAGTTGATGAGGTATTTGATGTTGGGTGCTCGTGAAAGGCAAGTGTGCCGAGACAGACTAGGCTCTTTTTGTCACTATAAACATTGGCCCGTCGCGCAGATCACCATTTGATGCGCCATTATTGCAATCAAGTCACGCTTCAGCACGGCGCGCGCGCCAGAAGTCGTGGTCGTCGCTATTGTCAGCTAGTGATTCTCATCTATAAACTCAGATCCGCGTGTTGCTTTCACTATCTATCGCCCCAGCATCCAGATCGCTTATTGACTTGCTAAGGTTCTGGCGCCGCACTCAATCGATTCAGCAAACGCACGGAAAATATTAATATGGCCGCGGCGGTAGCGCTTGACACTCCTTCGCCACGGCAACCGTATGCTCTCAGCGAGTGCGCATCGACGACTTGCTTACGCTCGCCCCAGCAGACGTCGCCTCGTCGTTCGCCCTACTTCGCCAACTCCACGCCGACGCAGGAACCGGACGCGGAAAACACCTCCAGCCCTTCACGCCCTTACACGTTTACCCCTCGGCGAGTCAAATCCCTACCTAGAGCGTGGGAGAGACGGCCAGCGACACCGTTCGTGGCGCGGAACGACGCACAAAAGATATGGAAACGCGTCCCATTGGGTGCCATCGGGGCGAACATTGGGGAGAATTGGAGGAAGGAGAACAGGCGACTGGCCACACGGCCGGTCAAGAGATTGAGAATTGCCCATCTCGGTGGAGAGGAGGATCAAGAGAATGCCGACTACATCGCCTCTAAATGGGACGAGGATGGAATGACGACACCCAGTCCGAAACGAAAGGTGTTGGAATGTGGGGTGTTTGCAATGGATCAGGAAGATCAAAACACTTCCGATGAGGCTGACGACGGCATCGAGGACGACGAAGACCACGGGATCTCAGAACACAGCACGGCTTCACCTATCCTCGGAAATCACGATGGAGCAGAGGACCGGATCGAGGTTGAAAACAGTGATATTACAACGAAACCTGTGCATGTCTTAGACAGTGTCACTGCTCCTCTCCAGGCAGCGGGCTTGCCTCAACCTCTGTCACCCATCACTAATTTGATGAACCCATCTTCCACCTCTTCACCTCCGCCTGCAACCATGCCATCCTCGTCAAATGCATCTATGCCGGCGCTCGACGAGGACCTTGCCTCATGTGGGAATAGACATCAAGACGCGCACTTTTCTTTCACTGTCTCGAGCATTTTTGGCCCGAACGAATCCGTGGCTAGCCCTCCCGATCACGACGACACAGCCTACCTGCACGATTTCCTCTCTCGGGCTCGCGCACGGAAAGCAGCTAAAGAACAGGCATCCGAAGAAAATACAACAACACAGCTGGAGGAATCGGCGGACCCATCTATGAAAGAATCAAGTTCTTCTCACATTGAAGATGTGACCAGTACTCCCCCGGAAGCTACCGACAGTAAAGAAACACCAATGATTGTTGCCACAGCTCCAGAACCAGAAATCAATGTCTCTCCTCGACGAAGCTCTCGACTCTTCACCCGACTTCCAAGACCGCAAAAACCTGCCACAAGCCTCCCGAACACTATCTCCCTCAAGCGGCTCAATGGAACCGAATTTATCGCCGCCCGCAACGAAGCTGAATCGCTTGCGGTGACCACCCGTACAAACACTAAGAGTAACAAGAACGGGGCAGTCTCGGCAAAGGTCAGGTTGCTGCAGATGGATGCTGAGCAGAAGGCTAGGCAGTTCTCGGAAGAGGCCGGGGCTGAACAACCGAAGCCAGAGATTAGGCCGACGAAGAAGAGTGGCAAGAGAAAAGAGGTGGCTTGGGCCGAGAAGCTTGCGACATTTCACGGAGAAGTCGAGGAGAGCACTGTTGATGAAACAGCGATGGGGGAAGTGAGAGAGGACGAGGGTTGCAAAGCGGACAGCAACTCAGAGGCGGACAGCAATTCGGAGGCGGAGGGAGGAGCAGGAGGCAAGGAGGGAGTCGAGCAGCTGCGTTCGCTTCTGCGTCAACAGAACAGAGGGGTCAAAAAGGTGCGCAGACTCCGGAAATTGAATGGTGGGAGTGTGAATGGGACACCGGCACCAAAGAAGACGACAAACATTCCCCTGCCTACTGCGTCGAAATCTTTGTCTGCAAAGGTGTTGGGGTTGACGGCGCAAGCGGAGGATGTTGTGGGCAGTGAGAAGGATGCTATTCAGACGAGGGCGAGGAGGAGGATCTCCACGGGCGTCTGAAGTTGAGCCGCAACATGGAGATTGTTGTGCTCCTTTGAGCGCCGCTGAGAGTACCAGGAATATATTCAGCTTGAAGCCTTGGAAGCGTTGGAGGATACAATGGGGTCTGGCGTCGGTCTGGGGTGGTCAATGGCGCAGGCGGGAGGATTTGGGCTCGTCAGCTACGAGTGGGCAGCTCGAGTGAGGCCGTGTGTCGATCGAGGGCTACGACGCAGCTGCCGCGGTTCCTTTGTCCAGAACGCCATCCATGATGACCTGATGAGCAGGACATCCTAGTCGGCAGGGTCAAATAGATGGCCCGATCCCGTGCCGCCATTTACCTCTGAGAAATACGTACTCATAGGGACCCATCTTGTCATCATATACTTGTACTTTTACTTGTACTTTCACTTTTCCCAGGCCCTGCAAGTTAGTACTTGTACTTGTATATGGAAGTGGGTGATTGGCTGGAGTTAAGGGATTCGATATGTCCAATATCCATCTCGCCATTTAATATCCATCCTCGATCCTCCTTCCACCACCATCATGTACAAGTAGTGTCTTCAGGCCATTCCATTCCTACTCATACCTAGGCGTAATACACAGACGGGAGTTCAGTACACAGTACTGAGTACTGAGTAGCTCGTATGGGATGCTGCGAGTACGCGTGACTCGTGCGAGTCTGTAGGTACCGAGCGAGTAATGATGCGAGGAACGGTAACCTTGTCCATATCGAGGCAACATTCTCTTGCAGCTGTATCGTCCCCGTCGTCCCTACCAGCGAATTACGCAGTAAGGGCAAGTATTATTACAAGCTGTTGTCACGCCGTCTCATGCTGAGTAAGAACAGAAGTAACAATCCTCACTCGTCTTTCCTCGAAGTAGCCTTGATCCTGTCTTTAGCTTATTCCTGGCCTAATCCTACGAGTAATATATTCCTTCCTTTCCTTGAGGGTAATTTACATTACCTTACAAATACCATACGTGCTTACTTGGCCAAGCTTAGCTTAACCTTACTGAACCTTGTCCTCCTACTGCGCACTAGTGGCGATCTTGGCACCCACGCCAGCGCTAAACCCCATCCATCGGAAAGGGGATAGATCACTCCTCTATATCGACATTGTGGTTATTTTGACGTCGTTAACTGTTTTTTAACTGTCGTTAGTTCTAACAAGCACAAAACCAGTTTTTTTCCGTCTTTGATTTATCTTCGTGATCTCTCGGATTGTCGACTTCGGGGTTCGGCGGAGTTAAGATGGTCGTGCAGCACACACACATACACACATACTGACGTACAGAGAAAGAAGAGAGGGACGGGAATCGGAGTCGGAGGAATTCATTCAGCAGCCCTTCTTAATTGATTCCCAGAACAGGGGGAGAAGACAGGATAAGGAGGAGAAAAGAGAGCGAGAGACACACGGAGAGAGGGTGTGTGGATGAGGCGGACAAGGTGATGGTGCACATAGATACATCCATTCAAGCAAAGGTATAAGAATTCCCTTTTCCTCCCTTCTCGTTCTCTGTCTCCCCTTCTCCGTCTTCCGTCGTCCCTCCTAGCGTTGCTCTCTCTCACCTTGTCTCCCAACCGTTCTCGGGAAACCCCTTTGAGTGGGCTGCAAAAACAGGAGAGATAGTGGAACGAAACTGTCTGTATCTCTCACTCCTCACTCTCACTTATTACACACCCATATACACCCACCCATACACCCACCTACACACACAGACAGTATACACCACAATGTCCATCCCACCGACCCACCGCGCCCTGCGCCAGGAAGTCTACGCCGAACCCCCCACCGTGCAACACATCCCCACCCCGCAAGTGACGCCGGGGTCGGCGGTGCTGCGTGTGCTCCAGGCCTCGGTCATCAGCTACACCAAGGACATCTACAACGGGGTGCGACGGTACCCGTACCCGACGCCGCTGACGCTGGGACAGACGGCGCTGGCGCGGGTGGTGGCGCTGGGACCCGACGCCACGACCCTCCGCGTCGGGGACCTGTGTTTCCTGGACGTGACGATCCGGGGCCGCGACGACGTCGACCGCGCCGCGGGCGCCACGTTCCTCAGCGCCATCGCCCATGGCAACAGCAGCGCAGCGGCCAAGTTGTTCCGCGACGCCTGGCGTGACGGCACCTACGCCGAGTACGTGCGGTGGCCGCTCGAGAACTGCTTCGCGCTCGACGAGGACAAGCTCCTGCAGAAACTCGGCTACCAGCTCGGCAACCTCATGTTCATCCCCAAGATGCTGGTCGCGTACGGCGGGCTGGGCCCGCTGTGCGTGGACCTCAAGCCCGGCGAGACCGTCGTCGTCAGCCCCGCGACGGGCGGCTTCGGCTCCGCCGCGGCGCACCTGTGCCTGGAGCTGGGGGCCGGCCGGGTCATCTGCATGGGGCGCAACGAGGAGATCCTCGCGGACCTGAAAAGCGCCGTCGCGCCGGAAAAGCGCGCGCGGGTCGAGACCGTCCCGCTGACAGGAGACTGGGAGGTCGACCTGAAGGCGCTCCAGGCCCTGGGCGGCGTCGTCGACGTCTTCTTCGACATCTCCCCGCCCGCGGCCGCCGACTCGAGACACCTCAAGGCCGGGGTCTTCGCCCTCAGGCACGGCGGCAGGATGTGTCTCATGGGTGGCGGCAACCATGACGTCGTCCTGCCGCACGGCGTGCTGATGCGCAACGACATCACCGTCAAGGGGAAGTGGATGTACGAGCCCACGGACGTCAAGCGGCTCATTGCCCTGGTCGAATCTGGGGTGGTCAAGCTGCACAGAGACGAGGACAGTGTCAATCCACTGGGCGCAAGAGTCGTGGCCAAGTTCAAGTTGGAGGAGTGGGAGCAGGCGTTCGATGCGGCTGAGAAGCAGGGCAGGAGTGGCGGTATTGTCGTGATCGAGCCGTGATGGCCGCATGGTCGCATGTTAGAATTGGTGACCATGGTGTATGTATGCGTGCATGATCTTGTAACATGTGCCCAACATGGTCCTTGACGTTCGAGATTCAGTGGACGGAAAAGTGCCATACACCGGACTAGACACTCTCAATCTAGCCCGAGTATACTAGCTCCAGTAGAGCCATCAACGTGTCAGCTGTGTTCTTCCTCTCTCTGCCGTCTTTGATGCCTCTCAATCTCCTTGTCCCACCAGACACGGTATTCGTCGATCCACGCGTCGAGGAAGAAGAACCTCTTGAGGCTCTTGACCGTCTCCTTCCAGCGCCTGGCCGGGGGATGTCGGCGGAGGAGCTCGTCAAAGACCTCGGCCTGTTCGTCGGCGGTCAGGCCGATGCGCTCGGTGCTCTTCTCGACGACCAGGATGGCGACCCCCCACATGGCGTAGTCGGGCTTGGCGCCGTCGAGCGCCATGAACGAGTCGGCCGTCTTCTTGATCCGCCGCCGCAGGTTGACCAGGAACTGGCCGTAGAGTTTCTGGCTCTCGTTGCGGTCCGGCTGCTCCCGCAGCACGAACAGCCAGCAGAAGATGCAGATGCTCCGTTCCAGCGGCGAGACGGTCGTCCGCGTGATCAGCGTCATGAGGTCGACCGACACGTGGTAGATTTCCTCTGTCGTGGCGCGTTTGGTCAGAGGGGTCTCCTGGGCCATGTGGGCGAGCCGGCACAGCAGTTCGATGATCTGCGTGGAGATCCTCCCCTCGAGGGCAATGTCGCTGAGTCCGTGGGGCAGGGTCGCGATCTCTGTGCACAGTGCGGGCGAGAACGGGTGCTTGGGGTAGGTCAGTCCGGATTCGGGCTTGACGGCCTCGGCCGACGCCGCCTGCATACGTTGCAGCGCAAATGAATACAATGCTTCGGTGCTGGAGGGGAGCTGCCATTTAGCATCTTTCAAACGACAGGGCGAGAGGAGCCAGCTGAGAACATACCCTGCCAGGTTATATTTCGTCTGGCGGTCAAAGTTGCCGTGCTCCAGTCCACCACGGAGCGAAACCAGCGTGTGGAGGCCTTTGAGGTGGGTTGATGCGTGATCGTCGTGACCGGCGAAGAACTACCGAGGAGTCAGTATCAGTCTCTCCCGGGCCAGGACAGAGGGTTCAAGACAGACATCCGCAGCTATCAAACATATCACAGTGTGGATGGTGGTGTCCGAGGTCGAGATCTCCTTTGACTGAGAAAGCGTTCGATGGAGTTTCCCCAGGACGCTGGAACGGAGATGTGCAAAGTGCACACCACCGGGCACGAGGGCGTTGGGACCAGCAGGGTTGGTATATCGTGCCATGGAGAGGATGAGGGCCTCGAAGAGCATGTCCGATTGCAAGGCCAGGGGGAAGAGTGTGCCGGTCAGCCAGTTTTTGCCCGAGTCGTCGGCGTAAAGTGATGCATTCATGGCGGCGTAGTCTTGGAGGACTGGTTGGAGGAGACCCATCAGCTCTAATATACAACTGGGGCATGTTTCAAACCGTGTGGCACTCACAGAAATCGGCCGCCCATTCGATCTGTCCAGTCTGAGGGGTGGGAAAGGACGCAAATGGATCCCTGCGATGGCCACCCAAGGCATATTGAACGGACAACTTGGGAAGACGTCGCCTTCTCAGCAACGCGTAGATGATGTCGTCGGTAACTTGCTGACCGTCTCGAGTATCGGCAGCGTTCCCCGCCTGAGCCAACAACTCCGAGTCGACCGTGACGGGCGTAGAAGTTCGAATGGGATGGCGCGCGTGCCATTGTGCTGCGGTCGGGTGTGATGATCGAGGCGTCGAGGGTTTGGCCCTGTTGACTCTGCGACCGCGATTGACGAAAGCGTTGATCTGCGAGCGTTTGCGGGCGTCGCGCATGTCGTCCAGGTCATTGTAGGTGATGAACATGACGGGCCAGCCTCAGCCTGTTTCAGGGGAGCATGTGGTTAGCCAGTCACTCCCTCTACCCCGAAAAGCAGCCCTATATGCGGAGCCCAGGGAGGTTCGGGAACCCAGGGAAGATGGAGGCACCAGAGGTGAGATCTGATTAGCAAGATAGACAGAAGCGCCCAAGGGGATTCAAGGGGGTTGGAACAGATTCCTCGGGATTTTTCCGACGTTGGGGCGGGGCGAGCCTAGTGAGTCTTGCCTAGTGAGTCTTGGGGGTTTTGGTATAAAAGTAGGCATTATTATTATGTTTTGTTGATAAAAGACTTGACCAGGTTAGAAGGCTTGGGTAACTCCACCATCCCCATACAGCTCTCCTCCATTTACAGAGTTATAGCAAACTATATCTCGACTGCCAACTGATGTTCTTCCAACATCTCCTTTAGACCAGCATGCCCTGATCCCTCCCCCGTATCTTCTTCGCCTTGCTCATAGTATCCTGGTCCCTACGGAACAGACGTTTGGTAACAGCCTCCCCCACGCATGCTGGGAATTCGCCGTAGCAGAAAGAGCCACCGTCGGTGGCTACACAGTAAGACAGAACCGGGCATTGGGAATCGTCGGTGCAGGGCGTGGGGGTGCTGAATTGATCTGTTGGTAGACAGACGCCATCGCCGTCAGTTCCACAGCCGGAGATGCGAGAATAGCAGGTGCAATCTGTCGTGCCATCAAGGCTGATACAGTCGGAACTGCTGGTACAGGCTTCGAAATTTCTATAGAGAGTCATTTGAATGCTGCGCTAGACCCGCCGCCACGGAGTGGGCAGAGCGGAAGAAGTACACTTACTCTGAGCAGACAGGAGATGGCGCAGCGCTTGTCGTTGTGGTCGTCTGATAAAGTCAGCATGCATTCTCATTGATAGGTCCAGCCAGCACTTACCGTCGTTGTCGTTGTAGTTGTTGTTGTGGTGGTAGTACTTGGGGTAGTGGTCGGAATGGTGCTTGTGGTGGTGGTAGTAGTGGTGGTGGTGGTGGTCGTCGTCGTCGTTGTGGTGGTAGATGGTGTGATCGTTTTCTAAAGACGAACGTCAATCTTCAGACACTTATATCGCAGACAAGTTTACCATACCGTGCTGGTAGGGATGCTCTCGATACACGAGCAGAGGGTCGAGACTATGGCAGATGCTTCAGACAACAAGGTCGAGAAGAGTGCAGCCTTGGGATCAACGGATGTTGACGTTGACCTTGTCGTCGTAGTAGAAGGAGGCTTGGTAGTCGAGGTAGATGGAGGTTTCACCGTTGTTGTTGATGGAGCCTTTGTGGTCGTTTTCGTTGTCGTCGTTGTCTGGAAGTGTCGCTTGGCCTTGACTGGAGCTGAGCTGACCAGTGTCACAGTCGTGACCACCGTCGACGGTGGGTAATGACTGGTGCAATAGGACTGAGCGGGAGCATATCCGCGAAGAGGTGCGAGCAGTGCGTAAATTCCACTAGAGCAGACCGAGCCAGACGCTGCGACGGTCGCAACCAAACAGGAAAGCAGCAGAAGGAAGGACTTCATGTTGGAAGGAGACAATAGTGGCAAGATCAAAATGACAATGACCTAGCTGTACTCACGAAAGGGAATGCACAAACAAGAAGGATGGGTAGCGCTGCCTCTTTAGATTTTATAGCTCCCCTCTCATCAGTACCCTCAAAAGGGACATGGGAGACGTATGGGCATCTCAAAAACCCCATGTCGATCTCAATTTCTGAGTGAGGAGTGATCTTCATTGGTGGCTTCAGCCCCAAAACCGGCTGGGCTGAACCTCCTATCCATGGGTTCGTTGTTGCCACCGAATCAGTGATTCTGGTGCTGGTCTTGCGACGCATCTGGCCCAGCAAGGCTCGAAGACCGTCGTGACATAAACCTCCAGCACAAAGCTGTGACACTAGGTTCTTGCTACTTCACCCATCTCAAAGAGGAAGGCCACGACCGTTTTTCCAGGTCGAGACCAAGCTGGACGAACAACGGGATCCCACTAGTGCTCAGAACAGGAGGCGTTGTCTGCGCCAGTTCCCCTCCTGGCATGGACTCGGGCCGCTTAAAATCTCCATCGGGAACCGTATACGAAAAGAGGGTTCCCAACGAACAGGACTATGGCCATGAGAATACGGATGAGGATGAAGCCGAAAAGAATCATGTCAGGGACAGAGTCCGGCGCTCACCTGCCGTCCAGTGGGAACTGCAAACAGAGAGGATCTAGACGCCATGGTGTAGGAATATGAGGTGCAGCCTTGAGTGAACTTGTCCATATTCATGTGTGGCGTTTCTCTGTGCCTGCTTAGGCGAAGTTTGTAACCGAGTCCGTCTGGGAGATGATGGAGGAATCAGGGATCAACATGGACGGTCGACGACGTTGAGCTGCGTTTGGCTGCGCCCGTTTGATAAAAGGCGAAGCTCTGGACCAGCCACTAGCGGCCTTGGCATTGAGCTTAATTTTGTGGCTGGCTGAAGCATTTCTCATGCCGCATCCACATCCCCGAGTAACAGAGCATCTTCTTGTACCCAACGTGACAACCTCTCGCTCGATTCATGTGGTGATGATGTATGTGCGTCAAAGTCTCCTTAAATGCCCGTCCCATTTCCAACGCAGAGAACCACAAAGATCCACTTGAAATCGTCTGCACCACTTCCCTAAAGTAGTACTCCCCTTTTACATCAACTAGAAGCATCGATAGTTCCAACGCCCCTCCAACCCCTGCTTCTCTTCACAAGTTTGTCCTGGCTGTTTCTGACGGCCTGTATATACAGTCCAGCCCAGCTGTAGCTAGGCCATGGGCCGTGGCTTGACCATTGCTTGAATTGTTTGCGTCCAGGGTAGGACATCGAAGCTGAGGAGGAATAACTGCCCTTGATTATTCCTTCTCAAATTATCCAAAAAGGTACAACTCCAAATCGACCCTTGGCGATCAGAAATATCCATTCAGTGGCCAGGAGACCGTGTGGAAAGTTCTGTATCCATAGTAATAAAAAGAAAGGGACTGGCTTCCAAACATAGTGAAGACAGGCAGTACATCTGGGTATCAACGTCTTGAAGGAACGGGCAGCCTTGCATGTCTAACGCCTTCTGCAACATTAATCTTGCAGACATCTTGGAACATCGACTGGTGAATATTTCTGGAATGCTCCATCCGTCCATCCGTGCACGACTGTTGCGGCGGCAGTTTAATGTGTGCGAATCGTGGTCTCCGGGCTATGACACCGGATTGTTGAACAAATAACTCACGCTTTCGCCATTGTGCGTCCGCCTGATGGCCTCCGCCAGGACGGGAGCAATGTCAATAAACTCGAGCCTGCATCCCTTCTGGCCTTCAGGAACCCTGAGAGCTTCGATCTTGTCCTCGCTGACCGGGACCGTATTGGTCATGACCAAGCGGCTCAGCGACGAGTTTCGCAGAGTCTCGACGGCTTTCCCTGACAAAATACCATGAGTGACGAGCGCAACCACATCCTTCGCCCCGTGTTTGATCAGCGTATCGGCGGCTTTTGCGAGTGTGCCACAGGTATCTGCCATGTCGTCCACCACAATGGCCACTTTATCTTGCACCGTGCCCACCAGCGTCATTCGCGAGACTTCGTTAGGCCGGGATCGTTCTTTGTGTATCAAAGCAAATGGCAAATCGAGTTTGTCGGCCATGGATGTGGCTCGCTTGGCTCCCCCAGCATCCGGGCTCACAATGACACACTCCTGCCTTGGTCCGTTCACCTCCAAGCCGGTCTCGCTCGCATGCATGAGGTTTTCCCGAATCCATTTGACACTGTTAGGCTCTGCGTAGAGATTGTCCACTGGCACGTTGAAGAAGCCTTGAATCTGCGAAGCGTGCAAGTCCATGGTAATGACATGGTTGCAGCCCGCCGTCTGAAGCATGTTTGCCATGAGTTTTGCCGTGATGGGAGCTCGCGACTTGTCCTTTTTATCTTGTCTCGCGTAGGGGAAGTTCGGTAGGATGGCGGTGACACGGCGGGCGGAGGCGGTCTTGCAGGCGTTGCAGATGATGAGCAGTTCCATCAGGCCGTCGTTGATGTCGTTTGGTCGGGTCGATTGAAGGATGAAGACTATTTCACCATGAAATTAGGCTCCTGCACACCAAAGACCCCAGAAAGGCACGAATTCAGGAACAACTGTCCCGCAGCAAAGGGAATGAATGCCGTACCATCTTCGTCTCTGACCGACTCGCCGATCGTGACACTGGTCTCTTGGTTCGAGTATTGCAACACCATAATCTTGACGAGCTCGATACCCAGTCTGGGACACACAAGAGCACAAAAGAGTCAGCTTCGCCTAGAAAATGGACCCGACTATGCCACCCAAGGGACTGCATGGAGGGTAGGTAGCGAATACCTTTTGGCGACGGCATGCGCCAGCTCCGGGTGACTGTTCCCAGTCAAGAGCTTGATCGAGTTTGACGCCATGGCTTCGGAGGAGTGTTGAGGAGATGCGATCACCGACGAAGCATTCTGAAGAGCAGTAGCAAGGGTAGGAGGAACAATCAAGTCTGGTGGCATGGGATTTAAAAGTTAAGCTGATTCCGAAAAATTTACTGGGTAAGGATTCCCCGCGAGACTGACTCAGGCGCCGTTGGTTGGCGGCGTGGCGGGGCACTTGGGGTTGGGTAATTTGCAGCGCTGTCACTGGTCTTCCACCCGTGGGCAATCCTGGGCGTTCCGAGTTTTGAATCAAGTCACAAGAGATCGATCTTTGAGAAAGAAGAGGTAATACGGGGCAGCACGGTGAGGTCAAATATCATGGAAAGGAAAGACATGACGGGGCAAGTAAAGGGGGCACAGAGTAGTACCGGCATGAGAAGTGCCACCCAACAGGTCATATTCAGTCTTTTCTTCTGCCAGGTTAACCCTTTTTCACCTGATCTATCTCTCCCAGGCCGCTTGCGAGACAGGATTTGGAGACGAGTTTCCCATCAGTGTTTGAAACGACACCACACATCCTGTGCTGTGCACAACTCTCCCCAGTCTCACAAGCCATCCCTGACCTTCAACCCCTGAGGCTATCAGTCGCAGGATGGCATTTCTTGCCTCGCCTCCGAGTTCCATCACATCAGACCTTGTCGCCAATAAGCCCAGCTGACAACCTTCAAATTTCATGCGTTGGTCGCCGTAATACGCATAGAGCTATTGTGAAAGCGGTATCCTGCTAGATTGGTTCGCGCGTCTACTCCTTCCTCATCGAGGAGGCACGTCTCTTCCTCAACTCGGTCCTCTTCTCACGTTCCTCATGCACACGCTTGGCCAACAACTGAGCATACTCGTTCGCAGCGTCTTTGGCGGCCTCGGCGCGTCTTCTCTTGAGTGCGATTCGGTGTCTCTTGTGTTGCATGCGTTGGGGAGTGACAAGTCTCTGAATCTTCGGGGCTTTGGTGTAGGGCTTGGCACCCTCTTTCTTAGGGACGACTTCGCGGCGGATGACGAATTTTCTGTACAATCATGTTGGCAAATGTCGGTGTAGTGGTGAGCTGTTTGTATCAAGACACATACCTGACATCATCTTGCTTGGTCAAACCAAAGAATCTCCGAATCTTGGTGGCTCGCTTGGGACCCAGGCGCTTGGGGTTGACCACATCGGTGAGACCGGGAATCTCACCATCACCCTGCTTGACGATAGAGAGAGCGAGGACGGCGAGATCCTGACCGACAATGCAGCCACGGACAGACTTGCGCTTGCGTTCACCGGTTCGTCGGGGTCGGTAGCAGGAGTGGCCGTCGGCAAGGAGGAGTTTGACACGGGTAGGGAGCATCTGTTATGAACAAGTCTCAGCGAGGATTCTTCGTCGAGTTTTCGCTGGCGCTTTCACCAAGCTAAGGGATGGCAGCACGTACAACACCCTGCTTCATGGGAAAGCCTTGCTTGTCATTACCACCGGTGATGCGGAAGATCTGTCTCGCACAATATCCGTCAGCAACTCTTTCATTCGCAATATATAGCGAGGAAACAGATATGACAAGATGACCATACATAGCCCTTCCATTCATCTCCTAGACTGTCACCTGGGACTTCGTTGCCCATGCGCTTCTCCATGAAGACGCGCAGCTTGCGGTCATCTTCGACTTCGATCAACTTCTGCGACCCGTTGGCCGGGTAGGAAATATTCAACTTCATCTTGTCGACGATACGCTGATCAGGACTGTCAAGACTGAGGAGAGCCCTGACAGGTACCAGCAGTTGAGAATTGGCAAAGAAAAGATAGAAGTGTTGGCTGTAAACGCTTCACAAGTGTAAAGTTCAATCCACGCAGGATAATTTCCTCTGTGCGATTTCCCGCCAAGCTTTGTCTCGCTAGGCCATAGATGGCTTAGTTCAGAACAAATATTACTACGCACAATCCCTTTTCCCATATGCTAGGCGCTTCCTCGAACCATTCGACAATGGCTGAATTATTGTAGATTCTGGGGCACTCTGCCTTGTATAAGTCTTGATATGTACTTTGTCTAGATAGCGACACCATTTGCCTGTCCAGCCCCGTTTCCATTGCGCAACTTTTCGAGCTCCAAATATCTTTTTTCTGCTTCCTCAATAGTCCTAATATTCGCTCCCAGCTTGTTCATTGTTTCAATCCACTCATCCTCCTCGACACTGTCAAAGACAATTCCTCCGCCAGCCTGCAAATATGCAACGCCGTCTTTCACCACCATCGTGCGTAGTGCGATGCAAGTGTCCATTGCCCCTTCATCTTCAATCTTTGATCCGTCGAGTGACACATGGGAGAAGCCGAAATACCCTACCGCACCGGCATAGACACCTCGCTTCTCCTGTTCTAGTTCTGCAATGAGTTCCATAGCCTTGACCTTGGGAGCCCCCGAGACCGTGCCCGCGGGGAAAATACTTCGAAAAGCGGTGAAGCGGTTCTCGCCTTCTCTTAACACACCTGAAACCTGACTGACGAGATGCTGAACGTGGCTGAACCGCTCCACCACCATGAGTCGGTCGACACGAGTGGACAAGGGGTCACAGACTCGGTTGATGTCGTTGCGGGCCAGATCCACCAGCATGACATGCTCGGCACGGTCCTTGAGGCTGTTACGCAGTTCCTCGGCCAGTTGCTCATCTTCTTCAGGGCTTTGACCTCTCTTGACCGTGCCGGCGATGGGATGGGTTATAATACGGCCAGCCTCTTCTTTTACTAGCAGCTCTGGCGACGCACCAACGATGCTGAAGTCCTCGCAATCGATGTAGAATAGGTACGGCGAGGGGTTGACTGTTCGTAGATGCCGGTAGATATTGAACGGATGGAGCGTAGTAGGGCGTGATATACGGTGGGAAGGAACCGCCTGAATAATGTCTCCCTTGGTCACATGCTTCTTAAGCCGGGTGACGTGCGCCTCATATCCTGTCTTGCCAAAGTTCGATTTAGAAGGTTGATTGAGAGCTATGGGTGGTTGGTATGGCAGGGGTATGTGTTCCCCCTGCAGGAGTGAAACTGTTCTGTTTAGTGTTGCGCATGCTTTATCATACGCTGTTTGCAGGTCGGAAGTCGACTCTGATGACGGTACCCGCAGGTATGTGATGACCTTGCAGACGTTGAAGAAGTGATCAAAAGCCACTATTGTGTCGTAGAGCATGAAGAAGCTCTCGGGCAGCTTTAGGACGTCCTTCATAGGACGGGCCGTCTTGGGCTCAAAGTATCGGACACAATCATAACCAACATACCCAATGACCCCTCCGGTCAAGGGCGGGAGTCGCAGGGAGGGCACGGTCGCGACTCTGTACTGCGAGAGCTCCTGCTCGAGTCGTGGGAGCGGATCTTCTTCAGGTCCATGGCCTGGGCCGGATTTGATGACTTTGAGGGGATTCGCCCCGACAAAACTATACCGACCAATTGTCCCGGTAGTTGCCGCACTTTCGTACAGAAACGAGAGCTTCGATCCCTCTGATACTTTTAAATATGCTTGTGTGGGAGTAAAAAGGTCGGCGGGGATTTGAGCGCATAACGGTACGAGATTCGGAGGGAATTTGGATGATCGGGACTTGGAGAGAATGGAGGAAACCTCCTCGAGGGAGGGTTGAACTTTTGCCTGGTATATGTGAGCCATGAAGTGAGATGGAAGGGGTTCGTGAGAGCAGGAAGTACCATGGAGCAAAACCACAGACTGAGGGAACCAGAGGGGATCTTATGTCCTGTCACTGGAACAACGGGGCATATCGGATCAAAGCCACCAGTTCTTCAGGCTCGCCGTTTATGACAAGCTATCTCTCGGAGAGTAGGATTTTCATTACTCTGGCCGTACAGGAGGATTTGCGGTAAGCAAAGTTGACCATGGAATACGCGTGGGACTGGCGTGAGAGTCACCGCTGTCTTTTAGTTTTGGAGCGAAGCGTGCAAGGAGGAGTCCGGCACATCGTCGGCGGAAATGATTAATCGACAAGTGACACCCCACCTGGTTCCTCCTCCAATAATCTATCAACGACCAGCCACTCAAACACCAGCCACAACTACTTGTACAGCGGCACATGCGCATTCTTCGCATCACCGCCCACACCATATTCTGCCCAGCTGGCAGGCTGCGCTCATTCACTTTTCCAACACTCGAGGAAATCATTTACTCGTACTCGGTGTCGCACATGTCACAAACGTTGCACAATTATGTCCCTGGCCAACAATCAAGCTGACGGCGCCGCCACTCCATCCCCAACCCGCCCTGGTTCAGCCTGGACAAACACTTCTCTTTTTGCTGATTCCGCCATTAGTATGCGGACCCGATCACCAGCTCCTCTCGAGAAAGAATTGATTTCTTCGCAGCCTGGCGAAACGGAAGACGATTCTGCGATCGCTGACCGTCTCAATGGTCTAGTCTCTGAAATTTGGGCGTGCGAGCAGGATGCAGCGATTCGAGGTCAAAAGAGACGGAGGATCGAGAAAGCCATGGACGAGATTGAGGCTGCATTGGAGGAGGAGGAATCGCTGGCCAGCGGAGACAGCGATTGCAAGACAACACATCAAAGTCAATCCGCACCGTTACCTCTGCCTGATACGTCGAGTGCCACAGAGGCTGATCTTGAGCTCATTCGCGTACACCTGACCTCCACGGTTGACTCTATGCGCATGCGACAGCAGGAACAACGACATTTGCACCAGCTGACAGTCGAAAAGCTCGAGGCAGTTGCGCAGCGCTGTATCCAACAAGAGCGGCGCGTGCGAGAGTTCGCCGAAGAGATAGTCACCCTCAGGAAGCAGAATCGCGAACTGACCCAGTACAATGACAGTCTCCGAACCAGACTGAGGGAGGCCCAATCCGAATTAGCCAGGAAGGAGACAGCGGTGAAAGCTATGTCGAGCGCAGTGTCCGGTCTAGAAGGATGGATTAATGGTTCCCCAACACCAGACCGACCCTCTCAATCCCGGAAAGTTGTCACCAGAGGCCGAGGCAGGTTTCGTGGGCGCTACTATGTGGAGGAACCAGTTGAATCTCGCGGCCACTCTGGGTTCGACGGGGCTCCCGATGCGAGGGCCTTGCAGGAGGGTGTCACGGCGTGGCTTAGAGGTTTCCGTGATGTGGAGGAAGAGTTGAGATCGTCACAGACCGCCGCGAAAGTTCCTCCTGCAAAGGACTTCAAAACTATCCCTGAGGACAGTGATAATGAATGGGGTGAATTTGAGACAGCGACTGGAGTCTGATTAATGAGGGTCAGAGGGTTACTGGTGTTGCCCAACCTTGGAAAGTGCCAGTCTTCATTGCTTCCACCTGTATGTTCATTACACCCGGTTTTAATATCTCTTTGACCATAGCGTTCGATTATCCAGGAGAGCGCCAGCAACAATTGGACATGCACCAAAACCCTGGATGTTGATGGTCATACATATTAGTAGTACATCGAGTCTCAAATCTAGCTGACGCTGGCTAGCGCAAGGAAGATTTTCATCGTTGGAAATGCATGAGAGCAACCTGAACATGTGAGCGCGCAGCACGATGGAACTGGGCGGGATGAACGATGCTTACCTGAGATCCTAGGCCAAAAGCGAGCCTTTTACTCTGGCCATCCCAAGCCAATGTATGATAATTCGGGTGAATCGTATCGAGGTCAACACTCGAAGAGTTACCAGTGCTCAGAATGTCATCGTCCTTAAGCTGAGCGCCCCTCCATAAGTTCTGTTCGTCCTTCCAAGTTGCCATCAGGTTGTGGCTATGCTCGGCGTTCCAGATGCGAGCAGTATCATAGCTGGCTCCTGCCAAGCAGAAGCCATCGGGAGAATACGATAGCGTCATGATAGGCGAGCCATGTCCGATGATGAGTTTGCACACTGACGTTAACGAATTGCTCACCATATCGTACTGCCAAACTTTGATAGTTCCATCCATGGAGGAAGTTGCAAACTCGTGTCTCCACGCGGGAAGCGACGTGCCGGGGATGCGATGCCGGACTTCGAGGCCTGTAATAGGTGAATCATGTGCGCCTCTTCTGAACACGTTCTGGGCTGGCATCCATAGGGTACCAGTGTCGGCGGACGCAGCAAACAAGATGACCTCGCTTTCCCCATGCCTGGTGCCCTGCATGGTGCACCTGATGAAGGTCCATTGGTCTTCCTCGCTGACATCCGAAGTCCACTTCCGCTCGATCGCGATAGTGTTCCGCTCGTTCGCGATAGTTGTGAAGATGCGACAGAGGTAGACTGCGTTCTCTCCCGCAGCGCAAACAATGCCAGCTCCGTCAACAAATGTACTATCCAAATCCACAAGTATTTCGGGGACAAGGACCGATGAAGGTTCGGCAGGGCCGGATAATCGAGATAGATCCCAGAGGAGAATAGAGGAACCGCCGCCCTGGGAAGGGTTCGTAGTTTCAGCGTCATAAGGAGCAAGGCCGAGCAAGCGCGAGCCTTGTTGAAGCCACAGCAGAGAGGCGATTGCTCTTTGCGATGCCGGTAGGGCCTCGAGCATAGAATGGTCTTGACCATCAAACATATGTATCTGCCCGAAGCGGGCGCTGAACGTAGCAACCGCAAGCAGTTCCCCATTCGGCTCCCATGCCATTGAACTGATAGACTTTTCATCTCTCGATTCTAACAGCTCTTGAAAGTTAGGTGATCCCACGGCGTCTGAAGCTTGGTCGGCAGCCGTCCAGAACCCACAAAAATCATCCCCCATTGCTGTCAGTAGGTTATCGTCTCCAGGTCTCCATTGGATTCGACTAATGGACTTGGGTATTTCAGAGCCAGGATTGGGGGGTAGCTCAAGGATGGTAGTGGATGCGGAAAGATTTGCAGCTTTGGCAGGAGCAACTTGAATACCGACACTGTGCCCCCTGGCTAGAGTATGGAGAGTCGGCAGCACGATCTCAAAGTGTGGTTCATGGTTGTGATGATCTGCGGCTAGAGAATCTTCATCAATATCCATACGCTCATCAGTCTTGATACCATTAGTAAGTGGGCCGCTCTCCTCAGCTCCCGGCTCGGTGGCAGACGGAGATCTGGCATCGGCATGAGAGACAAGGTGGCCGTTCAGCATGTCCACGTCCATGGCGGATGAATGAACGTGTCGATTTGCAGATGCCGAAGGTTTGCGCGCAACGCTTCCATTTCGTTCTGAGCTAGGTGCTGTCTTCCTGCCTCGTTTGACAGCCGGTTGGGCGGCCAAGGCTTCCTGAAGACCGTTCGTCATGCCATCGCGAGGTTGTCTTCGGGGATCCGTGACGGACTCGATTGGTGAAGGTGCTGAAATGATCGGCTCGTCAGGCCGTTCACGGGGGGGTTTCTCGCTCTCGGGGCCAAAGAAGAACATGGATGGATTGAGCTGTTTCGAAGGCCGGCCATTCTAAATCGGGGTTAGTGGGTGCACAATTCCTACCTGCAGTTGAGTGGGTTGGAATACCTCATCAATAGTGAGCGATAAGTGGTGATAGCGGAGACCTTTTTGCACAAGAGAAACCAGGGCGTGGCCTTGGACACATTTCGCAAATGGGAGGCTTTCTGCGTTGACATTCCAATCGCGTTGAAGCTTGACCGCCGCCTCAGCGTAGCCTATTAGGATTGGTTTAGTGCGTTCGTACGCAGCGGTGGATCCCGGGAACGCGGCCCTACCTGATTCCTGAAGATATCTGCGAAAATTCGTCAGTATTGCTTGGAACACCCCATAACAAGAGACAAGAGCAGACGCGCGCGCACCTCCATATAAGATAATTCAGTTGGTCCGAAGTCAGCGGAGGAGGCTTTGCACTGAATGTTGATGCAGCGTCGGTCTCCATGCCGACATTCCGCTTGAACTGCAGGCCGCCACTGAGTCGTTTTGTTCGTGTCCCAGTTTTGAGGAGTGTTAGTCGGCAAATCGCAGTCCACTGGACGGATAATGGAGATGCTCAGTCAACTGGACGACGGAGACTGCAGAAATGAGACGTGCGCAAGATGACCTAACTCCTCCCCGATGTCGTTAGAATTGTGAGAGAGAGAGTGGCGATGGATTGCGGGTGGGCGAAAATGAGAGTGAAAGCTATTAGTCGGGCGCAAACAAAATAATGAAACAAAGGTCCTAAGAGGTCTCGATCGTGGGTTAAATGTACAGGTCTGAAAGTAAAAAAGAAGTTTGGAGGCGTGCAGATGGGTAATGACCAATTCGCAATGGTTCTTGAAGAAGAGAAAGTGGTGATGGGAGATGAGTTTTTTGCGATGGGATGGGATGGGATGGACAGGGCAAGGTTGTCTGTCACTTTGTCACTTGTGAGAACCGAGAAAACACGCCTGCTAGCCACTAGAGGCCACTAGGCTGAGAGGCTGTTAGGGCGCTTGGGCCTGGGATATGTGGCAGCGGTTTGGGGGGGCTTTGGGGGGAGAACCCCTCTAACTACTTGGGGCCACTTCGTTAGTGGGTTTTGGGCGGAAGAGCCAAGCACTGTGTCCCTGGCACCCACCGGCAACCCCCAGGGAGTCAGGGACCCCCGCTTGGGACCAATCAATCACCTGCAGCTGGGCTATTCGAGTTTCAGGTGTGTCCAGCCTTTGCCCTACATTTACTGAAGTGCAGCCAACCTGCTCGTGCAACTTATCGTCTCCATCGACATGTCAGTGTATCTCGTGACAGCCGATGTCTGGGGCCACTGTCCAAGGAAAGAGGTCGAACCCAGTAAATGCCGATGCGAATGCTAATGGTGGTCGGTTATGAGGGACAAATATGATCAAATTGATATGACAGCTGTCGACAACCAGCCAGATACATCTTCAAGAATATCCTCCTGTGGTGTTCCTACGATAATTACGAGTACTCGGTCCATACATCCAGATCCCCACAGAATCGGTGTGGTCAGGATCGTTGCCTAAAGAAATCCAGCCACCAGTGCCACCTCCTCGTTCGTGCCCGTTGTAGTTAGCATCGGCTGCATGCGCTTCAGAAGTGGCTAGGTAACTAACTCCCTGCGCCTACACCTGCGCCTGAGCCTGAGCCTTGGGTTCAATCGACTTTTTGTTCCTGCATCACAATACGACCTCCATACATATTGCTGCCGACATCTCGACTGTCCCGTGTCGGTCATCAGCATCTCGGTCTTCTCTGGCAGCGTCGGGATGTGATTTGCGCCCTTCGATCCCTCCGCAATGGCCATTCGCATCAACCTCCCTCCTGTCACTCGGGTCCTGCTCGGGACTATTGTGTCCTTATCCTTCCTCTACAACATCGCGCGATGGAGGCTGTCAACAGATAATGCCAGTGTCGGCGATCCGACCACGACAAATCCACCTGTACGACCCATCGTCCCATACTTAGCCTTGGTTCCTTCACAATGTCTGTGGTATCCTTGGACGTTTCTCAGCGCAACCTTTGTTGAGCAAAATATTCTTACCCTCCTCATCAACGGCATCAATATTTTCTTTGGTGGAAAATACCTGGAAAGAGCATGGGGAACCCAGGGTTTTGTTTACGTTATCCTGATCTCATCTATAATACCCAACTTGCTGATGGTGCCAACCTACATCCTTTGGGGAGCCATCACGAGCAATCCTGAAAGAGCCATGACTCCCATCGCTGGTGGTATTTCGACACAGGCGGCCTTCCTAGTTGCCTTTAAGCAGCTCGTTCCCGAGCATACCGTCAGCATATACAGGGGCATGATCAAGATGCGTGTCAAACATTTCCCTGCAGTTTTCCTCGCGCTAAACACCCTCTCCGGACTGATCATCGGCACCGATGTTGGCCTTTTTCTCGCATGGTATGGATTGATAACAACTTGGACATACCTCCGCTTCTACAAGCGCCAGCCTGATCTGTCGGGATCGGGGACTGATGGCCGGGGCTTGAAGGGCGATGCCAGCGAAACGTTCGCCTTTGCAACCTTCTTTCCTGATGTCATGCAGCCGCCAATTGCCGCTTTTTGCGACCAGGTCTACATTTTGTTGTGTAATCTGAAGATATGCACGCCTTTCTCTGAGGAAGAAATCGCGACTGGGAATGAACAAGCCGCGGCAAGGGGGGAGGCAGGCCTCCCCAGTTTCAACAAACACGCCCGCGGCGCTCGAGGCATGAGCAAACGGGAAGAGGCCGAACGACGGCGCGCACTGGCCCTCAAAGCGTTAGATGAACGGCTCAATGCTGCAGCCAATCGAGCTCCCGTCCAGCCAACCGCGACGAGTGCGCCCGACTTGCCAAAAGGACAGGAAATGCTCGGACAGACCGACTATCGCCCAGATGAATGACTTTCTTCTATTGATTGGTTGCCCTCGGCGGAAATTAGATACTATACGAGTAATTCTTTCTGGGATGGGATTCTGGCTCCCTCTTTCTCCCTTGTCGAATTGTACCAGCATGTTGCAATGACATAGATCTACTACGAGTATTCACCTACGAGTACGAGCGTTCACTTCGCGGACAAGAAGAAGAGCATGTTCCGAGGCCAATCTCGGTCTTGACCTTTGGATATTATTTTGTTCTGCGATCGCGGCGAATTCCGAGCCAGTGGTTAAGCACAAACGCACACCAGCATCCGCCACGTCCAACATCCTGATGGTCCTCGGGTTCTATGTAACCCTGTGGTCAGTTCCCATGTTCGCCTCCCACAATTCCCCGTCTTCCGTTATCTCATCAACCAATCAATCATGCACGCGATCTACAAGTACAGCTTTGTACCCGTCCATCATGCTGTCACCATACTGATTACTTGCATTTTTGGGAAGAGCTTTTGCACAGTTTTCCTATTTTTGTTCCAGGCTCGACCCATGGAGTGCAGGTGCACGAATCACGCTCTGCGACTCGTCAAAAGCTCCAGCTCTCCCGCCTGGTCATCATTCCGTGGTGTGGAGAGCATGATGGATTCCTGCAGATGCGAGATCGACTTGCGAAGATACCCTGCCGACATGGTCCAGGCGAGAGGACCACGCCGAAGCTACTGCAGACATGCTCCAGCTATGTAAGCTGGTATATAAGGTCGCTCTTTCCCTCCAGGATGTCCAGTGCAAGGAAGCTTATTCTGTCGTTACTGCCATTGCAGCCTCGTGTCCCCCAACACCCGCAGGCCATAGACTCAATCCGACATGGCTTCACTAAAGTCTACCGCCTTCTTGCTTGGTCTAGTGAGTGCTGTCAAAGGCTCTCTATACGGCGAGAGCAAACAGAACCACACTTGCATCCTTGGTAAGTGAACATCGGCATCAGCCCCATATTCGACCTGTTGTCTTTCGAACAACTACGAGAAAATATCTCACCAATTGCTACCATCAGAACCTGCTGTTCTCTCCTGCTCTTCACAAGCTACTGCCGATCAAGTCGACACCTGTTGCACCGAAACCTTTGGGGGTCTTTTGCTCAGCACCCAATTTTGGAATACCTATACTGGTCTCGAAGCTCAAGGCCAAAAGCTACCACCCAATTCTTTCACGCTCCACGGACTTTGGCCGGACTTCTGCAATGGTTCATTTACGCAATATTGCGATTTGAGTCGTCAGTACGATCCTACTCCCGCGCCGAACACGACAAATGGCCTGCCGAACGGAACTGTGGTACCCGCTTATACGGGGCCGAATGTGGGCACGTTCCTCGAGCCCTTTGGACGATTTGACCTGTTGGCCTGGATGAACAAGTTCTGGATCAACCAAGGGGCGCCAAACCACGATTTCTGGGGCCACGAATTCTCCAAACATGCGACCTGTTACTCGACCTTTGACCTGCCTTGCTACGGGCCAGAGTACGTCGAACACGAGGACGTGGTGGATTTCTTCGAGACGGCCATCAAGTACTACAAGAGATTGCCAACATGGGAGTGGCTGAACGAGGCCAAGATTGTTCCCAGTAATAGCACGACCTATTCGTTGAGTGCAATTCAGGGACAGTTGGCCAAAAAGTACGGTGCGGTGCCGTATATCGGATGTTCAGGGCCAAGATATAATACGACGAAGGAGGGAATGGCAGCCAACAGCACTGACAGCGGGCGCACCGTCCTCAGCGAAGTGTGGTACTATATGCATGTGAGTGGCATTCCCCAGGACCGCCCCCCATAAAGGGAAATACTGCTTCAGGCTTTCATAACTAATGAATACTGCGTGTATCTAGGCCGTCGGACGTCCTCAAGACGGCAATTCCATTCCGGTCAATGCCACTGCTCCAGACACGAGCTGTGCAAAGGCCAAGGGCGCGATCCACTACTACGAGCCGACGCCGGGCTCGGTACAGGAAGACTAGATGTGATGTCGCATCTACATGCCCTGACTCAGGAGTATTTGGTATGCCTGAGATCGTACATAGTGGAGATTGAGACGGTCGCAATTGTACATAGCTGGGAAAATCTGCAAAAGAGGTGAGCGGAGGATCTCTCTATCATTAAACGAGGATCCAGTCAGAGCCACATGGCGAATTAATTAATGACACACTCCGTACAGACCCGGTTAGACGTACGAGTAGTGAATTACCCATTATGTACTCGGTTCTGTGACATCTTCCCAAATAGGTATTCATAACTCGTTCGTGCGAAGCGTTTGGGAGCCTGGCGATCATAATCATCGCAGGCAGAAAGTATGTGACGAATTCGCCCGGCGACACCATAGATATACTTCTACACCAGATATATATATATGTATATACGCATCTACGAGTTATTCTTCCAATGCTAATGCTTTCGGGCACGGAAATACAAGCAAGACTACAAGAAACACGTACGAATACTGAGGACTGAGTAACGCGGTCCCTGACAACCGACCTACCTATCTACCTATCTACCTAGTACATAGGACCGAGGACTTGGTACCTGGTACCCAGGTACCAGGTACTGCCTAGTACATACAGTAGGTAGTGTTCCACGAGTCCTCTACCTGTCGACGGAATTCAGAATCCTCACCCACCTCACTTTCACCCACACACACACACACACACACACACACACACACACACACACACACACACACACACACCCCCCCCCCTTGACAATCCTCATTCGACACTCAAAACACCACACTTAACCATCACCATGCACCTCACCACACTCGCCCGCCTGCCCCCCCAACAGGACACCACGGCCTCCCCGACGTCTCGTCGCGCATCTCCCGCGCACGCCAAAACCACCGTAGAAAC